TGATGCCCGGGACTTAGCGGATGATACCACGACCGCCCCCAATGGCACTCCCTCCAAGGATGGTGCAAAGAACAGTTTAGAGCAGCTTCTGATGTCCAGAAACAAAAAACTCACGGACGAGCTCACTATTCTACGGGTATCACACCGTGACCTTCAGGGCCAACTCGAGACTCTGCGCGAAGATCTCTCAACGACTAAGGAGGAACTTGAAAAATCCCAGAAACTCTCTACTACTCTTGAGAATGACCTCCTTCGGGTTCAGGAAGAGGCAGCGAATGCTTTCCCATCATCTGCGATGTCCGTTGCAGGCACCTACACATCGAGGCACCCCTACTCCTCTCGCCGGGGAGGTACATCGCCGACATCATCAATCATCTCGGGCTTTGACCATTCCTCCGGATCTTACAACACCATGGATGCCATTCGAGCAGGAGAACCTGTTGGGGGCGGCTCGGGTTTGTTGCCGATGATTCAAGCACAGCGAGACCGATTCAAGAAGAAGAATGCAGAGTTAGAGGAGGAGCTCTCGAAGTTGTACAACACAGTGAAGTCACTTAGGCAGGAGGTTTCTTCTCTTCAGAAGGATAATCTCAGCCTGTACGAAAAGACACGGTATGTGTCAACATACAACCGTGGCCAAGGGGGCTCCTCTTCTGCAAGTGCCTACGGAAACAAGCCGAGCGCGTCCTCCGTTCATCTGTCTGCGGACACGCCATCGGGGCTGTCACTTGATCGCTACCAATCCGCTTACGAGGCTCAGATTTCGCCGTTTGCTGCTTTCAAGGGCCGGGAATCTGTACGGGCATATAAACGCATGAGCCTCCCTGAGCGGGTTGTCTTCTCTCTCACCCGAATAATCCTGGCCAATCGGACCAGCCGGAACCTATTCGCGGGATATTGCTTCGCCATCCATATTCTCCTGTTTACTATGTTATACATGATGAGCACGATGGAGATAGAGAAACACAGCGCAAGCTTAGGTGCTGCTGCTGCTATGGCTGGTGGGGCTGGCAGCAGCTATGGTAGCGGCCAGAAATTAAACGGAGATGACTGGCAACAAGAAGGATTCCATGGCAGATAGACAGGGGGCTGGACTTTCCCAATTTTCCTCGGATGTGATTTCATCTTTTGTTGGTTTGCGGGAGTTGGGGTCTACGGGCAGTCGATATTAAGAATGTACTATTCATCACTCTATATTTCTGATTAGCTCTGCGGGCACGACGTTAGACTACTATTTAAATACCCTTTTTATCTTTAACTATCTTTACATTCTATACGAAGACCATCAATTGGATATCGCCTGGAGTCAGTAATTCTTGTTCTTAATGTAACTAACTAGTGTGTTTGCATGTGGGCTGCAGGGACAATGTTTACGTTCTTACTGTATTTAGTACTCCATTGCAGATGTTAGACTTTCATTTTTGTCCTTAGGGCTATCATATCTAGGAGGAAGAAGCAAGTTAAAAGGACTAAACCGAATCAGAGAACAGAAGATGACAGCAGAGTTGACATGTCTTCCAAATAATCCTGTTACGGATCGAACGAAGACGTCAAGGACCAAATCATGGATTTACTTGAGATATTTCTCAAAGAAGTCTGCAACCTGGGTGTACCTGATCCATGAGTGTCAGCAGTCACCGTCTGGAAAAGAAACTGAATTTCCTCTTACCCTCGTCTGTATTCAGCATTGCTTTCTTCACTGTCAAGGTTGGCACGGGCTCCCATCCAGCCATGCCACATGGTGCTGTATGTTTCGACGTGGCCGCCGATCCCATTTGAGCTGATGACATCGGTATAGCCTTGGATTTCCCCCGCGGCTCATCCTTGGATGCAAGTACGATATGGGGAATTGTAAGTTTCTCAGCATCCGTTTTGTCAGTCCGACTTTGAGTGAGAGTCGAGTCAGTATTCTCCTTTTGTGTACCGAGGTTCGAGGTCACACATACCCGGGATGAACCTGCCCGGTAGCTACAAACGGCGTACCGGGACCAGAAGCTAGAACAGCAACCTAAGAGATACGTGTTAGACACGAAGGTTCACTAAGCCCATGGGAAGAAGCAACCCACCTTCCCACCCCAGCATAGCCCCAGTGCAGCCCATTTTGACACAGACGGAAATAGCGTGTTGTACTGCTTAGTTATCTCTAGCAGAGTGTCCACGTTCCTCGGGATCGAGGCTTCATTGGAGACGAAGCTTGTAATGGCGTTTTTCTTCTCTTCTGTGTCCGTCGGGAACCATTCGGGCTGGGCATAATTTCCTTCGAAGAAATCGGGCACCAGGACTAAGGAATTCAGTCTTGTAGCTAGAAGATCCGCCCCCTGCAGGGTCTGAATGGCCATGCCAAAAATGTCGTAGAGGACTACAAGCCCCGTGGACGCATCCGGTGGGCCAGTAACATCTGGGGAAGGTCAGAGCTTGCTTCTCTTGTGCATCTGTGTGTGACTTGCAGGTGTTCAGGCCGGCGACTTCCTTATAGGTGCCTTTGATGGTGTATCCTTGGGGGATTACCGGGGGTAGCGTTCGACATGCGTCACAAGACATGGTGTGATTATTCGTGGTGGCCAGAGTCTCTTCTAGATTTTTTTTGTATGATTCATGCTGCAGTTGCGAGTAGAGGTACTTATATTAAGTGAACGCATTAGTACTCGGAGATTATCACTTAAAGCCGTCGGAAATAAAACGTCAGATAATTTAAAGTAGGCTAAGCTTTGGTTTGCATGGCCGGGACCGGCCCGGAAACGGGGCATGGGACTGCCACACGCACAGAGCCTGGATCCTGAATGTCCCTTTTTCATGAAATTAATGAAAAAAGTTCAGCAGCCTGGGAAGATATAGCTACCTCTAAAATCTACACTGATACGAGTTAGTGGGGAGCCATGTCGTTGCCACGCTCTGTTTGTCGACCGAATGACCTGCAGATCGACTCTACAGGATCAATAGCGCATGGCAACCAGAATGAAATGGAAGATATTGACTCAGCTAAAACCAAACCTTGCGCTGAAGATCAAATTGAAAAGACAAATATAGACAGCAACGAACTGTACCCGGTTCAAAAAGAGACGGACGCGAAAGACGACACTCCCTACTGTTCTCTTTCCGAGCGCAGAAAGATCTCGGTGATGCTGACAGCATCGTTCTCTGGCATAATATCCCCAATATCCGCCAGTATCTATTATCCAGCCCTCCCCTCCCTTGCAAAGGACATGCATGTTTCTATTTCCTTGATTAACTTAACCATCATGACATATCTGGTAAGTAGTCTTTTCCATACTAGTTTCAAGAGCTTCCTATTTACGCGCAGGTCTAACATGCTTCTAGATACTCCAAGGAATTTCTCCCTCTTTCACCGGATCCTTTTCGGACGTCTATGGACGACGGATCGCCTACATGTTTTGCTTCACCACATACATCGGGGCAAATATTGGCCTTGCGTTACAGTCCGATTATGCAGCATTAATGGTCCTGCGATGTGTCCAGGCGGCTGGTAGCAGCGGAACAATTGCTATTGGAAGTGCCGTTGTTGCAGATATATCGACACGAGCTGAGCGAGGCAGATACATCGCATATGCGACTATGGGGACGACATTGGGACCGGCCGTGGGTCCCGTCATTGGAGGGCTCCTGGATCACTTTCTCGGCTGGAGATGGGTCTTTTGGTTTCTTGTCATCTTGGGTGGCTTCAATTTTGCCCTCATTCTCGTGACATGTCCGGAAACGTGCCGTGCAGTGGTTGGAAACGGTTCAATTCCCCCTGCCAAATGGAATCGGCCTTTGTGGGCGATCCTGAAAGAATCACTAAGACCTCAGAGCCATAATGTAGGAAAGAGGATCGATTATGAAACTCTAGAAAAGAGTAAAACGCGCCCGAATCCACTGACATCGGTGCGTATCGCTCTGGAAAAAGAAGGTGGTCTGATTCTCATCTATGGGGCACTGCTATATGCTGGTTACATGATTATTCTGAGCACCCTGACCTCGCAGCTGGAGAGCGAGTACGGATTCAACTCCATCCAGGTGGGATTATGCTACTTACCACTAGGAGTCGGAAGTCTGACATCCCGTTGGTCCGCGGGGCCTCTGCTGGATTGGAATTTCAAACGGGAAGCCAAGCTCCAAAATCTACCTATAGTCAAGAATCGTCAACAGGACATCCGGGACTTCAATATTGAAAAAGCTCGTTTAACCATTACTGTCCCTTTCGTGTATGCTGCTTGCTTGTTCCTCCTTGCATACGGGTGGGTTATGAGATATCAAACTCACCTGGCGGTTCCGTTGGTGTTGTTGTTCTTCTCCGGCCATCTTACCACGGGGGCTTTTTCGACCCTTAGCACGCTGATCGTTGATATCCATCGCCAAAGTGCTGCAACCGCCGTAGCTGCGAACAACTTGTTTCGCTGCCTGCTTGCAGCTGGTGCGACGGCTTTTGCGACACCCCTGATCGATCGTATTGGCATTGGCTGGACGACTACGTTCATTGTAGGCGTCTGGCTTGTCTTCAGTGTGTTCCTGTGGGCGGTCTATTTCCGGGGACATACATGGAGAGAAGAGTTGCGTGTTAAACGGAGTGAGGGAGATGGTATTCCAGCATAGCTGCATCTAAGATAGGCAACAGACCTACATTGCTTTCTAAAGAATAATACATTAGTAAGGCTCGCATATAAATTTTAAAGCCGGCGCTAAAGTAGATAGATGTCTCGGACGTAACGCGGTTTCCGATGAGGGTGAGATTTTATCTATTCCGGCTTAGAAATCTCCAAGTGCATTTCCCACCGGAGATAAAGCGGCCTTCGTATATTCCTAGACTTGGGGTCGGAAATACCACAGTTTACAGTAGTTAAGGAAGTAGACATATCAGAGACAATCGATACTTCCAACAATAGTATCCTCACTATAAAATCCCTCCCATGCCCACTCGGAGATGAAGACCACAATGCTACCAGTACCATTTTGATCTCAACATCTCACCACCTCCCACTTTATTATTATTGTACCTCCCAATCATGTCTTTAAATCGAGCAGCCTACCTCCTTGCAGCCCGTAAGACTCCCCTGGAAGTCCAACAGGCACCTTATCCCTCTCCGGACCCCGGTACTATTGTTGTGAGGAATCATGCCGTCGCAATCAATCCGATCGACTGGAAGCTACAGAAGTTCGAGATCCTCCCCCTGAAATATCCCTTTATACTGGGCGTGGATGTAGCAGGCGAGGTCATCGCGATCGGTAGTGGGGTGACCAATTTTACCCTAGGGCAGCGTGTTATCGGGTATGTCGTCCCAGATCCTTGAAGTCACCCTGCAACTGAATTAACAAGCATCGCAGACACTGTAAGAATCTCGCAAACGGGGATAGTCGATACTCGGGCTTCCAGGACTTCACCGTTCTATCGGCGACCCTAACAGCACCTCTACCCCTATCCATCTCCTACGAAAAAGCAGTTGTCCTCCCCGTCTCAGTCAGCACTGCCGCTGCCGGCCTTTTCCAGGAGGACTATCTCAACCTCCCTCATCCTTCTCTGGCCCCACAGCCCTCGGGCCAGACGATCCTGATCTGGGGCGGCAGCTCCAGCGTCGGCATCAGCGCCGTGCAGCTCGCCCATGCCGCAGGCGTCGAAGTCATCACGACGGCCAGCCCGCACAATCACGCTCTTCTCAGGAGCCTAGGGGTCTCCCAGATATATGACCACCGGAGCCCCACCGTAATCGATGACATAGTCGCCGCGCTTGAAAACAAGCACGTCGTCGGGGCATACGACTGTATATCGTCGGACCAGACTCAGCGGGCCTGTGCGGCGATCCTCGAACGAAGCAAGGCCGCTCGCAAGGTCCTCGTGTACACGAATGATGTTGTAACCCCAGAGGGGCTGCCGTCTTCGGTCACTACTAAGGGTATCTTCTGTCTTACGGTGGAGAACAACGAGGTGGGACCTGCGGTGTGGGCGGATTATCTACCTAAAGCGCTGGAATGCGGCCAGTTCAAGCCTATGCCGGAGCCTTTGGTCGTCGGTACCAGGTTGGATCATATACAGAAGGCTATAGAGAGAAATATGGCTGGATTGAGTGCGTCTAAGGCTGTTGTCAAGCTGGTTTAGTTTCTTGACGGTGTGAGGTAGTACGGGCTCTCTGTTTGGTTCGAGGGTGTTGTTGGCTTCGCATGGTTTGTTTTAGTGATATGGATTGCTACTGTATACAGACTGCGTTTTAAATATTGCGTGGAATGCCTTTGCAGTGGATGTTACTGTACCATGCGTGTATCCAATGGACTTGGTAAAAGAATCCATTTTGTAGATATAGACTATCGTGAGGCGGACAAATCGACCATCTGGTCAGAATGAAAATATTCAATCACACCGATTTTGCTCGGCTATGTCTTTATAATCGATAGGGAATATATTAAGCATATTCCTAAGCTGGTAGATTATTCTTCCAGTGTAGTATCGGGTTACAAGAGGCAAAATTGCAGGATGCAATGCCTATCGTATATCACATTCCTGCCAAACCAATCTAACTAGGAGCCACAAAACTCACAAAATATCAATTTTATGAAAGTCTATATAAACGCACCAGTGATTAATCAGTCGTGAATGAATATTGTCACATCTGAGCCTGGGGCTGATCCCATATGTCAGCTTAATTAGAGTTTGTAGAGTCACGTATCACCCACTTTCGCGCCCAAAAGTAGATTAACGTATTCTAGTTTTTATATGAAGTCTGTTCCATATCACTGGCCTGTCCCGGGGGAACGCCAACAAATGTACCCGTACAACCCACCTCCACGCACTCAGCAAGACTCCCGAAATGCACGCCCCTCTTCACCATCCCTGGAGCGTAATGGGCGTATTTGGCTGAGTTTGTCATTATATTACGAGATGTAGTAGGGACAACAGGCTCTCCGAGCATGCACCAGCAGGTATCTGTAATGATTGTTGCCCCGAATTCCGTGACGATATCGATATAACCAGCCTTTTTCGACTTTTCGTACGTATCTCGGCCGGTGGTTATGATGACTTTAATCTCGTCGGCTTTCTTGCGGCCTGAGCATAATGTAGAGAGAGCGTCGAACTCTTCAAGAGAGAAGTGCGGATTTCCCAAGGATACAAGATCAACAGAAAGGTCCTGTGCGGAATTGAGCATATGCCAAGTATCAACTAGTTCTTCATGCGAGAGCTCTATAACGGGTAGCTCTTGTTCTAGCTCAGCAAACTTAGACGCCTCAGGCGTAATACCCTTGATGTGAAACATTGCAGCAGAGGCGGTGGTACCAAAAGCGGCGCTGAATGCCTTGAGATCCATGAGCTGTGGTTGCATATACTCTAGCCCGCAAACCAATGGTATGTTATGCTGAGCCAGCTTTCCAATGACGTATCCCAGTAGCGGATAATAGGAGTCGTTGATTGATCCTAGGTCATTCACCCGGATACACATTGTCGGCCGTCGACCCTCGGGCAAGTGGCATCCAGCTGAAGGAGCCCTTCCGGTTAAAGCAATGCAAACATCAATGAAATCGGGATATTTCTGGGTTTGTGCACCAAGGACGCTGTTAGCGAAAATAACAGCGTTCGACTCCGACCATCCAATATCTTGTCCGGCCTTGGGAGCATCGTCAAGTACGTATGGGGCGCAGGTAAAACTGGGCTGTGCACCCATCGAAAGATAGATATTGGCTAGTGTACCCGCCTGTAAAGCCAACTTAGGGTCGACGTTTAGTTCCTTCCAGCGGCGTTGATCGATCGAAATAGAATTGAGGGTGGTTGGAAGAGTAAACTTAGCACCCATGGATTGGAACTTTTGTGCAAATAGAAGACTTGCAGGGCCGGTATATATACAGGCGTCAATATGAGCCTGGGAAACGTCCAATAGCGAGCGCGCCCCTTGAATGATTGCAAAGCTCTTGATAATTTCTAAGGCAACCTTGGCTGCTTGGCCCTTTTCGCCAGCCAGGATGCTCCGATCTAAATCTGAAAGGTCGATATCACCTTCAATGGATTCGGCAGGCAGTTTTGGAGTCGGTAACAGAGCGTCACTGACGAGCACATTCTCTCCATCTATGGCAGCGAAGTGCCTATTGCATATTTTTGAGAAGTCCGAAGAGGACAAGACCACAACTGGTATGGGACTTTCAAATAGCACTTTTCCTACTAGAACCCCGAGAGTCAGAATCTGCTCGTGCTTCTCGAAAATCAGCCCAGCAGGAGCACATCCATTCAGCAGAAGCTCAAGCATGACTGTGCTTCCTGAGCATGAACCTCTACCACAGGGAATAGCAAGAATTCGGCCAGCGATAGACTGGCCGCAGAGGGGATGATGATGGTCTACCACCTGTCCAGTTTCAGGGTTCACCCCGCCCCAAAAGCTGAGTCCAACCGGGCAGCATTGTAACTCTGCAGATGCAGCGCCTTTGATGAGACATTGACCACGAATTTCCATTTTGCCGCTCAGACGGTCGTATGATATGTACTAATAGAGGCGAAGGATCTAGAGGCTAGGACGAGTCACGACTTTTGACTCCAAACCTTGAATAGTTGACGTTTCCAGTGTACAGGCAGCAGGTTGCTTGTTCCCTCTGCGATAGAACGATGAGGAGCATTTCTATAGTTGGTTAACGTTGGTTAGCTTACTTAACCCCGCCCGACCTTGGCATTCCCTCGGTATTTCTGTAGTTATGTTTAATGGGGCTCCTTCTCTCAATCTCGGGGGGCATGTCAAAGAGTTACGACTGCTATGACTCATTTTCAATGACACCAAGGCCCATGGAAGTCAACTTGATGTTTGATTGACCCTCATTCTTGTTCTTTGCGTCCAAACAGGATCGAAGATCTTCCGCTTTCCGGATGCCGAAGTTGTTTGATACGTTTGTCTTGATCACGCTGCAAACCTGGCAAATAGTGCAAACTGCTAACCTCATGTTCTGATTGGTCCTATCAATAGTTTAACTCTAGAGTACTATGCAAATGCCCCACTCATCAATCATTGTTGATGGATATACTATAGTACTATGGAGCTGAACAAGCATATAAGACTTCTGTTGTATAACTAACATCTTTCCAAATTCTTCAAGGAGCTTCTAGCCCAAGAACTAAGCTCACTCAGATCTGGCTTTTAAATATCCTCTTCGTACCCTGCAACCTTCATTCTACATCTAATATTATATTACCATGGCTAGTACCTCTATAGCATCTCACGAAAAGCTGGTCGAGTTTGACCTTGTCCAAACTCACTATAAGAAAGTGGGTAATCACGGCATTCGTGCAGATTTTATCATACCCCATGCAGAATGTACCGGGAAACGACCTGTCATTGTCAGGTTTCATGGGGGCGGTCTTGTAAGCTCAGAGCCCAACCTTGGCTGACACAATTAAACATTGGAGATAGCTGATTGAACAAGATAACTGGAGACTCACTGTCCATGGACTGGTTCCCTCAATGGCTCCTTGATCTGGCCAAGACACATAATGCAGTGATTGCAACCGCCAACTACCGTCTTCTTCCCGAAGCGACGAGTCTCGACATCTTTGAAGATGTCGAGGACTTCTGGACTTGGCTCTACTCCTCAAAGTCTGAAGAGCTATTGTCATCATGTGTAAACCCGACAAAGCTAGATCTGGACCGTATCATTACAGCGGGAGAATCTGCGGGTGGTCTACTTAGCGTATGCCTAGCTCTGGCTCATCCGGATGAGATCCGAGCGGCAACAGCAAGTTATCCATGTCTCGATATGGCTTCGACCCACTTCAGTACCCCAAATCCCGTGCCATTAATCGAGCCGCCTGTTCCTGAGTCGCTGATTGACGAGAATCTAGCTCAAATCAAACCTGGAGCTATTAGATCGTCCGCTTTGTTGCCCGACCGGCTGGATTTGATGCTTGCGGCAATTCACTACGGCCGCTTGACCCAATTATATGAGAGAGGATCTGAGAGCTCACGCTACCGAGATATGCGGTACCCGCTGGAAAAAATAGGACGACCAGATGCTAAGATTCCTCGTGGTGGGATTGCTATCCTCCAAGGACTGCAAGATGACATCGTGCCTGCCGAAGGCAATCAGAGATTTACTGAGTTGGCACGCGAGGTCATGAAAGGAAAACCGGGGGTTGATAAGATCATACTAACTTTACGAGAAGGTGCCCATGGATTTGACATCGCGACTCGGTTGGAAGAGGAATGGATGCAAGAACACCTGAAAGCGGCGGTTGATGCTTGGTTGGTGTAGAGGAAGGGCATGGGTGTACATACCTTAAAAATAAGTGTATACGCAGCAACTCTGGCTCCCTATATATGATGTACCTAAGACCCGCTAATATGTGAAGTGGGCAAAGAGCTTGTCAGGTGGTGATCGTGGTATTCTCCGCAAGAGAATGTAGATGCGATGGTTTTCTCCTTGGGAATTCCCTATCAGGGTTTCAATTTAGGATGTAGACTCCGTAGACCGAGAACTGTGTGCGAATGGCTGTTTCGATATGGTATGTAATGGGTAGCTGCTCTCAACTACTATGGCGCTTCAAGTCCCAGTTTATTTCTATCGTTGATACGCCTAAACCATGATTGCCCATTCAGAAGTAGATGGTGAATGCAACTCGTATATTTGAAACCAACCTTAAGAATCTAGAAAGGACATATTCAGACTCCTAGGGCATTTTGCGTACGCTTGGCTAAATTGACACTAGGGGTATGTTAATCTCTAGTACTATTATGTACCAGAGTGTATCCGCCCTATTATGAAACTTATCGGCTTCAAGATATAGCTGCAAGGTAAGACATTGAAGCCTTGCAAGCGAGATTGCGTGACTATCTGACAATTTGAAATGAGTCATTATAGTAGCGGCACTGGCCTATATCATTACTAGTCGTTTTATCAAAGAGCACTTAGGGTTCCGAAGGCTGACATTTAACAACTAGTGCTGAACAGGGTAAGGCCGAAGGTCACAGGACTCCGCCCGTGATTAAAGCGTGTCTATTACGTCTATTTCTCTGCCTTAAGCAACATCCACGTTTCGATAGAAAAACGTGGAGAACTCGACCACAGTGCTTCTTAGCTTCCCATCAATCGTGTTTTGTATCGTCTCTATGGCTACTACCACAGCCCCGCATTTTCAGCGAAAACGCCGACGCCCAGCACTTGCCTGTGAGCAATGTCGTCGTCGGAAAATCCGGTAAGTTAGCGTTGTTCCCTGACTCGTTTGGCATTCTCTCACTCGGTTCCAGATGCGATAGAAACCACCCGTGTGCTAGCTGCAGACGATCCGACCCTCGATCCTGCCATTATGTTGACCCTGATCGGAAAACTAATGTGGCACACGATCAGGTCATCGATTTGGCCCCCACGTCATTTTCGAGTGGCAATCCACCATTGGACTTACCCAACTGCCCTGAAGATGTACAGTTCTCCGGGCTTCTCAATGTAGATGCCCTCCAATCCACTAGTTCCTCGTTGGCGAACCCGACAGCTGTTCAACGTTCTAAGGTTTCCCACGTGCCTGAAGATTTGCAGGAAGGGTCGCTTGTTCAATCATTGACAGATCGAGTACGCCAGCTAGAAAAGAAGCTTGAAGAAGCCCTTGATTTACAACCACCGGATAGCTATCCAAATCAATCACCCATAAGAGTGCGCGAGCACAGTTCAATCAATGGAAGGTTTCTGAAGACGAGGTTCTTCGGGAACAGTCATCGATCTATATGTGAACATAGGGTACTGATCTCTACCTTGTAAACTGGAATGACATGGGCTAAAGGTAAAAAGGTTCATGACATGATTCATATGTCTATCGAAAGGCTTCTGAGACCCCCGAGATACAAACTCTCTACGAGAGATGCAAGCAGCTCGCAAGAATGGCCAAATCACAGGAGATAATTCACCAGAAAATCTGCCCTGACCTGAGGGATTACATGCCATCGAAAGAGACATCTGACAGGCTTATCCAAGCATACCTCCGTACTTTCGAATCTGTCTACCGCATCGTACATGTGCCATCATTCATACGTGAATATGATCAGTACTGGAGAAGTCCTCAGGCAGCCAGCCCGGCGTTCATTATCATGACTTTACTAATGCTAGCGATTGGGAACTCGTTTTGCCAGTCGGGGGACCCAGATAAAGACCATGTTCCGCGCTCTACATCATCACAGTGGATATATACGGCACAAACGTGGCTCAGCTCCCCGTTCGAGAAATCGCGTCTTAATATCACTAGCCTTCAAACACACTGCCTCCTACTTTTGGCCCGCCAGACAAGTGACATCAGCAGTGACCTTGTCTGGATTTCAGCTGGTACTCTACTTCGAACAGCTATGCATATGGGCTTCCATATTGATCCGCGTCATATTAAGGGGATTTCTTTCTTCGATGCACAGCTCAGACGAAGGATATGGAATACAATTCTTGAGATTGTTGTCCAGTCTAGTATGGATGCCGGAGGCATACCTTTAATTCACTGTGATGACTATGACTGTGAGCCTCCGCTTAACCTTGACGATGCCCAGATGGGAGATCCTATTCCTAAGGCAAAGCCTTTCAAAGACTTTACGGATACATCTCTGCAAATAGCTTTACAACGATCACTGCCTATTCGACTACAGATTGCACAGTTTTTGAACGACTTCCGCCGAGGCGCCTCGTATGACGAAGCTTTGCAGCTTAGCAAAGGCCTTACCAATATATACCGCGAAAACTCAGCCCTATTTGATGCTTTTAAAAATAGTGGAAAATCTCCTACTCTGTTCCAGTCAAACCTCTACGACTTGATGACGCAGCGCTTCCTGCTTGCTCTTCATGACCCCTTTGCTATAAAGGCAAAAGCTGACCCGACGTTGTATTACTCACATAAAGTAGCCCTTGAAATATCCATGCGTATTTTAGCACCATTTAGCAAGTCCGTACCGGAAGACCTTGACTATACCGCATTGCTGCTCACCGGCTCGCCATCCTTTCGGGACGTTCCTACCCAAGCAGCTGCTGTGGTTGCAGATGACATGATTGTCCGAATTAAGGAGAAGCCGATTACTACTTCAGTGTCAGCTCTCTATACGTCATATCCTTTATCACACGGAGAATCCAAGCGTATTATCGAAGAGTTTACCTCCTGTATGTTGGCACGAGTCGAATCTGGTGAAACGAACATCAAAGGTTACCTGGTGTCTGCATGCTTTCTGGCCCAGATTGAGGCTATGGAGCATAGCCGACCAATCGACGAAGCGTTGAGTAGAACTATGTTGTCGGTTCTTGAAACGTGCTCGACGATACTGGAAGACAGGGTTGAGAAATCGAGACTTCCACAGCCAGGAATAGGGTTGAACACACCCACTAATGAAGAATCAACACTGGCTGTATTTGATAACCAGTTAAACTGGTCTCTCGGTGATGATTTTGTAAGTTATCTGCATGTTCCTCGCTGGAAATGTGCATCTGAGGTTTGCTGATGAAATTCAGGATATGGAAATGGATATAGGCTCGTGGTTTCCTTCCCCTGTATTCAGCTGAGCTGGACTCGTGACAATATTGTGTAATTATCCTGGATACTACCAGTGAGGCCCACCTATTGATCCGGGTTGTTGATTATCATAGAGCGAGAATGTATACAAGCGCTGAGAGTGGGACAGATAGATGTTATAGTTGTTTTGCATATAATCCTTTTGGCGTTCTATAGACTTCTAGGTTATTATTATTATGAGGGAACAGTGGAGATGGCAGTCCGTCCATCTCAAATTCTAGGCAGAGACCGATCTTCTGTCTTTCGCTCTCTTCAAGCATGCTTACAAGATGGTACCGATAAGATCGGATCTCTACTACTGTTTACCGGCCATATCATAGTATATCTGATGTTCGAATCGTATGTCTTGGAGATATATACATGGAAACCGAAAGATTCTCTATCCGCACAGCCAGAAGATAGAATCGAGAGCCATCGAGCAACCAGACAACAAATGTTGTAGAGCCCTAGCCAGGCCATCCATGGTTTGCGAAGGCAAAAAGAAAACAAGGCGATTTACACTCCAGTCTATATCGACACTCGCTCACCATTCACAGACTGCCGTACACTTAATCTCCACCAACAACCGCGGATTTGGCAATTCCTTGACACCAATTGTGGTCCTCGCTGGCGCATCCGCGCGATTAGGCCACACTTTATTCCATTCTTCATTCATACCTTGATAGGAACCGGTCAAGTCCGTCAAGAACACCGTTGCATCGACCACATTCTTAATGCTCCCTTTGCCGTCTGTGGCGCCGCGAATAACCGTGTCAATATTGCGCAGAACCGCCGCGGTCTGTTGACGAATATCCAGCGTCCATGTTCCATCCGCATGTTCAGTTACACCGTCCCAAGTCCCATCGCCACGGCGCGATGATGTGCCCGAGACATGGATGGTGCGAGAAGCGGGGTTTGTGGGGAGAATGCGTGCATGCGGGTAGTTGGCGAGGCCTTGGGCTTTTTCGGGTGGGAGGAAGAAGGCCGAACCGTTTGACATGTTGGTGATGATAATTATAAACTTGAATTTCCACTAGGAGTGTACTAAGGAGGGTTCAAAACTCTGGGGCAATGTGAAGATAGAGTAGTTGTTTTACGAATTACTCCAGAGTAGTGCTGCAGGTCTCTTTATAGTCTTCAGTTGATTTATATCCGTCGGATAAGGACCCGGTTCCGGGTCTGATCCGTGATTTGGGACCCCATGGGACGGCTTCATTGGGACTAGCCAGGCGGTTAATCGCATTAAACTTCCGATGGATTTATAATCTTGTCATCTGTCGACATTATCATTATTTTGGAAGCTATTCACACCATAAAAATATAACTGACCTATAAAACTAAGGAAGAGTTTATTTTAAACGGCCTTATATATTTATATAAGTTAGGCTATTATAGGATTTATATTAGGCTGAACAATGGGCATGGTGGAATATCCTTAATCCTTCCTGTGCATCAATATAATAATCAAGGCATCTTTCATGTATGCTTCGCTCACAGGTTTTAGAATTCTTCATATGTCCGTATGTGGCATCATTACGGATCGGACAGACTCTGTCTCTTAGTTGCCGGAAGAAATATTCCATTTCAACCGAATTGGACATAACTCTATTAAATGAATAAAATCTCGCTAGGAGACCCCTTTGCCGTATCTAAGCCGATTCTTGTTCGTGATGTACTCGCTCAATTCAGAGAACATGATGTCCCCTTTAAGGTTTCAAGTTGACAGTGATATAATGAATATGATGGTTCCTACCTCCGCCATCTATATAACCATTAGTATATTTCTTTCTTACTGAGACGACAAATCAGATCAAACTCACAGGAGAGAACACCGCCAGTAGGAGCGCCATAGCTCCAGGTTGCATAGTCTCCATCAAACTGGGGCTCGTGCACAATAAAAACGGCTGGAGACAGAAGGTATCAGTTATGGGATCATAAAAGATCTGGGCAAGAACAAAAGAGCCACTCACAGCCGCTGGGGGGTAATAGAATCATTTTGGCAACGCCATTGATGCATTTGTAACCAATTTTCCCCTCAAAATGTCCGCCCGCCCGCCTGTCGTAAAAAGATAGCTCTTGATTGTCGTAAAGTCCACGCTGCGCTTTCAGAACGAATTGGTACTTCCGGCTCTTGAACTCCGACTGGAAAGATAATATGCCGTCTTTGAGGTTGATTTCCTGAGGAGCCATCTTGTTGTCAAACCTGGTTACTGTCCATTCCTTAAGATAGCCGCGCTCTCTTGGGTCTTCGTCCACCTCAGCCACTAAAGAATATGTTGCTCCTTTCATGTCCACCGAGAGCGTTATCGGGCAGGAACTGGTTGTGATAGGACTAGAATTGTCAAAGCCCTTGAGGACGCCATTCTCGCATGAAGGCTCATGCTCAAGTGTCACGCCGCACTGTTGCAGGCTGGTAAGTGGACTTGCGCTGCAACAAGCAGATAGAAAAAGAATCCAGGTTGCAAAGCGCGTCATGGCTGAAAAGAAATTTTGACAGATTGAATGTTGGAGTATCTTAAAGCGCAGTCCTACTCAGTATATGTGTATATCTGAGGAACTTAGTATAGTAACTCACAGGGTAGCCAAGTTCAAATATTCTAGAGTTTGAGACCTGATGATTTAGGAAGAAAGAAAAGAATTTAGGAATCAACCTTATATATACTATTTCCTGGAACTATAACTCATGTCAACATGAGATCCTTTGTACACACACACATCCCCCCTCTTGATTTGCCGCGATTTTGAGGTGGCAGTACCTCCCCTGCCCATGTGGGTCCTAATAATCTTACTATTGAAGTTACCGCGTGAGACCTGTGTACCTTCCAGCAAGGGGGAGTGAGGCACCCAAGCTCATGAGCCTTGATTGATATCGAGATCAGCACGAGTGGATCAACAAATGAAGATCAAAAGCATTACTGAACCTTGCTTTATATTAATTACCCTTTATGGGGATATGCCGGGAGATCTCGGTGATGCAGGAACAGAACAAATTGGCGCAGAGTCAATATTTACCAAGGGCCAAACACATCACATCTCGCTTAGAGGTAACCACTGGAATGCTAATTATTTATGTATCAGATCGGATTCCGCAGAAGTGGATCTAGTGGTACATCCGAGATCTGATCCAACAATTTGGGAATCAAGGCAGCATGCACCGAGTAGGGATTGTAGTGTGAAGACACTGCCCAGAGCAAAGCAAAGCAATATAAATACAATGAAAGCCTACCCCAAAGAAAAGTTATCAACGTATTCCTTACCCATTGTCATTATTATAGTCGAGAAGCTCAATATGAAGCCCTCTTTCACTCTTCTGTCGCTCGCCTTCATACTCCCAAGCGTCTTTGCGACATGCAAAACAAATGAGAAATACTGCGGCGGGAACCTCAAAGACCAGTTGGGTAAGCACCCTTCAAACAGCTGTTTATGCTTGTCTTCGCATTAAAATAATATGATATACTTACAAATCGGGGATTTCATAGGTTACCGTGAGGGACAGATCATATCTGCGGCGCAAAAAACACAAATCTACCAGCTGATGCCAGAAACGAGAGAACAGCAAACTGGGAAAACATCATATTCAACTGTGTTGATGGCGAAAATATTGAGGCGCTTGAATACTGTGACTCTGAGGACTTCAAAGTTTGTGAGCAAGCAAATACAGATAGGACAGATAGGACTGGCGCCGAATGCAAGTCTGACGTGTGTAAGTTAAACCTTTCCAAAGGGGAATAATGATTTATACCTATCCTAACTAATATTCTGGTTCAAGTTGGCTAAATTCAAAGAGAGATGGGTTTGGTTGAGATAAGTCCCAACTGTAGACAAGAAACCATGTGCAGGAAAGAAATATACTGGATAGAGTCCATTGAATCTGTGCGTTCGCGCTTTCTGTGGGCTAGCGGTACTAATTCTTTCGATACCTAAGTATTTGACTCTTCCGATCAATGTACTTCATCTTGGCATCTGGAGAAAATAATTTCATTGTAAAGGAACCTTTCTATAGAGCTGTAGCTTATCCCCGACTAACATGGGGTAGGGCACGAAGCTCACATGGCGCGGAAGAAATAATGCGGGGTGTTGTCCCATGACGCACTAGTCTGGCACGAACTACAGTTTCGTCTCTGATCTCTGACCGTCTTTTTCCACTTGAAGTATCCCTTCCTTAGCTGGCTTCCAGGAGTCAACAACAACCTTCGACACAATGACCGCCCAGACTTTTCGTCAGATCTCAACTCATAATCTCAAGACATTCCGCCGCAATTATGTGTCGGAGATTTCGGGATCGCTCGGCGATCTCGGAACCTTTCTCCCCATCGCCATAGCTCTGGCCATCAACGGTACCGTCTCGCTGTCCAGCACCCTCATCTTCTCGGGGCTCTTCAATATTTTGACCGGTCTGTTCTTCGGCATCCCACTTCCTGTGCAGCCTATGAAAGCAATTGCCGCTGTAGCAATCGCCAGATCCTTCAACAATGGCACCATTGCCGCCGCCGGAATCTTCGTCGGCGCGTGTATTTTAATATTCAGCGTCACTGGCCTTCTTCACTGGTTCGCAGACGTGATTCCTATCCCCGTCATCAAGGGTATCCAGGTCGGAGCTGGCTTATCCCTTGTCATCGCATCTTGCGGGAATATCCTGTCGTCCCTTGGATGGGTCGGGCCGTCATGGGCGGATAACCGGATCTGGGCCATCGCGGCGTTCGTCTTCCTCATCATTACCAATGTCTACCGCAAGGTGCCCTATGCGCTAGTAGTTTTCCTCCTTGGTATCCTCTTTGCCATCATCCGCAGTGCACTGGTAGCCGACTTGCCGTCTCTCACGTTCTGGCATCCTTATACCGTCGTCCCCACTCCCGAACAGTGTCCGTGGGTGCTCTTGATGCAGGTGTCGGGCAGATTCCGCTCACGACGCTGAACTCCATCGTTGCTGTCGTGCATCTTGCGGGCGACCTGATCCCGAACGTACGTACGCCTTCAGTCACGTCTATCGGGCTCAGCGTTGCCGCAATGAACTTGATAGGCTGTTGGTTCGGCGCCATGCCTGTTTGTCACGGTTCTGGCGGGCTGGCAGCCCAGTACCGATTCGGGGCTCGGTCTGGCTCCAGCGTGATTTTCCTGGGCTTCCTGAAGCTGGTGATTGGTATCTTTTTCGGTGAAAGTCTGGTGGGCCTGTTGAAACGGTTCCCTTCGGCGCTGTTGGGGGTGATGGTGATTGCTGCAGGACTGGAGCTGGTCAGCGTGGGAGAGAGTCTCAATACCACGGGGGCCCGGGATATTATGAAGGCCAGTTTTGGAATTTTGGGTGATGCCAGGCAAGATATTGCGCCGATGCTCAGTGATGCAGACCGCAAGAGACGATGGACGGTTATGATGGTCACCGTGGGGCTGCTGGTTGGGTTTAAGAATGATGCGATTGGATTCCTGGCCGGTATTTTGTGCCACGTCGGCTATGAGCTGCCTGGTCTCTGGGCAAAAGTACGAAATCGGTGGAACGAGGGTCGGGTCAGATTACCATGATCGCCTGCTTGATGATTTTAAACAATGACGCTGTTTATGACTGCATACGAAGCTTACTACTGAATATTTCTTGTCTTCGACACAACTTTCTACGCCGTTTTTAGCCAATGATATATATATCCGGGATGCCTTGTTATTTGCTCGAGGATCGATTTCCACTTGGGGCTGGGAGAAGGCGAAAGCTTAATTATAATGGAGCTGGCACCATGGCTTCGCTAGGAGAGATCGAGCAAGTGACTCGAAGCCATGGGAACCAACCACGAAGATCTTCGTCTTGACAATAGTCTTTGGAACGAGAAGCATTAGCTATGGATTTCCACCGCTCCTCCTGAAATTTCGGCAAATGAAACATCCCGAACGAGACAACTGTTGTACAGAGCGGGAATGCGTCGACTCATTTCTTATCTTGGTCACTTTTGTATGATGCATGATGAAGGGTCACTGGTAATGCATCACCAGTATTCCGGGTCATATTGATCACCATTGATTGCAAATTAAATGTGCATTTAACTTTAGAAGTTTTACTTGGCTTGCTAGAGAGTTACAGTATAAATATGAAAGAATTTCTAATTCTTTACATAATTAGATCCTCCATTCCCACTTACTAGAAATACCTATAGCAAGACGGTGGTTGGATTTGTTTGCAATGACATTGACGATTCATCTCATTAAATAGATTAACCGGTCATTTTATAAAGACCCGACGAGTTTCACCTCAGAACACTCGATTTAATCTCCCATCAAATAGTATTAAACCATCACACCCGAATCGCCCAACCCCTAGTCATAAGATTCCCCACCCTCCTCATCCAAATCCGTGATGCGGCGCACTCCCCCAGCTGAAGAGTCATCAGCCGTCAATTGCCGACCGGATTGATCATAGCGTTTCTCATCCACGATAGCCGGTTCGCCGAGATCTTGACGGTAAGTGCGAACAGTTGTGGTTCCATCCGGCTCGGTCTGCGAGTACGTAGCATAGCGCTGACCGGTAGCGGTGGTGCCGTCGTCAGTGCTGCTCGAAGAACTGTAGAAATAGGACGAAGAGCTGGAGTAGGACTCAGACATTTTGAGTAGAGATTTGACTTTCAAGGATATATGTGTTTTGTTTGTAATTGTACTAGATGTGATTTTTCTTAATGATTATGTATGTAGTTTTCCTCTAGTTATAACCCTTTGGTTCTGACGGATGCGCTGTCTCTATATATAAGACCGTGTGGCGATGGATGATATCATAGCAACATCAGTTGGTATACAATCTCCACCTATGAAACAACCTAGGGGATATATTTTCCAGATGGGTTATAATGTACTGTAATTCAGCTCTTCCGATATGGCTTTCAAACAAAGAACGGCTTGGTGACGTTATGTCTCGTGTTTTTTGTGGAGGTCTTTGGGCTGACGTGATTGTTCTAGAAGGTTGAATGGGTTTTTCGAGCATACTGTGTGCGGATTTCCATGGTTCAGGTGGTTACTGTGGGACCATGTTTCTGTGACGTTGAGAGTGCTATATAGTCTTTGCCGAATTCCAGTGGGCAGCTATATATATTGATCACAGTGTTGGTACAGGTTATGATAAGTGTACCTTGAGGGTCTGCGCCCATTGCTAGGTTCATTGCATGTTGCTATTGTAGGTTGCCAGGATAGGCGCTGGTTGTAAAACCTGTCAAGACATAATGGAAGTCCTTGAACAAGACTCCTAGACTGTGAAGGGCTTAAGAAAGGCAAAAAGAGACGATAGGACGGTCAGAGAGAGCAAAAGCAAAAAAAGATGGAGATGCGGGGAATTGAACCCCGGACCTTTCACATGCTAAGCGAACATTATACCACTAAACCACATCCCCAATTTGATGAAAGAGGAGGGTATTTTATGTTATATAATCCAGTATTCAATGGTAAGATAAGTTACACACTAGCGTATTGCTTATCCAATCGGGACCGATAGAACTTTTCCCGATGCGATTTTATCAGAAATTCTTCCAGACCAGCACAAAAATTCCAATCAACGCCCTGCCGCGCCAACGCAGCTGGTGGATGAGCTGTATTTTGTTGTATCACGTTTGTCAGCTCTTACAGTCAACTACTATTGCAGCAATTTCCGAGAATTAATCATAATACACACCTATCGCAGCCATGGCTGCCCCCGTCGTCCCTCTCCAACAGGTCAAGCTGCCGGCGCTGCCCTCGACTCGCTTGACACCAGAGCAACAATATTGGAAGACATTTAAGAACCCTCTGCTGATCCCCTCGCCCGCCAATGGCCCCGTCAACCTAATCACACAGCCTTCCGCTCCGTCGTCCGCCTCCGCCTTCCCATCTCTCACCCAGCCTCCCGATGTCTTCACCGTGACCACCGGTGCTCGAGTCCAGATCTATTCTATTCGCACCCGGAAACTCCTTCGCACCGTCACTCGCTTCGATGACACCGTACGCGGCACAGACGTTCGCCCCGATGGTCGTGTGCTTGTTGCTGGTGACGACACTGGTGCGGTCCAGGTGTTCGATGTGACCTCGCGCGCGATCTTGAAGACATGGAGGGAGCACAAGCAGCCCGTCTGGGTGAGCAAGTTCTCACCCAGCGACCCGACCTCTCTTTTCACGGCTAGCGACGACCGCACCGTGCGACTCTGGGACCTTCCGAGCGAAAACAGCGTAAAGACCTTCGTGGGACACACTGATTATGTGCGCAGCGGTGCATTCATGCCGGGGTCGCTGGCGTCTTCCGGATTGCTGGTGTCAGGTAGTTACGATCGGACTGTGCGCCTGTGGGATCCGCGTGTGGAGAGTCGGTCTGCGATGACCTTCAAGATGGCCGCCCCGATTGAGAGCGTCCTGCCTATGCCGGCGGGTACGACGGTGCTTGCGGCGGCAGATAACAAGATCGCTGTGCTGGATATCGTGGCTGGAAAGCCGCTCCATATGATCCAAAGTCACCAGAAGACCGTCACAGCGCTAGCATTGGCTTCAAATGGTGAGAGACTGCTGAGTGGTGCTTTGGACGGTCACATGAAGGTCTTCGAGACGACTGGATGGAACATGGTCTCCGGATCCAAGTACCCCTCGCCCATTCTTTCGCTCCGCGCCATTACCTCCGGACCCGCGCAGGAAGACAAGCACATCGCAGTTGGTATGCAGTCTGGTCTGTTGTCGATCAAAACACGTCTCTCCGGCCAGCAGAAGATTAAGGAAAAAGAGCGGAGGAAGGAAATGCAGGCGTTGCTGGAAGGCAAGTTGGAAGAACATGACCGTAAAGTAGCCAAGCAAAAGAAGCTCCGGGGCTCCGGCTGGGAGAAGCGTTTCCGTGGTCGTGATTTCATTGGCGAGGGCGTGGACATTGTCATCGAAGGCCAGGATCGCAAACGGAAGAAGGAACAGACCTGGGAGCACGACCTTCGCAAGGCCCGCTATTCCGCCGCCCTGGACCAAGTGCTGGCTTCGGGCGACAAGACCGCACAACTTACTCTGCTGACCGCACTTCGTCACCGGTCTGCTCTCCGCGCATCGTTACAAAACCGCGACGAGGTGACCCTGCAGCCGGTGCTGCAGTGGGTGTACAAGAGCATCAGTGAGCCTCGCCTGGTGAAGCTGAGCGTCGAGGTGGCCATGAACGTCCTCGACATCTATTCAGGAAACTTGGGCCAATCAGCAACGATTGACAAGCTGGTTGACCGGCTGCACCGGCGCGTGCGAGACGAAGTGGAAATGGCTCATCAAGCGTGCCAGACAAAGGGCATGCTGGATATGTTGAAGGCGGCCTAATTGAGCCCCCGCTGCACTGGAATTGGAATAAAATAAAAGCAGATGTTTGACTAGATTTGTTGCATTACTGGATACCTGGTTGGAGTTCGGGGTTTGGGATCGCCCAACTGTATCATGGCAATATAGATGTAACTAGCGCAATTGATGATATTGACGTCCATCACATAAAGCTGCATACAAACCGACCCAGCCAGCCCGTAACGATCGATCAATCATTGATACAACTTCGAAAATCCCTGCCCATCCTCGGGGGGCTGCAACCAATTCCTCTCATCATACTTCCACCCATCCGCACCCTCAATAACATGAAATGTATACGCAAACCGACTCCGATCACTAGTGTTCTTCTCACTCTTATGCAAAACATTGCCATGAATCAACACCAGCGACCCAGCCTTCACCTCCAAAACCTCCACATCCTCCTCCTTGGGCCCCTCCCCCTCCACTTCCTCTTCCTCCATGCCCCTCGGCAACCCAGGCCCATCATTCTCCACAAACTCCGTCCCCACCACCACTCCCTCATCATTCGACCTCCTCACAAACCTCCGCCGCACCTTCCCCCCAGCCCTCCCGCGATGCGAACCGGGATACATCCCGAGCGTCGCATTCCCAGGCCCAGCATCCTGCAACGCAAACCACCACCCCACCGCCGACGGCGGATCCGTATACAGAAACTCCGAGTCCCGATGCGGCGGCACCGCGCCCCCGATCCCCGGCTGCTTGCATATCACCATACTCTGCAGCACACGGGGGTCCTTGAACCCCAACGACCGCGCGATCGCCGCATTGCGCTCCGACAGCGACACGGCCCGGAACGGCGCCGACAGACTGTGCAGCGAGTGTCCGATCTTGTTCACCGCTTGCTGTTTCGGCTTCAGAAGGGCGGGTTTGCCGGTGGCCGGGTCGGGGGATGCGGAGAAGGCGTCGGGCTCGAAGAAGAAGCGGATTTTGTCGCCCGACGTCAGGAAGTAGTCATCACCGACGTGCGGTTTGTTGTCGCCGAGGTCGTCACCGGTCGTGAATTGCGTCAGCGGGTGCGTGTCCAGTGGGAAAGTGTCAAGCAGGTGCTGCGTTTCTGTGAGGAGGGAGCTGATCTCGGAGGGCGTTAGGTGGTCGGGGATGATAGGTAGCCTTTTTCTTGGAAGGAGGCTAGTTGGGTTGGAGTGAGGCCTTCCATTGTGGTCCTTCTTTCTCTCTCTCTCTTGGTGTTCTTTTGGTTTGTGGTTGTGTTGTTGTTTGGGAGGGTGGGCTGGTTTTGGTGGTGTGGTTTGATCCAATGCGGGGAACGCTATTTATTTTGTTGGCGGGTCTTATCGGCTTATCGCGGCCTCGGAGCTTGCCGAGCTTCCAAGTTCAGGTACGCTACTACCTGATAAGGGTTCTTATAGACTAAGAATTTGGTTGGAGCCATTGATGATTGTTTGATTACAATATTTATTTATGCCATGGCCGGGCTATGGGGAAACTCGGATAAAGCTTTAAGCTCTTGGAATCCATCTTGATATCGTCTTATAATGCCCCGAGTACTGCAATGTTTTCTATTTCCTTAGCGCAGACTTGACGGATGTAGTTCCCCATCTGTCCTACCTCGAACGCGTGGTCTGACTGGAGCCTTTGCGTAGCAGTTAAAATGAGAGAGGGCGGTCCATTCAGATGGGATGTGATATGGAACACTCCATTGTTGTTGGATTTGCCCGTGTCGTAGTGTAGAACACCTCCTGACCCCGGCTTTGTATAGGGCACACTGAGTAATAACCGCGGCACTCCACAAACATCTTACCATGACTCCCCTGCGGATCACTAACAACAACGCCTCCCAACCGAATGTCATTCCACGGGTCCTCAGCATCAGCCGGCCTCGGTGCCCCTCCACCAACCCCCAACCAGCAACCCAAACCGGATGTGGGGAAATGCCCTTGCCATGTTGGTTGCGACGTGGGAGACGTTATGAGAGCCGCAGAGGCCTGATTCAGGGTAGCCGATTGCCGCATTGCGTCCGTTCATGCGGCCAAGGAGGTAGTTGTTGTCATCCTTGGGCTTTGGTGGCAGGTTCTCGTGCTCTCCGTCTAGTAGGCCTCGTCCAACGTTCAATTCGGTGGAGGCGATACATATCCACCCTACTGTGTAAACATGGTAGTCGAGCATTTCGGTGACCATGGATTCCTCTTGCTAAGTAAGCGGCGCTTAGAATGCGGTATGAATAATTAGGCTCTCACAGGTTGATTGAATTTTGATTGAACAAGTGCTCGAAAAGCACTATGCGTGAGAATCAAACCACTAATTGTTTATAATGATGTTTTCTCGCCCTTAGGCAACCCAGGGAGGCTGGTACTGCTGGAAGTATACTTAAGCCACAAGAGCCCACGGAAATAACGAACTCCAACAAGGCTCAGCTGGTGTATCGATCGTAATAATGTCTGTCAGTGTCAATACTTTGGTAAACTGCGAAAGGACTGCGGGGTGCTCTATTGTGGCTATGTGCGGATACTCCAGTAGTTTGGTGTGCGATGATGAATGATGATGCTGCCCAATGATTCGTGGTTGTTGCATGCGAGTGGATGATCAAATTCAATGGCTTCACATCTTAGTACAAAAGGTACAGTAGTGCATTCACGGGGCCCGAGCAGGGATTTACGCACTCCATGCACTCATGCCCACAGGTAGACAGGCGCTTAAATCCTCCACAGAGACAGACCAGAGTAAAGAAATGGCCTGGGGTAAGGCCCAACTTCTTGTTGTGTGCATGATGTTCTGCAGCGAGAACTCGATGAAACACTAAGTCTGCTTAAACTCCAAGGAAGATTGGGTTACCTTCGCAGGAAAATCGAATGCCAGCTGCCGTTCTCCTTTTTGTACGTCGTCCTGTGCATGCATGTACTTCACGTAGACAGCGGCCTCATCATTAGTAATTAATTCGGAGTCTGAGCCCATGGCAATTGCTTGTGAGGTGAGGGAGGATGCCTCTGAACTTCGTTGGATCCGTATCCTGAGGCGGATTTGGCGGGATTGCATGGGTGCACCGAGGCACTCTAAATGCTGTCGAATCCAATATCACCAAGGCAGAGAGTCCAATCCTTCGGCAATAACGAGCATTCTGATCCGCTTTGGAAGATCGAAGGCCGATGAATCCCGCACCATAGTTGCATAGATAAGTTGTTACAAAGCAGCTACAAGACTCTTAAAAGGTAGACTTTGACTCGTAGTATGGACTAAAATACTATATTCTGCCTAGGTACATAAAAGAAGCGAGATAGCATAGACAATGAGAAGATCGGCAGCATAACCTTTGCGAGAAAGCCTCACAGACTGGTTCGGGGGATGGTGAGTGTTACTCCACTGTCGATGATCAGCGTGGCTCCATTCGTGTAACTTGCTGCTGGGCTGCACAGGAACACGATAGGATCCGCAACTTCCTCGGCGGATGCAGCTCTTTTCAAGGGCGTCATTGCCTTTATAGCAACGCCCAATTCAGGGTATCGCTTCAAGTTCGCTTCAAACATTGCAGTTTCGGTGTGGAAGGGGGCAACGATGTTTACTCGGATATGGTTCTTGAGGTTGTCAATAGCTAATAGGGGGAGAACGAGAACGTTAGTACGAACAATCTTTGCAAGGTGTGGGGAGGGCTCTTTGGTGGACGGCTTACCTGCTGTTTTGGCTATGCCTACTACAGCGTGCTTGGAAGCTGTATATGACAGCATCCCAGGCGCTACCATATTGCCATTCACAGAATTAACCACGACAATAGAGCCACGGCCAAGGCTACGTGAAGTACCATGACGGGCACTCTGGTGCATGCGAGGCTCCTGTTTAGCCATCGCCGCCGAGACGGCTCTCAAGACCAGCATTGTGCCTCTAGCATTGACGGCCATTGTCTGGTCATAGACGTCAATCTTGAGATGCTGGGTTGCCGCCCCGGAAATACTTTCCATCTACAGGTTCCATCAGCGTCAGTCTCCATGGACGGAAATTGTCATTCCCTTCGTTTCTTCCGACTTACCCCTACTGAATGTACACAATAATCAATTCTGCCAAATTCTTTCACTGCGGCCTCAACCATATTGTTCACGGCAGCCTCATCAGAGACGTCCACCTGGACTGCCGTGGCGCGAAAGTTGGAGTGAGTGGCCCATTTTTGACTGTCCTGCGCGACTGATTCAGCGCCGCTATGGTTCAAATCGGCAAGAATGACACCTTCTACGCCGGCTTGGGCGAGGGCAAAGGCCGTCTCCTTGCCGATTCCTGAGGCAGCCTGCCAAATATCTCGTCAGGAAAGGGGGTCATGGTGACGCTAGGGGAGAGACCTACGCCCGTGACAAGCGCAATGCCGCTGTCCAGTGTAATGGCCATCGAGGCGGTTGCAGGGGCACAGGAAATCTTTTAAAAAGATGTATGGAGCTAATTGGAGGTAGAAGAAGTTCACCCTGCAGATCAACGAAAATAGGGCTGTGAAATCGACATTACTTTGCTGGGAGAGGGGAAATCGGGAACGAGACAAGAAGGGTGTATTATATTTCAGCCAACCCATAAAAGAGTACTTTCTCTGAGCAGGGTTCATCACAATCCAACTTCATGAGGTCGTCTTATTGGATACAATACCATCATAATCCTAGAAACCGGTCTTTGTTTACGTATGTAGCAACAAAGAAAAGGACTCGGGGCTAGTGCTAGTCCTCAGTTGCTATTAGACGGACCTTTCGTAGTCCCATAGCCCTAATGCACACCCGGCTTGGCGCTTGTCCTCCGCCGCAGTACTGACCGGCAGGATGCTACGACCGTCCCTCCCCCCCCTTTTCGAATGCCTTTGTCTTGTAGTCTACCTAGCGAGCAATTGCTTTTAGAAAGAGAATGAGAGATTCTATTTGTATCTTGAGTGACCAATTGAAATCGAGCAAGAATAGTTCCCCTGGAGCCTCTGAATACGAGGGAATAAAGCCGACCATCAGTCAACGGATTTGATATGCCTAGACAGGGTAACTAATCAATCATACGATGACCTGTTCCTTCTGCCACATAAGGAATGAGGCCAGAACCTGTCCCCCGGCACACCCAGTCAGGATCTTCATCTGCAGGTTGTAGCTCTCGGAGAAGACCATGCGGACCATGGTTTGCGCAGCGGGTGGAAGTATAGGAAGTGCCGCAGCCGAATCCAAAACGGAATGAAGCTGCTCATCATCCAGTAAACCGCGTAGGTGAGACCGAATAAACCCGTTCGAAATAGAAGTTACAATGGCCAGGAAGATGGAGCCTCCCATGATCCGAAATTGGGCCACAGCGCCCATAGCGACCGCTAGGGAACAGACAGGGATGTAAGCACTCGTCCGGCTCACCAGGGGCTAGTGGGTCGCAAGCTCACCTTTGTCTCGTTCCTCCACGGTAAAAGGAGTCATCAGGATCAGTAAACTAAGATTTATGCCGCATCCAAATCCAGCAATAACCTGATAGCCGTACTGGGCGGCGGTGATCGTCAAGGAGGCTGGCAGAGTGGAAAGGAGTGCAAATCCCACGACTTGGATGATGGATGCCAGTAGTACGAGGTATACAAGGGGTATCTTAAAGGCTTTTCCCACCACAGAAGATAGAGCAGATCCCACTGGGGCAGCCACCGTAAAGGGAATGAAGCGAATTCCTGCCTGCAGAGGGGATAATCCATTCACGACCTGAAACCTCTGTGGCAGCTGAAAGATAGTAACAATCCAGGCACCCCCGAGAAAAATCGAGTTCCTAGTGTTATTGATCAGTCACTGGGATCGCACTGTTGATTTTATGGAATTAAGTCACATACACTAGCATTCCAACCCAGACCCGGTTATGAACGAAACGCCAGGGAAACACGGGCTCGACTTGAGTTGAGGTTAGCGTAACTTGTCGTTCCCACGCCAGAAATAAAACCCAGGTCACTCCGGAAATGACGAGCATGACAATGGTAAACGGAGATTTCCATTCGTACGCTTGATTTGCTTCTTCCAAAGCGGCCACAAGGCACACTGTGGCCACAAGAAGCATGCTGGAGCCAAGCATGTCGACCTTGCGAAAGGTCTGGAAGATGGATTTCTGTATCGAAAAACTAGTCCTCTCGTCTCGCGGTACATGATGGTTTGGGAAGCGGTTGGGCAACAAGAGTATGAGGAGTATGCCCGCCAGAGCTGCCGGGGGAATGCTGTTCGTGCAAGCCGTTAGTGGAATCACAATTCTTGATCACTCAGTTACAAAAGCATTAGCTTACTTGAGAAGGAAAACCCATCGCCACGTCGATGATTCAGAGATAGCTCCACCGAATATAGGCCCCAGAAGAAGGGAAATGGCGTATACAGTTGCGGCAGAACTCATATAACTTGCATATTTGTCCGAGGGTACCAGCTCGAGAATAATTGCAGCGCAGAGGGAATAGTTTCCAGCACCCCCAATTCCTTGAAATGCCCGAAAGATGATCCTGTTGGGTTGGTTGGCTGATCTGCCATGGCTATGAAAACTCCACATGCGGAAGAGGCTTACAATTGCACTATGGTTTGGGATGCACCACATGCACCAGAAAATATTATGAAGATCAAAATGGCTGTGATCAAGGATGACTTTCTCCCGAAAAGATCACTAAGCTTCGCAGAGATGACAAGGACCCCTATCCCCCCAAAACATCAACACAGCAAGTTCGTTGAAGAGCGAAGACGAGGCTCCTTACCCACATATCCAAGCATGTAGGCTGCTATAACCCAGTATACCTTATCCAGACCTCCAATTTCACGAGTGATGCTAAACGAGCTTGTATTGACAATAGGAATCTCGAGATTCGTCAGAAAGAGACACATGAAGAGCCTGGATAAAACACACAAAGTTAACAAAGCCTCAAGGTTTGCGGAGCCATCCCTTACGAGGCAGTGATTAGGTGCAACCTAATGCCTGTGATATATTGGTCCTTGATAGTGGTACTCCCACTGAAGACAACTGCCGACTTGGCCTCTGTAGGAACGTTGGAGCCGTCCATAGTTTAATGATGAATGAAAAAGCAGGAGAATTGTTGAATTCAAAAGGCAGGCACATAGAACATTCAAGTTATAATCACCCAAATTGTCTCTATTTCCTCGGTTGGTGAGAAAGAAAGGAGGTACACTCAGCAGCAAGTGAGAGAGTAATCAAACTAAATGGAAAGGGGGAAATGCGTAAGAATCTCAAAAAACATAGTATGGACTCTTCCCTGAGAGCAACAAACAGGATCACTACTGATTGGGCAGCAATATAGCCCCTGTTAAGCCTGGGATTTATCTGTATTGTTAGCTCTGCGCCAGGCTAAGCATGACAAGACCACCGACGCCACCATCCGTGCTTCGCTTTGCGGTGGTGATGAACCATGCTGACAGAAGTTATTTTCGGATGTGATAAATTTAGTTAGAATTATGCATGTCAACCTGGGATGGTGTTTCGGCGCGGGGTTCAATCATGATCGCACGGTCACTCGCCAGGAGTGTGTATATCATGGCCATTTCACCCCAAAAAGATGATACGGAGATCATATCTTATGCCCCTACAGAGACTATGGAATCAATGTCAACTGACCAATTGCAAAAGCTCCTTCAAGGCCCTGCTGGCAGACCGCCACCAGGTGTGGAGCCCAACCTGATGAGCCCTGCAAACCAACGTATATCTGGACAGGCGGCTATACTAGTCTGCTTCATAGCGGCCTCCATTTCTTTGTTCATGCGAATATACACGAGGATATTTGTTATCCGCAAGACCAACATGTCCGATTGTAAGAATGCGCGCAGAAGACAATTGTTTTTTTTCCCTTGCTAACTTGACCCCTTAGACTCCATCATTGTAGCCTGGGTAGAGACGCTCTTTCTTCATCCAACTACACAGACCGAACTGATATTTTTTAAGGCAATCTATGTGAGCTTCGGCGTCATCTCTTGGCTGGGAAATGATGCTGGACCCGGGGTTGACATGTGGAATCTACGCCTAACGGATTTTAGAAGAATGCAATATGTTGGTTCATTGTCTGAATGCCAACTCATTTCCTGGAAACTAACAGTTGATCCAGTGGTTTCACACAGGCTCGATACTATATGGTATATGCATTTTCTTCATAAAAGCGTCCATCCTTCTCCAGATCGTGGACATTTTTGTGCCTACCAAACGGAATGACCCTATGTTCTGGATCTGCCATGCCTTGATATGGATCAATTTTCTTTTCTACCTGATTAGCAGCTTCCTCGAAATTTTCGCCTGCCGTCCACTAAACAAGGCCTGGGACCCACTCATTACACAGGGGTCCTGTATGGATATGTTCCTCCTCATATTTCTTGCTAGTTTATTGAATGCCGCCTCAGATTTGATTATCCTCATTTTGCCGCAAACGCGCATTTGGAGATTGCAAATGCCACTGTCTAGAAAGGTTGCTGTCTCAGCAGTCTTTTTGTTTGGTGTAATGTAACGCAAATGCTTTCTTTTCTTCCTCTCCACCTCGAAACCCTTCATTGATTGTGACTAATACTTCAGTAGTGCTTGTGTCTCGTCTATTGTGAAACTAGCATTCGCCGTGAGTCTGATGCAGAACAAGGAGAACGTATCCTATTACAGCTGGCTAGAGGGAGTTTGGCCGCAGCCAGAGATAGCATCAGGGATCGTCGTTGCCTGTCTTCCAGTGCTGCCCAAGCTTTTCAACAGTCTAAAGCAGAACAACCGTATAGCCCGGATGAACAAGTCTCTTCAAGTACTTCTTCCCTCATTATCATTCGGAAGTTGGAGAAATACAGGAACCAGCAGGGTCGTAACCAGCGAGATAGCCACCACGGCTTGTCAATCTGTACAGACCAAGGACTGCCACTCAGATGACTATCCGCTTATTTCCTTGACAGCTGAAAGGCATCCGGTGTAGCTAATGGTTCGGCTCGAGTGCACAGTATTGTCATGGTTGAAATGAAACGCATGTCGGACGAACCCAGCTATTGACTGAAAGGATCATTGTAACTAAGTCAATCTCTCGCTTGAATCAAATGACAGTGTTCTAGTTTATTCACTTGCTAGACAAACGAAACATTAGACTTATCGAAATAATTACCGCCAGGCAACACAAAAGCGCCAACACACAGATTGGGCTCTATACAGTGTGTTTCAGTATTTATTTTTCTGTTTGACAATGCTAGTTTCAAGAATGTGCCACTGACGCCCATGCTATAGTCCTTTTGATTAACTGCGCTACCTTTCCTCTTGCAATAGGATCCGATCCCCGCCGTCATGAATGTAGACTGTTGCTGAGCTGGGGGCCATAGTGATAGTAACGATGGTATGTGGGCGGCTGGGATGTTGATCATTTCCGCATCCGCCTCGAAGTGCATTATTTGCCTGTCGCCGGGGCTGAGGAGCGTCCTCAGTTCTTCAGGGACTACTCCTGCAGAGCCAACCTGCACCGCGAAATACTGGCTGTAACATCACGAATGCTTGGCTGCGTTTCGTGGATTAGCTGCACAGCCAGCCCCCGAATGAGAAGCCCCATGACTCCATCAAAGGGACCGTCTTCTTCAACTAGCCGCCCAGGATCCCTGAGAGCCTTGGCTCCGTTTTCTTCAGTGTCATCCGCGTACGTGAGAAATGCATCATTTGGGGCCACGAGGCTCTCGGGCCCTGAAGAAATATCGCTAGTTGACGGCCGGCCGAAGAAAGCGAGAGCAAACCTGCTGGTACCAGGGGTCCTTTGCGTTGCGAACGCATTATCTATCCAATGGTTCGTGTGCTTTGGCCCAAGTAGTTTCCGAATTGCAGCTTGGAGCGTCAGCGATGCGTTGTCCTAAACGGGTCATGATTGATGTTACACACCTGTTTGATAATCGAAAATCTCCTGGTAGTAGCAAACAAGCACTAATGACGTATCAAGAGGGGGTGGCACTGTCTCACTGTGGCAGGAACCAAGGCCAGAGCCGTCTAAAACAGCAGGGTGTGGAGGTTTGAAGACTCGCCCGACCATTCTCGCCCACTCCATGCAGGCATTGGAATCGCATCTCTGTCAGCTAGAAAGGCTCAGCGGATTTCTGTTGCCCGAAAGCAAACACTGGGAGGTATCATGCCGTACTTATATCCCTGCCAAATGCGCAGGCTGGGCAGGCTGTCCCCACATGCCAGTACGTCGTCGTGCATGACGCTGCTAACCATCTATGTAGGAGGTAGTAGTATAGATCCCGGCTAGTAATTCTGCACGTAATCTGAGCAATTGATACTCGTCCGTATTTTTGTACTCAGAATCCCTGGTGCACACTATATATCCAGTACAGCTTTCACAGAGATTTCACGCCGGACACACACTCGACTCAGGCTTATGCAGAAATCCAAATCATGGATTCAGTTGTCTCGAACCCAATCGCAGTCATTGGCTTCTCCCTCAAGTTCCCGGGAGATGCCAATTCCTCAGAAGCATTCTGGCGCATGTTAGAAGAGAAAAGATGTGCAATGACTGAATGGCCGGTAGACCGAGTTAATCTGGAAGCATTTATTCACCGTGATTCAAAGGTGGCGTACGGTATATGACACGAGAAATTTTAAACTGACGTTGCTTGCAAGGACTACGTTCTGGGAGCCCATTTTATGAAAGAAGACCCTGCCTTGTTCGATGCTCCGTTCTTTGGAATCTCTGGAACCGAGGCAGCTGCCATGGATCCGCAACACCGCATCTTGCTAGAAACTGCGTATCGAGCTCTTGAATCTGGTAAGTCAGACACGTACTTTGTATAGGCATATAAGCTCACACCTCCATAGCGGGAATACCGATAGAAAAGGCAAGCGGAACCAAGACAGGCGTCTACACTGGTTGTATGACGGACGACTACAAGCGAATAACGAGCCATGATCTTGATCTTACTCCAAAGTACGCTGTTTTAGGTACGACAATGTCTATGCTAGCGAATAGATTGAGCTGGTTCCTCAACTTGCATGGTCCATCTGTGAGCTTGGACTCAGCATGCTCAAGTAGCTTAATGGCGCTGGACATGGCTTGCCAAGGGTTGCGAAACAAAGATTCGGATATGGTAAGTCCGACTGATACCTGACCTCACTGTCGTTTTAACTCAATGAATCAAAACGTATGTTAACTTTTGGGAGGCACTGGTAGCTGGGTCTGCCCTGATTCTGGGGGCTGAAGCCATTCTGTCCCTGACAAGGATGAATGTTTTGTCCCCTCATGGGCGTTCATATAGCTTCGACTCCAGGGCGAATGGATACGGTCGTGGTGAGGGATGTGGTGTAGTTGTTCTTAAGCGTCTATCAGATGCGATAGCAGATGGAGACTCTATCAGAGCCGTTATTCGTTCAACTGGCTCTAACCAAGACGGATATACACCCGGTGTGACACAACCGAGCAAGGAGTTGCAAGCTCGTTTGATTCTAGATACTTATAGAAAGGCTGGTTTAAGTCTTTCAGAGACCAGATTCTTTGAAGCGCATGGTAGGGTAGATGTGGCTTTTCTATTGGGATCAAGTGGCTCACGCGGAAGTAGGAACCGGCACCGCGATTGGTGATCCTACAGAGGCCGAAGCAATAGGAAGCGTATTCAGAATGATTCGCTCGGCGGATGATCCCCTCTATATGTATGAATCAACAATTATCCTATGGCCCTCAATCGTTTGCTGACAGTTCGAAATAGTGGTGCGGTAAAATCTAATATTGGCCATCTAGAAGGTGGCAGTGGGATAGCCGGCATCATAAAAACCATCATGGTGCTTGAAAAAGGGATCATACCACCGAACGCGAACTTTGAGTGCTTAAACCCTGAGATAGATGCAGAGTTCTTGAACATCAAAGTAAGTCATTGGGAGTATCACTGGAATTGAGACACATGTTTAGATTGTTCAAGATCCCTACCGAGAACACACCCTGGCCTACTAAAGGGCTGCGGAGAGCGTCAGTCTCTTCCTTCGGCTATGGGGGCTCAAATGCCCATGCGGTGTTAGAAGATGCTTTTCACTACTTGGAAAGCCACAACCTCACTGCAACGCACTTCTCTGTTACGGATCCTCCATCCGATAGAAAACTAACAAATCACTCTGAACAACACCCTGTTGATGTACCTGGTAATCACAATACCAAGCGACCAGTAAGGCGGCTTTTGAAGCCTTTATTGTTCGTTTGGTCATCCAAAGACGAGGGAGGAGTCCAGCGGACGGTTGATGCATATAACCATTTTTTCCGGGGAATCACAGATAAAGATATCGACGAAGCAAGGTTTCTAGGCCAATTAGCCACGATTCTGGCGGTTAAGAGAAGTAAACTGTCATGGAGAGTATTTGCCCTGGCAGATTCCTTGGGTACGTTGAAAACCTTGGAAAGCGTGACGTCGAAGCCCATCCAAACGAGCAAACTCCTCGGCCTTGGGTATATATTCACGGGTCAAGGAGCACAGTACTACCATATGGGCATGGACCTTATCCAATATCCTGTTTTTCGTCAGACCATGGAGTTATGTGATGAGGCCCTTCATTCTTTTGGCTGTGGGTGGTCAACCCTGGGTAAGTCACGCTCATGATTCTTGGTTAATTCCCACTTTGGCATATGAAGGTCACATTCTCAGTTACATCTCTCGTGGGATTTATATCATACAATCTTACAATAAACCTTGAATCATCTTCAACGTTCTAACAGAGTGCAGACCTACTAGCCCATCCGGATGTTTCTTATGATATCAGTGATCCTGAGATCTCGCAGCCACTTACAACGGCATTACAAATATCATTAGTGGAATTGTTATCTTTTTTCGGTCTCAAGCCATCAACTGTTGTTGGACATTCCTCTGGCGAAATTGCTGCTGCGTAAGTCACTTTATATCCAAATCAGCAATTCCTCAGCTTACAATATTAGCTATGCGGCAGGAGCACTCTCGTTGCCCTCAGCTTGCCAGGTGTCATACTTCCGAGGTGTACATGCGGGTAGCCTCAAAAAAAGAGGCACGGGTGCAATGCTGGCAGTTAGCCTTTCTGAAAATGAGGTTGAACCATACCTAGAGCTCGCACGATCTAAACATGGGAACTTGAGTCTTTTTGTATCGTGCATAAATAGTCCATCCAATATAACCATTTCTGGAGATTCTGAAATGGTTGGCTATTTGAAGGCAACCCTGGACAAGGAGAATATCACCTCACGCCCGCTAAGGACAGGAATAGCATACCACACTCCTCAGATGAGAGAGATTTCAGCAGACTACGCGCTATCCCTGCAAGGACTAACAAGGTCACCGCAAGTTACTCGTTCAGTGACCATGATATCATCTGTATCGGGAAAAATGATTGAGAATCTGGAGTCTCTTTCCACCCCCAACTACTGGGTCAAAAACCTTCTGAATCCAGTAAGGTTCTGCAACGCAATGATCGAAGCTTTATCTAGTACTACAATTGATCAGACAAGGAGAAAACATGGGTCCTCTAAAGAACCTACAGTGTCTGACTGGCTGGAAGTTGGTCCTCATTCAACCCTCCAGCGGCCTTTCCGTGAAATCCTCCAAGCGACTCCCAATAAAGGGGACGTCAGATATGCCTCAGTCCTTGATAGACGGCTTCCTCCTTTCCAATCTTTACTTTCGTTGGCTGGTCGTCTCTACTCCCAAGGCTTTGAAATATCCCTGAACAAGATCAATCAAATACAGGAGGGAATGCCAATCTCCGAGAAAGCCCTGGTGAATCTTCCCGAGTACCAATTCAATCACTCAAGGAGATATTGGCATGAATCATCAACTGGCAGGAATGTCCGCTTGAGGCCGCACAAGCGCCATGAACTTCTTGGTACTCCTACACCGGAATCAACTCCTTCGGAGGCAATATGGAGGAAAATATTTGATTCATCTGAGACACCGTGGATCCTGGATCACAGCGTAAACGGAAAGCCTATATATCCTGCCAGCGGAATGATCGTTATGGCCGTTGAGGGAGCCACACAACTGGTGAATCAAACACGCAATATATCCGGATTTCTTGTTCAAGATGCAGTCTTCATGCATCCAATTTCCATTAGCCAAATTGCAACAACAGAGGCCAATTTATATATGCGATCCTTGCATCAGGTTGTTGATAAAAGTTCCCAATCTTATGAGTTTCGTATCTATACAGAGCTCGGACATCAATGGCAAGAGACTTGCCGAGGGATTATCTCGGTACAATCTGAGAATCAAGTTGGTGAGACTGACCAGAATATCCTGAATCTTCTTCGCGCCTCGGAGTCAGAGCATTATCAAAGCCAACTGGAAGATGCAGTGCGCCAATGCCGTGAGAAGGTCTCCTCCACTACGATGTATAAGGCTTTCGAGGCCAATGGCCTGAACTACGGCCCCGCATTTCAGGTTCTCGATGATATAGCTTGGAATGACAATGGCTGTGCGGTAGGGACTATTAAGGTGTTCCCATGGACGAGGAAGCAATCCCGAAATGGCCAACAAAGACACGTTATACATCCAGCGACAGTTGATGGTCTTGGTCAGCTTGGTTGGGCTGCACTTACAAAGGGAGGTCGAGTGGTACTCTCCAATGGATTGGTATCTACACGTGTACGGCAAGCCTGGATATCTGCAAGCGGAGCTTCGTCCTTCCAAACCTCTAGGTTGAAAGCTTACACCCAATCTGAGATAGTAGGGCTCCGTGGGGCAAACATATCTGTGGTAGCGTTAGATGATGCTGGCCGACCGAAATTGCGTATTTCAAGCATTGAAATGACCTCGGTCTCTGGTAGTTGGGAAACCAGTACAGCTAGCCTGCAGCGCAAACAATTGTGCTACTCGATCGAGTGGAAGCCTGATATACAGCTTTTGTCCAAAGAGCAGCTCCAAATTCAGTTCGGTCCCCAGCAAAGAGATGAAGACCACTATGAATTTTGGGATTATCTTGAAATCCTGCTTCTGTACTTTGCTCGCAAGGTGGTACAGAAAGCAGATGCTTTGGGAACATCTCATCTATCATTCCACCTTCAAAAGTATGTTTCCTGGTTAAAGTGGCAACTTGATCGTTATAATTCTGGCCATGTGCTGCCAATTTTGGGCCATCACCCTCTTCTCCAAGATGACGACCCTGAACTTGTCCAAAGACTCTGCCAGAAAGTTATGGAAATGAGCCCAGAAGGGAATCTATTTGTTACAGTGGGAAATAAGATAGAGGGAATCCTCGAGGGAACCGTTGAACCTTTAGAGCTATTGTTTAGCGATGGTTTGGCAGCAAATCACTACTGCCTGGCATGCAACAGATTACTGGAGCGTGGCCATTTTAGCAGCTATCTTGAGGCTTTGGGGCATCGGAGCCCGTCGATGAGGATCTTAGAGATAGGTGCTGGGACGGGCTCAATGACGAATCATATTCTCCAAGCATTGAGTTCGAACAGTACTGGAAAAGGCCACATGTCAAAATTTCTGCGGTATGATTACACTGATATCTCGGAAGCCTTCTTCGAAGATGCAAGACAACGTTACGCTTCTTACGGACAGAAATTTAACTTTCGTATTCTTGACATTGAGAATGACCCGGGAAAACAGGGCTTCGAGCTTGGAAGCTACGATCTTGTAGTGGCTGGATGGGTGAGTAATGACTCTGATCCTAGTATGGATTCTTCTAACAAGTGCAACAGGTTCTACATGCGACTAAAAATCTCAGTGTGTCTATTCATAATGTTAGAAAGTTGCTTAAGCCGTGAGTTTCTTTCTCCTATTCTAGTAATGATAGTAGCTCCTTCTAATGATACTGAATGGCTTAGTGGTGGGAAGCTTGTGCTGGTAGAGTTGACACAACCCGAGACCTTAAGGAATGGCTTTATTTTTGGCACTCTTCCTGGATGGTGGCTAAGCACTGAAGAGTACCGGCAATGGGGACCTTCGATATCGGAAGAGAAGTGGACTGAAATACTCAAACTAAACCACTTCAACGATCTCGACCTTGTGTATGCAGATAATGAGACAGAAAGATACCGGGAGCACAGCCTCATGGTCGCTACAGCAGCATGCACGACGACTGGACTTTCCATGCAAGGCAATACGAGAAGGCGTATTGTTTTCGTCGTTGATGCTAATCGCCAGTTGCAAGCAAATTTGGTTCAATATCTTACCCATGCTCTAAGCTCGGAGCAGATAGAATGCGAAACTTTATCATTCAGAGAAATAGCAGCGTTGTCAGTGGCCGATAACCCCTTGGTTGTTTTCCTCCCTGAGATTGAAACATCTGTCCTTGCCGACTTGAGCAATGATCTCTTCCAGGCACTGCACACATTTCTCTGTACGGTACAAGATGTGGTATGGGTTACAGCTTCTAGCAAAAGAACCCCAGCATCGGCAAAGATGCATCTCATTCGAGGATTGGCCAAAGTGCTCTGCACAGAGAACGACCGGCTGTCCTTTGTCACAGCAAGCCTGGAACACCGCGGGGATAACCTTGCACGTTGGGAGAAGCACATCCACAGCATAATATCGAGTCGCCTATTAGAAGGTAGAGAGGCCACCGAATTAGATTATCAGGAGCAGGATGGAGTTTTGTGCATTGGCCGAGTAGCCGAGGCTGAGGACATGAACGACCTCTTGTTTGAGCAAACCCAGGCACCGTTGAAAATGAGGCAATTTCGACAGAATATCCCGCTATCTGTCCGTATCTCTAACCCAGGGTCTCTCGATGCCAACTCGATGATATTTGTCGAAGACTTGGAGTATGGCAAAGGTCATCTTTCACCTTATGAGATTGAAATCGAGGTTAAGTCAGTTGGCGTGAACTTCCGGGATGTGCTTATCTTGCTCGGGAAATTGCGCGACGGCGCCACATTAGGACATGACTGTGCGGGAATTGTGACTCGTGTTGGCTCACATTGTCAGTCTCTCAGGCCTGGAGACCCTGTTTGCGCCGCAATTGGAGGTTGTCTTCGCACCTTTGCTCGATGTGACTATCGTCAAGCATGCAAACTCCCCAACGACATGACATTCACTGTGGCTGCGAGCATACCTACTCCCGGCGCAACGGCTTACCATTGTTTAGTAAAGATTGCTCACCTCCAAAAGGGCGAGTCAGTTCTCATTCATGCTGGAGCCGGTGGTACTGGGCAGATGGCGATTCAAATAGCTCAAAACTTAGGCGCAGAAATATTTGTGACTGTTGGATCACAGGAAAAGCGAAACCTTCTTTCAGAGAGATATAACATCCCGCAAGATCACATCTTGTATAGCAGAGACACTTCTTTTACCAGGCGCCTAATGCAATTGACCGGCGACAGAGGAGTGGACGTGGTGCTTAATTCATTATCAGGAGATAGTCTCATTGCTTCATGGGAATGCATCGCACCGTTTGGTCGATTTGTCGAGATCGGAAGAGCTGACGTGGACGCAAACTCAAGGCTCCCAATGGGCAGATTCGCAAAAAATGTGTCCTTCTCTGTTGTGGCGATGGATCATGTTTGCCATGCATGCCCGGCACTTCTCCAAGAGTCCTTAGAGCCCGTGCTGAGAATGATCGCAGAAAAAGCTCTACAGCCAGCCTGGCCACTACAAGTCTATCCCGTTTCTGCCCTTGAGGATGCTTTTCGGCTAGTGCAGAGCGGAAAGAGCAGTGGTAAGGTAGTCATAAGCCTGGGCGAGGCGGATATCGTGCGTGTAAGTATCCTGGAATTTGAAAGTCTCGTCATCAATGTTGCTGACATTTCACTATCAAAAAGACCTCCTTGCGCCATGAGCCATCTTACTTGCTCTCTCCAGATGCGACATATGTCATTGCAGGAGGGCTCGGGGGTCTTGGCCGTAGTTCTGCTCGATGGATGGCGTCAATGGGGGCAAAGCATCTGATTCTGCTGTCACGTTCAGGGCCAAAGACGGATGCCTCCCGACAGTTGATAGAGGAACTCGCCAAGCATGGAGTCAATGTAAGAACGCCACGCTGCGATGTTGCCTGCATGGACGCACTATCTGCGGCGCTCCTTGATTGCAGCGACTTGCCTCCGATAAAGGGTTGCATCCAAGCCACAATGGTCTTACAGGTAGGCCTTCATCCACAAATTCTAAGCGTAAATGTCAAAAAAGGGCTAACTATAAATCTTTTATATAGGACACTATATTCGAAAAACTAACTTATGCTCAGTGGGATGCTACTATTCGCTCAAAAGTACACAGTACTTTGAACTTGCACTCCCTTCTTCCAACAGACCTGGATTTCTTCATTCTTCTCTCCTCTCTCGCTGGAGTTTTTGGTTCAGTCTCCCAAGCTAACTATGCAGCTGGAAACGCATTCCAAGACGCATTTGCTGCATATAGACGGTCGCTCGGCCAGCGCGCCATCTCCCTTGACCTGGGCCGAATGGACGGTGTTGGCATTATCGCAGAAAACGAGAAATACGCACAGAACCAGAACAATGTGCCCGTAATGGCGCACATCCCTGAGGCCGATTTCCATGCATTACTAGAGCAATGTTGCCGCCCGGAGCATAAGGACACCCCAGACCAAGTAGTACCGGAACCAAAGCCTGGCACATTAGCTCAAACGCACCAAATCCTCGTTGGCCTCACTACCCCCGCACAGTTTCGCGCACAGAACATCGATCCTCCCACATGGCTCTTGGAGCGCGGGCTTTTCAAAACCCTCCAGCGGGAGTTGGTAGAGGACACGGAAGGGGAACACTTCCCGGACCCGAACACAGCTTCAAACAGCCCAAGTTACTGGCAATCTGCGTTTGTGCGCGCAGGTCCCTCCTCGGCTTCGTCAGTTGTGGTAAAGGGACTGACCCAGAAGCTCTCACGTGCGCTTGACGTGTCAATCGAAGAGATTGATCTGCAGCGGTCTCTGGCCATGCAGGGCGTTGACTCATTGTTGGCCGTAGAATTGCGCCATTGGATATCTCGCGCCTTTAAAGCGGACGTCTCCGCCCTGGATATTAGCAGTGCGCCCAGTTTGGATGAGTTAGGTGCGTTGATTGTGGAACGAAGTGAGCTCTTTCAGGGGCAGCGAGCGGAAATGCAGTAACCAGAACAACATTTATCATGTATTACATTAATCTGGCTGTGATTTCGAGTATTTAACATGCTGAGAAGTTGACTAAACAATAGCAACTTACTTTCACTATTCCAGTTCTTATGTAGGAATTTCAGAATAGATATGCGAGCTATGTAATAAGAAACTATATTCTACTTTACAGAATAGGCCATGATAGCCCATTTATATCAAGATACCGTATCTCTGCTTCCAATCGTGTTTGCAGCTATTATGGTACAGACCAGTCGGCATCTCGCGGGATAGAGGTTGCAGCATAGATTGTCAGTATCTATCTTAGAACAACTCCACAGGGGCTCTGTTTTTCTCAACACTATCTTAACAATTGTCGCTTCGAGCTGTCAATCTCCTAGTATTCTTTCTAGCCATACCTTGGAGTATACCGCTGCTTAGCAGTCAGTCGATACTTCACATGGTCTGTATTGAGTCTACAACTGCAGTCGCACTGCGGACGTGTTCTAGGAGGAATGTAGGTGTTAGGGATATGATGCACCACGTGACTGAGACTGAGAGAGAAAATGGCACTGGCAATTGCCTAAGGGTTAAGGAGTGTTGCCGCCTAACTAGTCCCCGAGTCCTAGGGCATCAAACATCTTCTTTTTACCTGGACAGTATAAAACAAACTCAGAGATGATTTCTTTATCTCAACAACTCCTACAAGAGCGCCCTGTATACAATACTGCTCTTAAGCTTTCTTGACGATGGAAGAAGTCCAACGGGACCACCAGTACCGACTTTTCCTCCGTCTATTCATGTCAGAAGACATTTTGGATATCAAAACTACCAATGACTCCTCGATAACCAATATTGACGAAGTAGTGAGAAAAAATCCCAAGTTAAAGAGGTTTGTTGGTTACAAAGATGCGATCACCGACCCCGTCTATATAGACAAGGGCGAACAGGGCTTTGTTTTCCGGTTCAAACACAATGAACGAGATCTCTGCCTGAAGTTGGTAGGTCTATGTGGCTATCTTCTCTTCAGTGGTCATTAATAACTGAGTATGCAGTTCTATGATTACGAGGACCCACGGCCATATCACGAAAAGACCATCGCTTTGATCAGTCCTATTGGATTGGAATCACGTGCATTTGCTCGTCTCTGCGACCTACATGAGAATGGCCATTGGGCAGTGCAGTGTCATGGATGGATGTGTCTCACTGACTCCCAGCTTCAACAGCTTCGGGAAGCAAGTGGACGAGTGAGAAATAACTGGCGTTGGCATAAGGTCCGCTGGGGTATCGTGAAGGACTTCGTTGCTGATGAGCCGCCGAGCTGTCAAGACGAAAGGTTCCGGCTAATTATTTCAAATTTCTCCGTCCCAAAACGCGGCCAAATTCTCCCTCGCGATATCAAGAAGGAAAATTATAGAGGGGAACTTATTGTTGATCTAGGATCTACTGTTACCTTCCCTTTCTATCGTTACTTCGCGAGACAGACTGATCTCGATAGGTTCTTTGAGGACTTGGACCGATTTGGATTACCTGCGTGGGACCGGTAGAATATAGTGACATTGCGGTCCTCTTTTTCAGGCTTCCGAAATTCTTACAAGATAGTGGTCTCCTTAAACTTAGAGCCTTGTAAGCCATGGTTTCATCTACATTCAGCTTCGTAAAATTGACCCAGCAGACCTGCTTTATATAGTATAAACTCGACATCCTCGCGGATTGCTTTTGGATATAACTTAATAGGACTGTAGTCTGGGGCCGTACTGCATAGCCCTGAATCCCCACAATATGGGCAGAAATGCTCTGGCCTCTGTCCACTTTTGGCATTATGATCAGCATAATCCTCATCCTATCTAAGGTGGACAGCGCCCTCACACTAGCAGTACCGATCACAGTAGAATAGACTGATAAAAAGGTATAGTCGAAAACGCCGCTGAGCACTTGCTGCAAGACTGGTTGAAGTAAATTAAATCCATCCAGAAATTGGAGGCTACAACAATAATTTGCCTCAGCAATATACATGAGTCATTGTATGAAGTTGGAGCACTGGATGAAGGCAGCAAAAGCATGATATTAATAACTATCTCGAGATTTCACTACCCCGAGCCATCCACCATATGTATTCAACTGGCTTAGAGCGCCTCAATAGCGTACTGGAAGTCATCCAGAAGAAGCGTGATGTTCTCCGTCAACTCCTTATCCTTCCCAGCAGACTTAATGCGGAAGAATAAGGAATCCACAAGATACAGATCGTCAAGATCAACCGTCTGCAACGCGTTTGTGTTGGTATACTGAACCGAAACGTACTTCTGGCGAGCTAGGGTAGCTCCGGTGATCTGAATCTCACACGGAACTGTCTGTTTTTTGCTTCCTTTCTTGACGCTGCAGCCGAGTTTCACAGACTTTCCGTTGAATTTATCCTTGCCCCCGTCCACACTGACATAACCCCGGACATTGACGTCGGTGATGTTGGTCATTGGGTAGAACAAGAGCTTGTTTCCGTTGGTGGTCTTGACGTTCGAGGCTTGAACGGAATAGCGGCCAACTTGCCAGTCGCCTTGGTATTTCAGGCCCTGGAAGGGGTTGGGCTTGAGGGGACCAAGAGCGCGATTATTGAACTACGGGGATTCCAATCAGTACCAAGATAAGACTGCAAGATTGATTTAAGATATCTTACTGGAATATTCCAGTCTTTCGCTGCCTCGGTAGGAGCGGCAACAGCTACACTGGCCGCGACTGAAAGGAGGGAGAGGAATGAAAACTTCATGTTGAATTGTGTGCAGATGCCAAAACCCGAAAGGAAGAGAGATAAGAATCAATATTTGAGGTGAGGGATAGTGGTGGGATAATAAGGACCCGTTGCCCCTTTTATACGACTGCCAGGGCTGAATGGCCCATCTCGGACAAGGGGTTGACATTTCCAGCCGCACAGACTGTGGGACCCGGATCTTCAATTGAGTTTATGACTAGCATGCTATTAAGGTACAATCAGGGTTTGATATCTGTACGAAAAGAGGATCAATCTCGGAGCTGTTCGGTACCCTTGCATCCTCACATATCAAATAAATCGACAGATCAGATGATTTACATTCCGGACACGAAGAATCGCCCTCCCTTGGAGCCTTTGGGAAGAAAAGCAAAACTTGACTATTGGCATATAGAAGATCTTGGACCGGATTGAAAAGATATTACATAACGTCCTATACCCAGAGAAAAGGCAAAGTACTTGCCGATCTACTTGTTGGGGATATTAGAACAGCCATACCCAATAATAACATAAATACGGCCCTCAATATGACAGCCCCAAGGCAATCCTTTGAGGCAGCGGCATACACCGCCGAAATATGTATTGCAGGCATTGCTTCCACCCAGAATTGCTGGTGGATTTTAGGGAGTCATGGCTGGCTACTTTTTGTTCGCTGAGAGGTCTTGTGTTTTGCAGATTGCTACTGCTGCATTTGCATTCCATAGAAGCAAGCTATCATTGCGAAGACTGCTGATATCATAGAAAAAGGCCGGCAGATAGTGAAATGAGAGTTTTGTCACTTCTGCACCTATGAAGAATATCCAACGTCAACGGTTATGCGACCTACGCTAGGAGGGATCTGTACGTTGAAGAGTAGCGGAGAACCCTGGCCTTGGACATCAAAGACATAGGTACACTCTTACTCGCGAATAACGTAGTAAAAGCACGCCGGATATCGTCAGTTTCTTATCCGTTCCTTTAGTAGGGGATTGTTCCAGCACCAACACCGGATATTTGGTGAGTCCGCTGCTCACCAGGGACTCAGCGAGGACTCACATCTGGGGCATGGATAAGGAAATAAGAGTCTTACTTTTAAGTAGATTAATGCTAGCAACACACTTGCCTGCATCCAGGGATTGTGGTTAATGGAAATATATAACTGCTATCTCCCAGTGAAAGGGTTTCTGGATACACGTACTCTGTAGACATCCATCACGTTGCGCGCTTGAAGAACCAGCAATCTTCCTCACCGTCGGGTGGAGACAAAAAGCCCCTCCTCTTCTTCCTCTAAGCCAGTATCCTGTCCCGCGATCCACCAGGTAAATCCTGCTTCCTTCTTGGCACGCCCAATCCAGTGCGTCGCAGGAATCCGCGGGAAACCCTCAATAGCCCCAGGGTCGCATGCCGCGGGCATGTGTTTCACGTCCTCCTCGCGGATAATGACCTCGGCGACGTGTTCCTGGATCTTTATTTTCGATTCTTGCTTGCACACCACTGCAGCCACCACTGCGTCTGAGATCGTGGCCAAGGGCATCAACGCCAAGCTACCCCTCAGCCCTCCTGTCGTAGGGACACTTTCTAGTTTGAAGATGAGATCGTGGAACTCCTTCTCGAGTTCAGGGGGTGGAGGATTCATGTGCTCTGCCTGAACAGGACGATGGATGCAGACGGGCAGTCCCAAGCGCTCCGCCGCGTTCGTGAGCAAGCGCTCGCTAGCCCATTTGGAAGCCAGATGTCCATCGGCCCCATTGAAAGGGGGCGTCTCATCCATAGGGATCGATGTCACTTGTCCGCTGGAGATGAAGTGGAGTGGGACCTGGCGGCGCTGCCCGAGACGGATAAGCGTCCTGGTGCTGTGAACGTTTTCCGCACGTACGACTGGGTATGCGTCCCAGAACGACCGGTTCGCTCCGCAGTGAACAATGCGGTCTGCCTGTTCTGCCAGTGATGCGAATGTCTCTGGGTTCAGACCTAACAGAGGAGCTGCCAGGTCGCCGTAATGGGTTGTGACTTTCGACGACGTGCTGGCAAGAACACGATCCTGATGGCCGGATGCGCTGCGTACTGCAATTGCGTGGATGCGGCCCACATGCGGACTCGCTGCCAGGCCCTGGAGAATTCGTGACCCCAGAAAACCTGTCGCACCAGTTAAGACTACAGTCAGATCACTGCTGGTTCGAGGCGGAGACCCTTGTGTTGAATTATCCTCCTGCAGATCATCGACGGACGTGTCCGCCTGCCAGTCAATCGGAGCCGCAGTCTGATAATGGGCGATCTTCTGTGCCATATCACCGAGTTGGTTCGCTTCCATCAATTCTCTCACCGGGACTCTGGCACCCAGATCCTGGGCAATGGTTGCCTGCAGCTTTATGAGGGAAAGTGAGTTCCCACCCACGAGGAAAAAGTCCGTGTTGGGGGCGATCGTAGAAATATCAACGGTATCTGGCAGGACTTTAGCCCATGCTTGTCGTAACCGGCCCTCTAATCTGGTGAGACTGGTACTCATAGAGGAGTCTTCCGTCGTCCTCTTGGGGACGGTGATCGAGAGCGCCTTCACTGCATGACGGTCAACCTTGCCGTGGATATTAAGTGGAATTTGCTCCACAGGCACAATGATAGCAGGCCACATATATTGCGGAAGCGTCAGGCTTGCCCGAATCTGCTCTAATAAGCTTTCGCGCTTCCCCCAGTGACTCGGATCAAATTCAACGTGGGCCGCAAGGAATGCAGTATCAGCTTCGCCTCGGAGTGATGCGACCGCTTTGATGAGAGTGCCCCTACTGGCCTGCAAGATTCCGTGTTCGATATCCTGCAGTTCTATGCGGATGCCACGCAGCTTCACTTGGGTATCCCCATCGATCCGACCTTCAATCGCTAGAGTACCATCGGGAAGCAAACGGCCGCGATCGGACGTTCGGTACATATGTGTCCAGCCCCGATCAAGGTCTTCCTGAGTGGCATGGCTGTTAGGGATGAACTTCTCCTCCGTTGCTGGTCCCAGATTTAAATAGCCCAGGCCAACCCCCGCACCGCCTATTAGCACTTCTCCTGATACGCCCTGTGGCACTGGCCTCATCTGCTTATCGACAATGTAGGTTGTGTAGTTGGGAAGTGGCTTCCCGACCGAATATGTACCTTCTGTGTCTCGCAAGGGATCCAAATCCTGATACTGGACTTCCGTCGAATGGGATGCTAGAGTTTCCGATGGGCCATAGACGTTGAAAAGGCGCAGGCCCGGTATCCCAAGGCGTTGGAATTCCAAACCAAGGGATCGCGTCAGAATTTCTCCCGCCGCATACGCAATCCTCCAATTTGTTGCCTCCTTTAGGGTCTCGCCCCCATATGACAGCCAGGTGGCATACTCGGATGGCGTTGCCACGGTATAGGTCACTTTGCCCTCCAGCATGGCGTTGGCCAATTCCACAGGATCCCCTCTCAGGGCGCGAGGGACTACGATGACTCTTCCACCCGTGGCGAGCCCAGTAAGCGCCTGCATTAAGGATAAGTCGAATGTTAGGGCGCTTTGTTGCAAAGCCGTTTCGCTTCCTAATCTGGATTGCTGGATATCGCCCTCTATCGCGTTGCGGAGACTCGAGTGTCTAAGACAGATCCCTTTTGGTTGACCAGTGGTGCCACTGCTATGAAGGACCGCGCAGCAGGCTTCTGGCGTCGACTGGTTTTCCAGTATGGGTATTGCCGTGTCATAGCGGAGCCGGGAAGTGTTCAGTATGTGTATTGAGCTCGGGCATGAGACTCGGTGGACGTCGGCCTCCGTATCATCATGGCAGACCATAGCCTGTGGTTGGCAAGCTTGGATGATGGTTGCTAGGCGTGGCAATGGATTCCGCAGGTCTAGGGGTACGTACGTCGCATTCAACCGCCAGATAGCCAACATACAGCTGATCCACCCTGCCGTCGGATGCTGGAACAAGCACACACGCGACCCAGGTCCCACACCCATACTACGCAGCTCACTCGCAATCACATTGACTCGAGTCATGAGCTGGCTGTAAGTGAGCGCCGTGGACCCTCCCGCATCCTGTACGGCGATCCGAGCAGGGTGGGAGGTCGCTACATGATCGATATGTTTAGAAATTGTGGATGGCCACTGCGAGGCCAGCAACCGGCCTCTACCAAGAGAGACAGACGACTGAATGTCCAGCGATTGATACAACGGGGGCTGCATCACGTTGACTTCATCCGAATTGACAAACGATTGTACCAGTCCGCCATAGCTCTGCGCCAGGAGGTCTGCTCCCCGACGCGAGAACAGCGCTTCTTGCAGATGAAAGTCGATCGTGGTCGATCCGTCTTCTGATCCTACGAATTGCAGCATGATATCGTACGGCACTCGGCCGTGTGTCCACTCCTTCCGCACGATCTTGATGTCGTCGAACATGTGAGTGGCGCCAGACTGTGGCTGCCAATCCACCAAGACTTGGAAAAGCGGGTTGTATGCGGTCGACCGGGTTACTCCCAGATCTGCCAGCATCGCATCATACGGGAGTCTGGAATTGGCCCTCGCCAATCTGGTCTTCCCATCCATGAGTTCCAAAATGTGTCGGAAGGGCTGCGAAGCATTGTCTACGGAGAGCCTAATTGGTAAAATATTCAGCTGGAAACCGACCGTCCGCAGGCTACTGGCGTCGGCTCGACCGGTATCCACAAACCCTATGCAAACACCATCAGTGTCTGTAAGCCTTGCAAGCAACACCCATAGAACAGCCATGTAGAAGTTGAATGGGGTCGTCCGATTGCGGCGGCAGATGGCTTGGACCTGAGCCGTGACCGAAGGGGGTAGGCTATGCCGCACAGTCGTCATGGCGTATTTCTTGAGAACCGTTCGGGATCGCACGCGACACATTGGAAGGAGAGGCATCGGGCCAGGCAAGTCAGCGAACTCCGTCCGCCAGTATTCCAACTCTTGGGTAAACGCTCCGTTTTCAAACGAGGCATGTTGTGCGGCGGCCAACGCCGGGTATTGCAGGGACAGGGCAGGCAGTGGCCGGTGTTGGTATACCATTTCAAGTTCCTCAAAAAGAATGAACACGCTGGCGGCATCGAGACAGATGTGATGATATCCGATGATGAGAACTTGGATATCATGTGGGGCCATAACGAGGCAGATCTGCGCCACATCCCCGTGGGCGAGATCGTAAACATGGTCACAGATTCGCTCATATACGTCTCTGATTGCGTCGGCATTGTGAACGTAGTTGACTTCCAGCTGCCAGCGTGAGGTCGACATGACGGCCTGACATGGATCGTTGGTCCCGTTGATGCCAGGTAGGAAGCATGTTCGTAGCGCCTCATGTCTCATCCCCACGCGATTAACCGCGACTTTTAGATCGTCCACCCGTGGCACTTGATCCAGACTAAATAGCATAGCGATGTTATGCATTGTTTTGTCTTCTAGAAGGTTGTCCAGGAACCAGAAGCGCGCCTGTGAAAACGACAATCGCTCGATCTTTTCAAACTCAGGCTGGGCTATCGGCTGGGGTGAGCTTGGTGTGTTCCTTGTGGAGGATTCGATATCGTCCTTGGAAGCGGATATGCTTGTTGTAGGGGTGAGTTCAAGGTCGGAGGCGTCCGAAGGGTTAGGGGAGGACGTTGAAAGCTGCGTGGCATCACTTGGACTGTTTTGAGCATTAACAGAGTCCACATTGGCTGCAGGTGAAGCTACATCCTGGACCAGTTGCAGCCTTTCTACTAGTCGCCCACTGGCCTCCTCGACGAGTTGGCCAATAGATGCGCCGCTGAGGAGCTGTAGCACGGCCAGGTCAATACCCAGATCTTTAACAAACCATGTGCGGAGCTCAACAGCCACCAAGGAGTCGACTCCTAGCTCCACCAGCATCGCGTCACGAGAGATGACCTCCTCGTCAGGAAGCTGCAACTTGCGGCGCACTTTGGATATGAACGCGGGCTCCAGAAGTCGTATCATGTCTTCCTTAGAAGTAACAGTTTCTAATTGGGTCTTAATATCAATGCTGTGTGCTGTTGTTCTCACATCGCCCGCAGATCCTTGGTTGAAATGGTTGACATGATGCCAGGTTTTTGGATTATTATACCATATAATATCTGGCTGCTTCGGCGGTGAAACATGCGATAAGCCTGCCAAAATATCTGCAGGCCGGCAAGCGTCTGGACGCCCAGCAACAATGGCCTCAGCGAGCAGCTCGTGGATATCCCCTGCGGAAAGAGTAATGTCGCTCATGGTGTCGCGGAGCGACTGCATCACCCAGGACTGTGCTCGGGACAAATACCCAACCCCTTGGATAGAGCCGGGACTGATCATACTTCCCACCTGGCCACGAGCCCTCCTTCTCTCCACGAGACTGGCCATAAAGCCATTGGCAGCGGCGTAGGCGGATTGACCGATGTTGCCTAAGTGGGCCGAGAAGGATCCAAACATGATGAAAAAGTCCAGCGGCGCATTGCCAAAAACCTCGTCTAGGAGCAAGCTTCCCTGAACCTTTGGCATGAGGGTCTGCTGCAAAATATCCCAGGACATAGTCGCGAACACCTGATCCTTAATAACCATTGCTCCGTTCACCACGCCTCCAAGCGGCGGGAACTTGGCACGGATATCAGCGTCAACCGTGAGAATCGATTCTTTGTCAGTGACATCCCTATAGTCAAGTCAGATTTATACGTGATTTGGAGTATACTGGGCGTTGACTCACATTGCCATCGCAGCCACACATGCGCCAGCATCAGACATTGAGTCAAACCAGTGCTGTTTGATTTGTGGCCGGCGACTGGCCAGAACTATATGGCGCGCTCCTCGGGAAACCATCCACTCACATACCGATCTTCCAAGATCTCCAGTCATTCCGATCAGCAGGTATGTTTTGTTTGGGCTTAGATGGATATCGGCGCTGGCCGATTGAGTTCGCACGGGGACATCAGATACTTCCCGCCAATTCAACAGGCTCAACCCATCTATTCTTGCTTGAACGCCCTGGAGACCGGGAAGACTGGGGTGATTGGTATCGATACTCTCTGCCACAAGCGGACAGGCCATGCGATAAGCGCGGTTCAGGTTGTGGCCAACCTCTTCGATGTCATGTTTGGGATAAAACACCGGGGAAGTGTGACAGAGATCTGTTATATCTTGCACCACAGCATTGGGATAAAGAGAGCGGAAATGGCGGGATATTGAGCCAGTTTCCCCGTCTAGCTGGAGAATGCGCGAAACATCCCCACGAAGCTGACATTTCAGTCTCCGGTATGTACTCGAGGGGTGGATGAACACGACGTCGTCTGATAAGTCTTCATTGCTGCTAGTGGTAAACAAGGGCTGGACCCCTCTGACCGACGCCTGCTGCTTCAGCGCATCTCGGAGGCTTCGACAGGCGCCATGCACCAGCAGACAGGTACCAGGGATAGTAGCTCTGACCAGGGATATTGCCAGGATGGCCCAGGCGACGGCACTCAGGAGACTCCGATCTTCTACGTCAGGGACCTGACTGTATCGGATAGTCCAGCTAGCCGGAGTGACGATTGTGGATGCGAGGCTACGAGATAGTGCAATGACCGGGACAAGAGTGCGCTCCTCCTGACCAATAACCACATACAAGAATCCAGCCTCATCTATTCGCAATGCCGACAGAGTAGACCAGCGGACTCTAATCTTGGTGCTCGCTGAGTTTGTGGGTTCACAGACACGTTGAGAGCACTCGACGATATTGTAGCGCCCCTTCGTCACAGTGACTTCGCAGTTCGAACTCTCTAGGTTGACGAAATGCTCGATATTACGCCTTTTAGACATGTATCGTTCGTTCATTCCGACATCATCGATGATACGCACACACTCCATCATGCTGCCGTTCCAGCGTAGCTCTGGCTCTATCGTCCAGACAGCGACTGGTAAGTCGTACTGGTTTTCAAAGGTGGGTAGAACCAAGCGCAGCAGTGTTTCGGTAATAAGCTGTGGTGAAATACACGATTGATTAAGGACATTCAGATGCTGGATACGTGCATATGTGTTCTCATAGCGTAAGCAGCGTAGGAATCCCTGCGCCAGGGTCTGGGCTGGGTTGTCTACTAGGGAGCCTGCACTAACCCAGAGGAGATTCTGGGCGACGTTTAATACCGTCTGTAAAGATTCCAAGTCTTGCTCCCGGAGACTAGAGCAAAGGCTGGGTTGATCTAGTTCCAGAACACTAAGCACTGTAGCCATACTCCATGATGAGTGCCTCTCAACGTCATCCAGTCCATCCACGACGAATGTTTGGCGGAAAAAAGGTTCCACCAGGGCTTTCACGGCCAGAATGAGCTCTGTTGTCTTGCTACTCGCGCAGCCTAAAATTATCAGGTCTTTTGGTATGCGAGCTACCGGGGGGGACCGTAGCGGTTGACGGAGGAGACGGACGGTATCGTCCACTGCCTGGGAGATGAACACTGACATACAGGCCAGCCGATTGCCGTCATCACTAGTGAATGTATCAACCCCCGAGAACCCCGTCTCTTTTAATAGAGAATCCCACTCCATGACGGGAAGCATCGGCCCCCAAGGCCGGATCTTGTCTTGCTCGCTCGGCCACCATTTATCGAGGCTGCCGTAGACAAAGGAGGGACGCAGGAGACTTGTATTGGTTCCCTCTACCACGGCTAAATAGCCTCCTGGCTTGAGCAGGGAACGAACATGCGTTAGAGTGGCTTGGATATCGGGAGTCGCGTGAAGCACGCCGGCCGCCACGACTAGATCGTACGAGTGAGATTCAAACCCCTGGCCAGCGGGATCAACACCAATATCCAGAGCGCGATATATGAACTTGTCCGCATGCGCAGCAAATTTTTTCTGTGCATCCTCAATGAGAGCACCGGAGGGATCCGTAAGCGTGTAGGAGTGGAACGACTGCCCAATTCGATCTAGGATTGCGCCCGTGGCTGACCCAGTGCCTGCGCCGATCTCTAGTATTTTCATGCGTGGGAAGCGGAAGGCGATCTGCTGTACAAGGGGCGCTAGATAGGCTTCATTGCAGGGGGAAATGTCGTCCGATTCGCTGGATATTCGACTCAGGAGGCCTGTCTGGCCCAGTTCTTCGCGAATGGAAGTCTCATGTCGCAGTGCACGTAGTAAGTTCTGGCCCACTGTTCGCATCTTGCTTGAGTCGACGTCCAGGGCCACCTCCGCCAGCTCGTTCGCCACTTGGGTCAGATCCATGTTTAACCAATTCGTTTGACAGGTAGGATGCGTCCCATTACGGACCATTGCTAAGGTATGGTCGATCCAAGATACCATCCGAACGCCATGCGGGCTGAGATTGGCGCGGTCCTTGGCTGTCAGCTGGGCCTGCACGTCTTGCATGTACAGTAGCGACAGCTGTTCCGACAGCTCCGATTGACGAACACTCCGTTGTGTTGCCGTACATGAAAGCAGCCTGCCATCCGGATGCAATGGGCCCCAGGCTAGTTTAGAGAACAGCAGGCGGTCATCTGCCGCGGTAGGACGTGCCAGCGGCGATGTTTCCAGGCACTCGACATGTAGGATCCCGTTGCCTGTATGATCATACAGGGCGACATCCCCACAGGTCCCATCCGGATCCATCTGTGTGATCTCCGCGTCAAAGTGAAGCTCCTCTCCCAATTCGTGGGCACGGCCATCAAAGAAAAACGGGTTGATGGTGATCCGATCGATCCGGGTAGGGACGTGCAGCGTGTGCAACTGGCCATCCTCTGGCAGGCCTGCGGCTGGAAGCAGACCCTGAAGCAACGTATCCATCAGGGCTGGATGTATTATCAGCATAGACTGCGGATCTTGCTGACAAGCATTCCAGATACAACCGCTAGAGACGCCCTGCTTGCGACGGACAGAATGCATCCCTCGGAATAGATCCGTATAGCCATGCCCCAACGTGTCCAGATGTTGGTAAAAGGCATCCATGTCAACCGTTGCCATCTGATGGGTATTCTGCAGCCGTTTGGGGAGGATACAAGGGCTCTGCTTGCCAAATGTCGCGACCAAATGGCCCGATGCGCATTGTTGAAGACGACCCCCAATGTTAGCGTAGCAGGTAAATTGCACACCTAGTCTGTCCTCTTCCGTTGGGTTTCGGTCCAAATGGAACAATACTTCGACACCGGGACTACTCTCATCACCAAACGCTATAGCCGTTTTGATGTGAAGATCGTATAATTCCAGCAGCTGGATGCTCCTGTCGTCTGCAATGATATGGACGGCCTCAATTGCCATTGCCGCGTAGCCCGTGGCCGGGAAAACTGCCTGGGATTGAATCATATGGCCATTGAGCCACGCCATATCCCGAGGATGGAGGATATTGCACCAAACGTATTTATTGTTGGTGCTATTCGGAGTCAGGGTGCCTAGTAGCGGATTCGGCCTCCCCGAATGGTGAGAAAGCGCCTTGGAATACCGCGACTCAGCCCAATACGTTTGAGTCCGGTCAAACGGGTAAGGTGGAAGATCTTTTACGACGGTGAAAGTTTCCCTACCTTCAAACTGCCGAATGTGTGACTCTAGGTCCAGCCTGTCTGGGCCCACTATGCGGTACAAATCCCCAATTGCCGTCGAAAAGGTTTCTATACCGGAGGTGAAACGGTGGAGCAGACCGACATACATTGGCTCCGGCGATTTACCAGGCAGGCTCGAAATGGTCTGTAGAACGGGGCCCTTCAGGGTAGGATGAGGACCTACCTCGATGACCAGATCTGGAGTCACTGCCTGCATGGCTGCTGTGACAGCCTGTGTGAACATAACGGTACCAGCCATATTGTCCCGCCAATACTCGGCCCACATACGATCTAGATGGCTGTTCCGTATCTGCTCGCCGTCGTAGACGCTGGAGAACCAGGCTGTAGAGTTAGAGGCCTGTGGATGTATCTGGCATCTCTGAAGGGCCTCCACATACGGGTCCGAGCATGGTAGCATGTGATGGGAATGGTAGGCAGTTCTGACCTTGAGCATGCGTGCAAATTGCTTCCGCTCCTTTAGACGGGTTTCTATCTGTTCAATGGCATCCGCATCCCCGGACAATGTCACACTTGACGGTGAGTTCATCGCAGCGATCTTGACCCGTCCCTCCCATTCATGTAGTTGGCAAAAGGCGTGCGCCTCATCAGCGCTCATCCCTGTGGCTAACATCCTCCCTTCAATTCCATTATTGCCCGCCAGAGACACGACAAGCCCCCTAAGATGAGCGATGCGAATCGCATCCGATTCGGTCACAATACCAGCCGCGTAAGCCGCCGCGATTTCACCAGAAGAATGGCCGACTACCGCTGAGAAGGTAATACCAAGTGATCGTAGAAGCTTAACAAGTATGATTTGCACGGCAGTGCATAGGGGTTGCGCAATAGCTGCTTGATGTATCCGCGAGGTATCCTCTGGTGCCGACAGCTCTTCGAGGAGCGAGTAGGAAGGCCGGTATTCCATCGACAGACTGTCTAAAGCTGCCTGCAAGGACTCAAGCCAGCTTTGGATACTTGGAGACCGCGTGAGCAGATCTGCGCCCATCTGTGCCCATTGTGCGCCCTGGCCAGTGAAGACACCGAGGATATGAGCCGGCGTGGTGAGGGGGCGTTGAAACGTAGGAACGAAGTTGGAAGATCTCCTGTGAACAAGCTCTTCCTCCAGATCAGTACGCAAGGCGCTCAGGGATGAGGCCGTGAAGGCCAGCCGTCGAGAGAACACTGAGCGTCTACGGAACAATGTCCACGCCAGGTTAACGGCGTCCACCTCAGGTTGGTGGTCGAGGAATTCGACAAATGCGGCTAAAGTATTCTGCAGTGCCTTCTCTGAATGTGCAGAAAATACGAATGGGACTATCTCCACGCCACTTGAAGGATTGCTCACGTTGTTGGACGGCTGGGTGTATGATTCCAGAATGACATGAGTATTGGTGCCCCCAAACCCGAACGAGTTGACCGATGCTCGACGTGGGACTCCATCGGGCAATGCAGGCCAGGGTTCCGCCTGGCTTGGAATTCGCAATCGACCAAAGAATGGCTGGATGTCGGGGTTGATTTGTCGAAAATGTAGATTGGGCGTGATGACACCATGCTGGAGACATAGCGACGCTTTGATTAGACCTGCCAGCCCTGCGGTGCCTTCAGTATGGCCGATTAGTGTCTTGACTGAACCCACGTAAAGCGGATTTACATCGTCTTCTCTCGAGCTCTCGGTATGGCTATTGCCGGTAGAGAAAAATGCCCCGTAAATCGCTGATGCTTCCTGGGGATCTCCCGCCGCTGTCCCAGTCCCATGGGCCTCAAAGTATTGACATCGGTCCAGAGGACGACTAACGGGATCCAAGCCCGCCTTGTTATATGTCGAGCGGATTAAGGCCGTCTGAGCAGTGCCCGAAGGCATTGTGATCCCCGTAGTGCGACCATCTTGATTGACTTGCGTGGCTCGGATGATACAGTCAATCGGATCTCCATCCGCCAAGGCATCACTGAGTTTCTTTAGAACAACAGTGGCAATTCCCTCCCCTCTTGCATAGCCGTCGGCATCAACATCCCACATGCGACCGCGGCCTCGGGGTGAAAGCATGCTTAGGTTGGCCTCGGAAACATACATGTTGGGCGCCAGTATGAGGTTGGTCCCACAAGCAACAGCCACGCGGCAATCATTGTCCCGGAGAGCCTTTGCGGCAAGGTCGACAGCGACGAGACTGGATGAGCAGGCAGTGTCTATTGCCATGGATGGACCGTGCCAGTCAAAAAAGTAGGAGACCCTGTTGGGGATAATCGAGCGAGCCGTACCAGTGGCGGCATATCGAGGGAGCCAGTTGATATCGCGCGCCTGGATGAGCGAGAAGTCATCACACATGACACCACAGAAAACTCCAGTCGAGGAATCTCTTAAGTCTTCGATCCGAATCCCAGCCGCCTCCAGCGCTTCATAAACGGTTTCTAATAGAAGCCTCTGCTGTGGGTCCATGCATTCGGCTTCGCTCGCAGACATGTTGAAAAACGACGAATCAAACGCTTTCACATCCTCCGTGAGAAAGTATGATTCGGTGACATTTGTAGTCCCATTGTGGGAGCTGGTTGGGTGATAAAATGAGTCAATATTGAATCGGTCTTTGGGCACTTTACTGGCAACATCTCGAGGCTCATGTAAAAGATCCCAGAGGCGAGAAGGCGTTGAGCATGATCCAGGGAATCGGAACCCTGTACCAACTATGGCAATCGGCTCCATTGAAAGAATATTTAACGATTTGGTCCTATTCCTTCTCAGATCCAAAGCTGCAGGCGGCCTTTTCGTGCCTTTTAAACCTTCCTTTTCGCAGCGCAAAGAATATACCCTGCCAGTGAAGTCACAAATTGAGTAACTGGCGGTGAGGAGCAAAAAGATTAGAGTGATATCTTGACAATTGGCTGGCTGGTACCGTTTGTTACCATTGTACTCCATATGATTTAGCATTTAACTTATAGAACTCCTTGCGTCTCTATCATTCTTCGTGGCGACGCAGTTCTCCTCTGGCGATGACCCTGCGCATTGGATTATTGACGCCCCGTGCTGAATTACTAACTAGTGCTTAGGCATTCCTTCGTTTTCCCCAGTTATAGAAAGCCGTACCGATCACTCGATGACTAGATGGCAGTGGAGCGTATGCTTTCTGTCTTTCTCTCTTTCACCAAGAGCAAGAACTGAGAACTGTTCAACCTAATCTTCAAAGATATGAGTTCGCAATGCGCGCCTGATTGCCAATCGTCCACGGCCATTGATGCAGCTACATGTCACTCAAGCTCTAAAAACGAAAGCCAGGATGGAGAGACCAAGGATGGAGAGGCCAAGGATGGAGAGGCCAAGGAACCGGCGTCTACGCTTTCCCCAGTGGGCCATAGTTCAAACGCAGACCACACTTCCTGGAGCTTCACCCACTATACGGTGATATTTGGCTCATTTTGTGGGTTGTTTGCGTCCTTTGGCTGGTGCTCTGGTGATTTCTCTATCCTTTCGAGCCTCCATCGAGACCTAACATTTTTTTTTAAGGGATCGGCCTCTTCCAGGACTATTACCAACGGAACCAGCTGAAGGCCTACTCGCCGACGATCATCGCCTGGGTCAATAGTTTAGGGTTTTTCCTCATGTATTTCGGAGTAAGCCTCACACCCCTTCTCAACTTAATCGGTCAGATCTAAACTTTGCTTCTGGTAGGCCTGTCTTGTGGGACCTCTTACAATGCGCTTTGGTCCTACGCCAGTCAATATTGTTGGGTCGATGCTGCATGTTGCAGGTCTTCTCGGCACTTCCTTCTCATCTAAACTCTACCAGATTATTCTGTTGCAAGGGATTCTCAGTCCCCTGGGCGTCAGTGCTGTGTTTTTCGTCAGTGAGTACATTCTTTCATTACCAGCAGGGCGTCTTGTGTAAGACTGCAAGCTGATTCCTCCTCCACCCGACGTATCAGACGTGCAGATCTTAAACAAATGGTTTCGTGGTCGTCAATCCTCTGTTACGGCCATTTCCGCCTGTGGCACTAGTATCGGCGGGGTGATCTTTCCATTGATGATCAAGTATCTCCTGCCAAAGATCGGTTTTGGCTGGACCATGCGATGTGTAGTGTTGATCATTTTCCTCCTTTTGATCGTCACTACGCTGTGTATCAAATCCCTTCCGCCACATCCCATACAACGGCCGCAGCCATCTAGCGAGTCCCAAAATAAGAGCCGCTGGCATACGATTTGGAAAGACCGCAATTTACTATTAACTGTGACTGGAATCTCGTTCCTCTGTAGCACATATTTTTTGGTGGCCGGCTTCGTCGTCCCCGTCGCCAGGCTCCGAGGATGGGACGACCAGGTTGGTGCCATCGTGTGTCTAAACGCGGCCAGGTAAGAAAGCCCAACGGATGAAATCCCCAGTCTACAGACGCGCTAATCAGTCGGTCGGCATGCCAGTATCGTGGGCCGAATCACCGCGGGTCTCCTAGCGGAGTGTATCGGGCGATTTAACACAATGGCCCTATTCGGCTTCCTGTCCACCGTTTTTATATTTGGATTGTGGCTTCCCGGCTCCGGGATCTCCACGTCTATCGCTTTTTCCGTGGTATACGGATTCAGCTCGGGCTGTGCGGTGTCTCTAGGCCCGGCCATGATTTTCAAGATCTCGCTTCCGCAGCACATCATTCCCAATCTGACCGTCCTCTACTGCGTCCAGTCTATCGCTGCTCTCTTCATCAACCCCATTGGGGGCGCTCTTTTGTCTGTGGGCCACGCGCAGAACCCTCACTATCTTCAGCTTCTAGCCGGCTTCACCTGTGTCGTGGGGACGATCTTGACGATCCTCGCGCGAGCGTCCCAAACGGGGCTGGTGGTGAGGAAGGCTGCTTGATTTCCTGCGTGTTGGGGTTGAGACAAGCGAAGCAAGGGTTTAGGGCTTAGCCAGCTGCAGATGTGAGAGATCGCCCGCGCCGACGTAGACCGCTCTTTACTAGAGGCACATCCTTCAAGAGCTGGATCATGCATATCCCCGACATTTAGGTACATCAAGTACCGGAGAACACCGCAATCTGAAGAAATTCTTTACAGAACCACTAGTATACTCAAACTAGCGCTCAATATTGAAACCAAGCCTCATCCAAAAGGGCGCTCCCCGACCCGCACATCTACCATATCAGTGTGACTCTTCCAGCAAACCTGCCTTATGCGCCTCGCAAATCACTTTTGTAGCTCTATCCACCAAGGGTCATTCAGTATAATGCCTTTTCTTTTGTGGTTTCTATTGTTGTGCAAGTAAGAGAACTGGGGGGGCGAAAGAATTGCCGTCTGGAAGCTTCAACTACTGTCCACCAAGGTTCTGGGCCCAAATGATCGACACTGCACATTCCGGACATCTCCCACAGCGCCGAATCGTATTGCATCCCCTGGTCCTCCCCGCATTCTTACTATACCTAAATTAATCTTGGTTTTGAGTGTATTTAGCACGAAACGAGGTTGTAGTAGTTCCAGATGGCATCGTACTACACACCGGAAGTCCCTCTTAGTTTCAAGGACAAGCTGCCGAGAGCCTGGAGCTCTAAACGCGCTACACCTTTGAACTATTAACCTAAAAACAATAATTCTACCTCACTGCGAGAGGTAGGCGGAAAAGTGACTGCTGTATAGGGAGGGTCTTATCTGGTCTGCAGAATATGTCAAGCCAGAGCGGCGCACGTATCGCACACCAAGGTGTGATTCGTCATATTTTGATTCATTCCTCCGGAAATGAGCCGAGCAACCATCCCATTTCGCTTCCAGATACCCCCCGTAGTGACAGATCTACGGGATATGGATCGAATGCGAGGTCAGAAAGCAGGGGATGAATCTCCACTTTCTCCTGGGGGTCAGATGGAGTCCAAGTGATGGGCTCTGGTTCGGGTTTGAGCGGGCCAGTACGTAAGAGTTTCGAACTTGTGCAAGCTTGGCAGAAAATGGAATGATTTTAGTTGATAACGTTAGATAATTTTTACGCGCAGGGTAGGTTAGGGTAGGAGTCCCCTTTATATCAGGACAGATCAGACATCTGGCCATAAACTCCCCCCAGCAGAAGAGTCGCCACTAACTCATGGTTTTAAATACTGAATCAACGTAGAACGGACCATGCAGTGATAGCACCAATCACCGAAAGGAGAGCAGCCCATCGAGTGAGGCCACGCTTAATATGATATCTCGCCACCGCATCTATGGCTTTGCCATCATTGATGCGCGGGAATGCGATGTCCTTTGGCACATCCTTGCCAAGTGCCTTGCACAGCGGCTCCCAACCCTCCCTCACATCGAAAAACACCAGACGATCCGGAGGTACAACTTCCTTCAACCAAGCAATATGACGGTGGTAATGGTCCGCCATCGATACTAACTCTCCGTATATCCGACGTCGCTGTTTTGGAATGTAGGAAATCCACTCAACGAAATGCCTCATCCCAGGAAGTGGCAGGAGGACGGCCGGAAGGAACCATAACGTCGCCAGGTGGCGGACCTGCGCATAACTCTTCACCCAGGCTTCCGGGTCCCGAACAGTACAGATGACCATGGCATCAGGGTACAGCTCGAGAAGCTCTGGGACAAGTTCCGTGCCGGGCATATCAGTGACGGCGGCATATCCGTCTAGTGTCTCCTCTAGAAGGGTAAGCGCTTTCTCTCGGTCCTGTGGTACTCCAGTCAGGCAGTTCTGCATGATTTTGATCCACGACTTTATTTCTTTTGGTGGCCCCATCGTCACTTGTGTCCCACCATGATAGACGGGGCCGTCAAGAAGGATATTTAGAGCGCTGCTAAAGGAAGCCGTCCCCGTCCGAGAGAGACCAGCCCCGATGACTTGAATTTTTGCTCCCTGTTGGGGAGTAGAAGCCTGTTGGCCCATCTTGTGAGGGAGGATATATCGAGGGCTCGAGTCAAGTAGCTAATAGCGAAGGTTATCTCGTGGCTGTTTGGAACAGTTCAACAGGAGAATAGTTTTGAGGTTTGGGAAGACAGACAGCGCATTTACGGGGGTGTGTAAGGGATTTACGACCGGCGTGGCTGAGCCAAGCCCTACAGCATATGTATGTTGGTGAGTGGCGTAGGAGAAATAACGCAAAGAGAAATAGCGGTTCGCTTTCTTTTAATCACTGTCCAGTCTTGTGCCCGTTGTCCTAGCTACGGAGTATCTGCATATAGACTGGTATTATTGCCCTCCCTTACTGATTAGAGCCCAATAATCAGCGAATCTATAGGGCTAACACTTTTCAAGTCAATTCAGTGTTTATCTAATTGGTCTTTTTCGCAAACCCCACCGTATGTATTTGCCCCTTACATTGACTCTTCTAACGGTCAAGAGTTGGTCTTGTTAACTCGGAAGTAACCTATGATATATAAATCTGTTCTTCTCACAACTGGAGATATTATACAATAAAACGAATAGCAATCAGAAGTACTACTTTACTAGCCTAAAGTAATATACTAGGCGATGAGTTTGCTAAAGAGACAATTCGTCTAATTTAAAGGTGATATCTTTATCACAAGCTGCCAGTGATACCTCAAAGGCTTTGAATACAGCTCTCGGCGTTGTACCGCTTGTTCCAAATTAGACCCTTGCTAAGTGCTGATGGATGCGATACCCATCATAGTTATAGAGCTTCTTGTATCTAATTTTAAAGGCCCCCTGTTGATTTGATTATTCTGAATCTTGTGGCTAGTTCTAGGAAAGAAGTCTGGGGTAATATCCTGAGACCAGTGGAAAGTTGTCTACATAGCTAGTTATCTGTCAGAAGCAAGTCTGTCTTTTCCATGGTCACCCTACTTTGTCTAGGTCAGCTGGCAAGCATGGTTTGATTTAGTAGCCATTGTGCGTAGTGGTAAAACGTCAAGCCCAGCAGGCCACAGTTTACATATGTGTACGAGCTACTTGGTTGGGCCAGGGGACGGAACGAGGGAAGGGGTACAGGGGAAGGGAACTAAAATATATTGGCCGCACGAAGGACCGCGAGTCACCACTATCTAGCTAGAATACCCTGTACATACCTGAGTCAGTCTCACTGGCTGGCCAACTGGCCGTCGGTGACCCGAGAAGAGCCCCAGAAGGGGCTGCATTCGGGTATAATGCATTTCTCTCTCTCTCCTACATTTGTGTATAATCACTACGCAAGCTTGTAATGCTCCCCTCAGCCTCACCTCCCCACGTGCTTGTCATTATACCGGTCACAGTTTCTCGGAATTATAATACGTGCTCATGCGGTATTTTGTCTCACCATCGTACTGAGATAGGTCTTGCAGTGCCTGTAAGCCCTCTCGTTGAATGGTGGAACGGATCTCCTGGCTGCGAGGAGTAATCCGACACTCAAACGGGTTGGGACGCATATTAAGGCCATTCCTATGATACACGGACAATTAGCCACTACATACTAGCAGTCAAGAACGAGGGATTATCATAGAAGCACTTACGTATAATCAAAGATATCCACGGGAATTTCATTTCCGTGCTGGTCCAGCGCCTTTCGAAATTCGAACCCCCATAGTAATCGTGCAATGGTGATGAACGTCCCCTGCTCAGCGAGACCCTGGCCGCTGCACACTCGCCGTCCCCATCCAAATGTCATGTAGCCTTTCTCGACCGGGAATGGACGATGAACGGGGCTTCCTTCAATATATCGATCCGGATTGAAGCGGTCAGGCTCAGGGAATTCTCGTTCATGATGGTGGATTGCCCACACATTCCCCTGTACCCAGGTATTTCTAGGGATCAGCCAGCCCTAAGGAGGTCCATCGTATCAGCAACATCTAGACATGAATTGACAGGAGATTTAAGGAAGCGCATGGTACCTTAAAGCGATCATCCTTAATCGGCGCATGCGGCTGGCCCCCGATAATAGCGACCGATCTCCACCGCAGAACCTCTTTTACAAATGCCTTCACATAGAGCAGGTCAGGTTCATCCTCGAACGTCGGACTCCGGTGTGGCCCCACCACCCGGTCAAGCTCTTCCCATGCCCTGGGCAGCGTCTCCGGGAATGCACAACAAGCGAGTACAAAAGTGACAAGTGTAGAGCTCGATGTGTCGCTGCCTGCCCCGAACAGATTCCCCGAAAGCGAGGAGATCTCCATTTTGGTAAGGTCATGCTTCGGCGCTTCTTCAAAGAGTTTCCGTGCGTAACACTGTCTTGCCTCTGGATCACTGGCGACCTCTTCTGCTAGCGCGTAGAAAAAGGGCCTGCCGCGTCCTTGTCCATTGCCCAACCCGTGCTTCCAAGGTGCCATCCAGTTGGGGAATTTGGCGAGAACTAGGCCATGTTAACTGATGGCACAGGAAGTAGGATATTTTGATATAAGACTAACAAGGAAACGATTCCATCAGCATGGGAAACGACTTCCCCGGCACATTCAGCTCCGCCGCCCGCTGCATCACCGCAATCACCTCCGTGATAATCGGGTCCGTATATGCAGACACACGTCGGCCAAACCCGATTATGGAGACTACACTTGTCGCGTACCGCTCGAAATGGCTCACATACTCCTGGGGTTCGCGCAAGAGGTCCAAAGCAACGACCTTGCTCTCATCGTTCTGGAACCCGCGGTAGATACGCACTTGCTGTAGCCCAACCCCCATATGTGTTAGTTTCCTGTGCAGCCGCCACCGATCTCCATAGTACATGTTGACCATGTTCGACTGGCCAGCACCGAGCTCGCTAAAGACGACCATCCGTGGGCGGGAGGCGTAGATTGCGGCTCGCTTGTTCAGGAGTTCGTTGGCTGCCCAGGCATCGCAGATCCAGATTGTTGGTCGCCGGCCTGTCCAAAACGTGATTATGGGTGTGTTGTACTCCTTCGCCAGTTTCTCGAAGTAGATCCATGGTTTTTGGTCTGGTAGCAGATGTGTATTTCCGATTAGGGGTAGCGGGAATGGGCCTGGTGGCTATAGCTAATTGTTAGCGCTGCTATTAGGCTATTATTTATCTGATACTGGCGGGAGCTTGCCATTCGGAAATGGAGATATATCATATATCCATAGTCTACGATCAAGACCAGTCCCAGAATTACCATTCCCAGCGGTAATGCTCTGGTGAGAGTTACTTTGCTCCATCCAGGATGGCTGAGCATGTACTCACCCTGGATGAGAGCAAATAGTTGCTCTAGCCTTTCGACTATCATGGTTCTTCTTCAGCGGTGATATGGGAATAGGGAGCTACTATGGTAGCTACTTCAACTAGCTATTTACATATTTTTGCGATTCCCCACTTCAACCCCCTTCGGATAAGAGTCTATTCGCAATTACCAGGACAGTCCCCTGCGGGGTATCGTCGTCTGAGCTCGTTGTGCAATCGACATAGAGATTGGGACTCCAAAGTGGCGGCACAAGTGGCGGTAAGCCACTACTGCTGAACTCACCCCACATGCTGCACTGCTTGCAGAAGTCCGGGGAAAGGATTGGCATAGTCTCACGTTATGGGTAGTGATTGTGATCACAGAGCTTCCTTGCATTGTTTCTCTGTTATGTTGGGGCTTGCAGTCATAGGGAAAAGGTATCACGATCGGTCATATCACAATGTGTCTATATTCAGGTTAACGTAGTGTCATTGCTTGGTTGACGTTCTTCTATCTCGATCAGCCCTAACATATTCCACCCGCTACGGCAGATGTTCGGAGCCCACTTGTGGGGTTTGTGGGGTAATTCCAGCCGATCTCTAAGAAGTATATTTGCGTAATCTCAATAAACAATCCGACTGAGTCATAGATATTCCAAAAGACCGCTATTGACGGGACCTCGGAGTCAGACAGGTAGATGACTGTCAAGTTCTCGGCATAGTCTTTTATAGCCGGAGATACGAATCGATATGTGGGGATACACCTTGAAAAAGAAGTGGCACTGCACTCTGGGCTTAAGACCGTAAACTGATATTGTAGTTGTCTCCTGTAAATATAGTAAAAGCTTGCCTTTTTGATCCATCATGGCGGAGGTTAGTATATCCACGACAACATTATGGCAGAACCGAAAATGCCTGTTCCTCTGCTCTCTAGTCTCGATGGCCAACCTGCAATATGGGTTTGATCTAGCTGCCATTGGATCTCTCCAGGCCATGCCGGGCTTCCTCAAAGTATTCGGATACCCAGCTCCAGGCTCTGAGACAGGATATGCAATTGACGTGAGATTATATCTCCTCTTTCACAACAATACACATTCACAAACTAACGAACCGCCAATGCACATAGAGCACAGTTCAACAGTTGATAACGTCTCTCCTCACCCTGGGCTCCTTCGTCTCTTCACTGGTAGCAGGCTTCTTCTCGGCCTACCTAGGCCGCCGGCATGCCCTGTGGCTCGCGTGCATCGTCAACGCCATCGCATGCGCAATCCAGATAGGTGCCCCTTCAGCAGGACCGCTATACGTGGGCCGACTACTACTAGGATTCGCGAATGGATTCCTGGTTACATTCTCCAACATCTACACTGCCGAGGCATCGCCAGCCCATCTGCGTGGCGTGATGGTTGCTCTGTTCGCGTACTGGGTGAATATCGGTAGTATTCTGGGTGCTGCAGTAGATAACAAGACCAAGGAGAGGATGGATCGCCTTTCATATCGGATTCCCTTGGCTTGCCTCTACATCGTCCCTACGTTCCTCTTCATGGCGCTGTTCTTCGTCCCCGAGAGTCCACGGTGGCTTCTCCATCGGGGAAAAGTCCCAGCGGCGAGACAAGCACTGGAGCAGCTTCGCGGCACCAGCTACGCCACCCTCCATGCATCATCCAGCGACGACGAGATAACCCCATCTCTCCTGGAACTAGAATGGGCGGAGATGATCAAGGGCGTCGAGGAAGAAAGGCGCGAGCAGGGTACTGTTACAGCATTGGACATGTTCCGCGGTGAGTTGCACCCCTTCCATCTCGAAAAGAAAGGTCCACTCATCTACAAATGTAAAGGAATCGACCTCCGCCGCACAATCCTCTGCTACTGCATGATCGGCTGCCAATCCGCGTCCGGCGTGTGGTTCCTCATCGGCTACCAAACCTACTTCTTCAGCGTATCCGGGATCACCAAAGCCTTCGAGTTCTCGATCATGAACACCTGCTTCGGCTTCCTGGGCGTCAACATCGGCATGTACGCCATCCGGAACTGGCTCGGCCGGCGCGCGATCCTCATGCTCGGCGCTATCGCCTGCGGCCTATGCCAACTCGGAAGCGCCATTGCCGCCACCGTGAGCCCCAACTCTCTGCCCACCGGCCAGGCGCTGGTGGCCTTCACGGCGCTATTCATGTTCTTCTACAACGGCTGCGTGGGCGCCGCCAGCTACCCCGTCGCGACGGAACTGGTCAGCTCGAGGTTGCGCGCGTGGACGGTCGGCACGGCCACGTCGTTGGGCTACCTGCTGGCGTGGTTGGTGAACTTCTGTACGCCGTATTTTATCAATCCTGAGCATTTGAATTGGGTGAGTTTGTCTGTCTCCTTGCAGTCTCTGTTTCTAGTGCTGGGCCGAAACTGACACGGATTTGGTGTGTAGGGCGCCCGCTACGGCTATATCTGGGCTGGGTCGAACCTGGCCTGTGTCGTCTTCTTTTATTTCTTCATCCCCGAGATGAAGGGTCGCTCGCTGGAGGAGTTGGATGAGATCTTCGCTGCTGGGGTCTCGGCTCGCAGGTTCACGTCCTATCAGTGTCTTATTGGAGAGGCGGCTAGAATTGATGCTGTCCATGCAGAGGGGCATAAACATACCTTGGATATGTAGTTTAGAAAGGATATGGGAGTATTTTGAATATCTGTACCATCGTTTATGCTATCAAGATGAACTTTGCCAACCACTATATTCGATATCTAGTGAATTTCCGTTCACGAAAGTATTTGATGGCGGAGATGGCTACTATGAAACTCCTGGAAGAAAGACTATTAATGGATAATAAACTGTATATTGTCAGCTAGAGAGAGCTGTGAGATAATATTGGCGTCCTACCTAGGGCTAGTTTGAAGGGCTCGGCAAGGTAACGGGCTTTCGGGATATGAAATAGTCAGTAAAATTAGGGTTAAATCAGCGCATATATTGCCAGCTCTTGGGTTACATGTTTTCTAGTATATGCTTAACTCTCCTGAACCCATCTACAGATAGACGACCGTGCTACCATCGCTATGTTAGGGAGTTGCTGCGCAAGACAGTATCCTCACTAGACCTATATGTGCATAACCCAACCGCCACGGGGGAGTAAAACGAGCTAAGCAGCCCGCGTGGGAAACTCCACCAACTGTTTGTCGTCCAAAACTTGTCAAGTGGGACCTATCAATCAAGACATGGGGTCTGCAGGTGGTTAATTCAGGCTCACGAGAGCTTCATCCCTTACAGCGGCAGAGATGTGAGTGATGTGATGTGTCACTTCATCCCGAATCCTGCAGATGAAGTGCTGGTATTGTAGGCCAATAACACATGGACAAGCTGAAGATCAGAACGAACTGATGCATCTTAAACTTCCCAGAATTATTAATGACATGCGTTAATTGGAGAGGCCACAAGACTCGAAGATGATTCGCTCATAGCATAAAGTATCAGTGCGTCCATGACACTTCGTACCAACAAAAGTACGGCCGTCAACCGGTTTTCTGCCATATAAGTCTCGAAACGCCTATCTTCGATAACCTAGTAAGATTCTTTGCTTTGGCCTTCCTCTGCGACCGGCAATATTATCTCCTTGCTTCTTGCCTGCGCGAAGCTCTAGACACAGCTGAAAGCAGTGGGACAAAGCCTGTGCCGCCATGGTCTCTATACTTCTACTTCTCACAATTAGCCTTGTTGGGTTATATCTCGTTCGATCTCTCCTCAGCAAAAAACAATCTCTGGGAACTTTACCTCCAGGTCCTCCCCGAAAACCAATAATCGGCAATCTAACGGACCTGCCATCCCACGATGTGCGTGATTGGGAATACTGGCTGAAGCACAAAGACCTCTATGGTAGATACCTCGCATACAGAATACCTCCTTCTCAAGAGAGGTAGTAACATTGAACAGGTCCGATCAGCTCATTGAGCATATTCGGCGACAATATCGTCATCCTCAATGACGCCCGCTTCGCACGAGAAATCCTCGAAAAGCGCTCTTCCGTCTGGTCCTCCAGGCCTAGTTGGAACTTCGGTAAAATGTTCGCCTTCATCGTGACTGACATCCTTGCACTTTGCAGTGGCTGACACCAGCCCAGGGCTGGTTGGGGTCAGATTCTAGGCACCTTGGAATACTCCGACCCTTCGTTTAAGGACATGCGGAAAGCCCTGGGCTATGAGATTGGGTCGAAGGCGGCTGTGTCTCGATTCAACGCGGTGCAGGATCTTGAGGTTCGTCGGTTTCTACGTCGTGTCCTGGAGGATCCGGACAACCTCCTTCACCATATACGCAAGTATAGTTTGCACTATTTCGCTTGAGATAAGAAGTGTCTGTACTGACAAAGCCACTAGAGAAGCCGGTGCTATCGTTTTAAAAGTCGCATATGGCTATACGATTGAGCCACATGGGCATGACCCCCTCGTCGACCTCGCCGATGAGGCTATGGCTACTTTCGGGCTGGCAATTCTTCCTGGGACGTGGGCGGTGGATTTTATTCCCATCTGTAAGTGGATGGGGGTAACATTTCTTTGCGATGCTGGAGTTGACTTGAGTATCAGTGAAACATATACCTACATGGTTTCCGGGGGCTAAGTTTGCACGAATGGCCAAGCAATTCCGAAAGAGTGTTGCGGCTTTCAGTGATGTGCCCTATGCATTTGTGAAACGCAAACTGGCTCAGCAAGACTTCGAGCCCTCTTTTCTGGCCGGGTTACTCCAGAAGAATGAGAACCAGCCTAGACACGGGTCGTATGAAGAAACGGTGATAAAGTGGGCAGCTGCGTCCTTCTATGGAGGGGGATCTGATACAGTATACATATATGTTTGCCCTTTTGCACATCAACTAACGCTGACTGCTGCCAGACTGTATCTACTATGTCGAGCTTCTTCCTTGTGATGGCGCTCTTCCCTGAGGCGCAACGGAAGGCGCAAGCAGAGATTGATCGTGTTGTAGGGCCAGACCGTCTACCTAGCTTCCAAGATCGCGAGAATCTCCCTTATATTGATGCCATGGTCAAAGAAATCCTGCGGTGGCATCCGGTTCTCCCAATGGGTACCGCGCACACTTCCGTTCAGGACGATAGCTATGAAGGGTATACATTTCCCAAAGGGACTCTGATGGTCCCGAATGTCTGGTGCGTATCGTCCTGTTTGTGACACCTACTCTATGAAGGTCGTTTCAGCCCAATTGTTCAAATGAGGGCTCAATGGAACACGGCCATTTTGTCCTTGGGAGACAGATCAAGTTTCACAGAAACATCCACTAACTTCATCCAGGGCTTTTACGCATGACCCCAATATCTACCCAGATCCTCACGCCTTTAAGCCAGAACGCTTCCTAAGATATGAAGGACACGACCCGGAGGCCAATCCGTACTACTTCGTCTTCGGGTTCGGCCGCCGTGTGTGTCCAGGCCGCACACTAGCCGATGCGAACCTGTATATCTCCATTGCTCAATCAGTGGCGGCCTTTACCATCACTAAGCCGATTCAAGATGGCAAGGAGGTTGATCTACGGGCCGAATATCAAGCGGGTGCGATCAGTCACCCGATGTCATACAAGGTTACTATCACGCCGCGTAGCCCGCGGTATGAGGAGCTTATTCGGGCTGTGGAGACGGAACATCCGTGGGAAAACAGCCATGCCGGGGAACTTAGGGATCTGAGTCGGTGATGCTTGACGTCGGTATTTGGGTTCTTTGAAGAATAAAGAGTTTTTCTTTGGCTTCTCGTTTCTCATCCTGGAGGTATGGGCAAGATGGTGTCGTTCATGGCTGTCCGTCGGGAACAATATATTGTCCACAGTGTCTCCACTCATAGACGGATGGTGTTCCATGGTACCAGAGGACCTGCCACAATCGAAGCCGGTGGCTTGGTAGATTATTTGAGCTACGGAATGAGTATGTATCCAGGGTCGAGGAACAACAAAGGGCCTAGACGTGGCCACAGGAACACATACTTTGGCGCAACCCAACCCAGCAAAAAGAAGCGTAGCGACATTCACAAAGAATCCCCCAGAGACGGAGGGAAAAGCTATGGGAGAAAAAAAGATGGAGATGCGGGGAATTGAACCCCGGACCTTTCACATGCTAAGCGAACATTATACCACTAAACCACATCCCCAATTCGATGTAAGAGGCTTCTTTAAAGTGTTATATGAGGCATGCTCAACAGTTAGGTCAATTCCGAACCCGCAGACTTGCGCATTCCAGGCCAGATTCCAAGAATGCGGTCAACGTCCAGAGTTCAGCTAATGCGGCGACCCACGTGGACAGGGAGATCATCTTGTTGAGACATTTGTTCCAGACCGTTCAGTGAGGTATGTGGTGTGATATTCCCGACCGCCTGTTCACGGACAATGGAGACCGAATTGGTGATGGGGGCCGAGTATCCCAGAGGAGACTCCGGAAATATATATTGTTATCTGACATGATGCAGGTTGTTGCATACCATGTCCCACCAACCCCATAACTTCTGCCGTGTATGTCGGCGGACAACAAGGCAAGTTTACCTTCTGTCAGACCGACTAACTTGCCGGGATTCACCCGTAGAAGTTTAATTATAGTATCGAGTGGAGTGAGATCATCATCCAAAATGTCACTGCCTGATGTCGTGGCTGTGGAAATTAGACGTATGCAACTGAGACAGGCAACCGTATTTCAACCCTGAGCGGCCAGGGATTTCCGAGCGCATTTTCCACCGCAGTCGAGATACCTGGTTGATCAATCTGGACGACCGGATTCGAGATGGAGTGGTTGAGCTGTGAGACCTACAGTGACAGCTCACGAGGTGGAGGAGAGCATGCATCGCTCGACGTGCTGTGAAGCCAGAAAACGGAGTCCGTGTCTTAAGGTATGCAGCCCACATTTCAAGGTGGAGACCTGCTGTGGGCACTGTGAGACTGGGCAGGAATGCTGTATGGTCTCACGACGACTCGGGCGCTAAGTGTGCGCCTGACGATGACGATGACGAGGAATGAGTTTTTGCAAAAGTGGACTCCTGGTCTGGTGAAATTGAGCGTGGCTGGATATACGATGCAAATACAAGGGTGAGGCTGTTGCGTCCACAAGTCTGAAACGAGGGAAAATCAAGTGTATCGGAACCCGCGACCGATAAATACAGGGCGCTAGGCTGAACCGGGGAAGGTTGGTTCAGCTACCACGGTTTTTGCATGCAGGAACACACGATCTCCACTAATCAGGATGAATCCCCAGCCACCCCCAGCCACCCCGATACCCAGCACCTGACCTAGGCCCCCGCCCTGCAACCAATCAGCCTGGCCATCGGGCGTAATAACGTAAGATTGGTAACTGACATACTTTCCATATCGCTCAGATCGGCTTATCGCCAACTCTTGTTTGGTTTCCCCTCCCTTTCTGCATCTTCATCTCATCCTTTCCTCTTCCTCTCTGATCGGGCCTTTGTGTCTTTGGTTTAATCAACTTCCCCCCTGCAGGTGTTAAGCCCCTGTCGTAAAGAAAAAACAAGACTCCGGTGTGGACGGCCACCATTGGTTTTTCTTCTGTTTGTTATTGTGGCCGTTGGTTGCATAGATCCCTGGTATTATTGTACTACACTTGTCCCCCAAAGTCCGCAAATTGTTTTCGTTGCGACGAATGCGGTGGCTTCCAGTGATATCGCATTCCTTTGATTAATTGCTCTTCGTTCCTCTCGGGCGACTTGTCAATTGACAGTCATTATAACATGGCCTCCAAACCGCCCCGGTTGTCGATGATCAACCATGCTGCCGGCATCTACGCAGATATGTCCGTCGATGGGCCTGCTATCGGAACTCTGGTTCTCGTCGTGGATCGGGCGAAGAACCTTCCCAATCGAAAGACAATGGGGAAGCAAAATCCCTACTGTGCGGCTCGTTTAGGGAAAGAAGCGAAGAAAACCGACACTGACTTGCGAGGGGGCCAAACGCCGAGATGGTACGCGCCCAAAACTTCCCTTTGTTTGATCTCAGTCTCGTCTCTCTTTTCTCTTCCGAACCACCTGGTCTCGACCAGCGCGTGTTGACATTTTCTAGGGATCAAGAACTTCGATTTACCGTACATGAGTCACCCGACTATTTCAGACTCAAGGTAACCATATTCAATGACGACAAAAGAACCGACCTTATCGGGGAGACCTGGATTGATCTGAAAGACTTGATCATCCCCGGGGGTAGCCAGAGTGATCACTGGCATCCATTGCAGTTTCGTGGCAAGTATGCCGGTGAAGTTCGTATCGAGATGACTTACTACGACACTAGGCCAGAAGATGAGGCAGTGATTGAACGACGTACACAAGCGGTGGAGAAGGTCAATGTCCACGGCAAACCGAGTGCCTCAAGCTCAAGCTTAAACTCAAGATCGAGTCCAGCGCCAATCAGCTCCTCTTCGTCTCTATCAGGACCCCGCCAATTGAAAGAGGTCAAGCGACGTCCACTACCCAGTGGTCCTCCGGGTTCAGTTCCGGCACGTCCTGCGCTTCCCGAGAAGACTGCTTCGGCTCCTCCAGCACCTACCCAATCCCCTCCTCGACCGACTCCCGAGCACACTCATTCCACTCCACCCCTCCCAGCCCATGATCACTCTCACTCTACGCCGTCCCCAGTGGAATATGCACGCCACTCGTCGCGACCTTCGGGGCTTCCGGAGGTCCCCTTTGATGCGCTAGCATATGGCCCACCACCGGGGACAGCCTCGCACCCTGGGAGAACCTATGAAACCCCAGATGATTTCCACCGAGAGTGGAGTAATCCACCCCATCAGGCTCCACCACCCCCGAGGCGTCATCCGCAGGAAGTATCCTACCATTCGTACCGTGAAAGGGCAGACTCGTATGATACGCGCTCTCACGCACGACCGCGGTCTGGATATGGCAATGCACCGCCCCCAGACTTCCGCTCTTCGAGGCATGACCGGCCAACAAGTCGGTCAGGACCAGAGATGTATGCGCCCATGTCAGAGGCAACGCCACCACGTCCGAGCAGCCACCACAGCAACCATTACGCATTCGCCTCCCCGGAGCAATATGTGCCCAACGAAATCGCCCAGGTACAGCAAGTCGCCCGGTACAGGCAACGTTCCCCGGCGAATATCCGCGAACCTCAGGTAGAATATGGATCCCACCCGGTGGAAACGGAACCTCGGTATCGCCCGCATAGCAACTCCCTGGTGAAAGAAACCAGCCCCATCCGCCCCCCTAGTAGTCGTGAAAACCTGCCGGCAGAGTATGCAACGATGCAGCCCCGGGTGGAAGACGAAGAAGAGGAGGGCCCTCCACCTCCGCCTCCGGTTCATCGGTCCGGCCTGGTGCAGACCAGTCAGCAGTTAGTACCGTCACCAACCCCATCGTACCAAGCTTACTCGCCAGAGTTTGCAACTCCTCGGACCTCCCAAGAAATCAACATGTCGCAGCCGTCGCACATGCTGTCCGACGGGGGCCGGATGCAGGACCTCCCTCCACATACGAACGGCCCGCCCGTGCCCCCCAGTCTAGTCGCCGGGTTTGATCCCGCCATTGCAGAGGCCGAGTCGGACCGCGCGGAAAATGAACGGCGCCAGAGCCGAAGACGCAGTGAGCTGATCGAAGAGATCATCATGCCGCTCGAGTCGACGTCCATGATTGTACCGTACCCCGTCGAACCTTCCCCGCCGATCATGGACGACCGCCGTTCGCTGATCAGCAGAGGATCAGCCCATTCATCAGAGACTCGTCTCGTCCCTCGCCGGAAATCGGTCAGTCCCCGGCCACCACCCCTCGGCGAGCGGGAGGCTTCTCAAATCCCCTTCTCGCCCGATTCGTTTGATGCCTTCAATCCAAATGCAGCTCGCGCGGCGGTCCTCCGGGACCTAGCGCCGGCATATGAAACCCCCGCCGAGGCGATGGACGCCGCCCGACGGTCCGAGAGGGAAGCCGCGCGGGACCCGGGCCCGATCATCGGTGATGATGGTCGAGAGATCGATCCCTCCGACCACCTCCCGACCGATACATGGGCCCCGGAGCCAGAACGGAAGACCAAGAAAGCCGGGGTGGTAGTCCGCTTCAAGAATGTCCCACGAAAGAGGAGCCCCGCGCCACCGCCTGTTAGAGAATATGCACCACGCTCCCGGCCCTTGGTGGATGGAGGATATAGACGTCCCCAATCATACGTGGCGGATCCGGCTGTTCGAACCTCACCTGGGGAGAACCGTGGTCGCGCACTCTCTCCTTACAGACACGGGCGGACAATGAGTTCCCCGAACACAGCCCCTTCTCATCGCACGTCTGTCTCCCCATCTCCGCGCGGTCACTCCCCGTCAAGCTTGTACGCCCCGGTCAACACCGGCCCGCCCATTCCAGCCAAGGTGCCGATTGCCCAACCAATGAACCAGAACTATCCGGTGATGGGTGGTAACGGGACTCCCCAGGGCTATCCTGTGGCGGGTGGTCACCAGGGAATGGACGCGCTCAGTCGAGAGTTGAATACCATCGACATCGGGTCCGTGGGGTGCAACAACCAACGGGCACTGAGGAGATACGTCCCCAAACTGCCTGCGGGATATGCCGCGTGAATTCGGCCCATGACGTGATGAACTTTCTTTCCCCATTCTCTTTTTTTGTTTATTTGGTTATTTTGGCCTCTAAGACTGCATGGAGAATGAAAATTGTACGAATGTGGTTTCTGGGAATCTTTTTTTTTTTCGGGCGGCGTTCAGGTTGATTATACACTGAGATATCTATACATACGCAGATTGATATTTGGCACCGGTTAGGGTGGTGATATGAGGTAGAGCATGATCACGAATATAAAAGACGATTCGCATTGCATTGGATTACTTCAAAGACCGAATCCCTGGTCGGTTCATCACTGATTCGCCATGCCCACCTGTAACATCCAGGAATCTACAAAACCTCACCAAGACCAACAACCCAACAGTGAAGAAAAAGAAGACCCCCCCCTTTGTCTCCAACCCACCCACCAGAATGCCTATGCCTCCCAAGCAGGCACCAATATAACCTCCTCTCTCCAATGAAAACACCACACCCACGCACAATTCGCCACATAAAAACCCCCATATATAAGCGTAAAAATAAAGAACCCTCCCATCATCCCATATCCCTTTAACAAAGCCATCCATCCATCCATCCATCCCAACCTAAAAAAAACAACTAAAGACAATCCACCCCTTAACAGACAGAAAGAAAGAAGAATAAAAGAAAAAACATGCACCAGAAAGAAATCCAAGAACAACAACCTCCCCCACCCTGCGAATTCACAAACCCCTGTCCAGCAATCGACGACGAGAAGGCTAACAACCCGCGCCGGAAAGTCATCTCCCATATCTTCGGCCGCAATAAGTATGCCACAAAGCGGTTCCCGGACCATGTCTGGGTGCATTACTGTCGACAGCATTACCAGCGCGCGCGGTATCGGGTCGAGTGGCCGGTTACGCAGTGTGAGTTGTTGATGGTTGTGCTTGGGCGCATGGAGAGGTGGGGTGGGGTGTCGGGGTGGGAGGTTGTGTTGAGGAAGAGGGAGGTGCAGCGGTTGAAAGGGGAGGATGGAGGAGGAGAGGAGGAGGTTATTGCTGCTACTACTGGTGCTGGGGGGAGGCATTCGGGGGGTTGTTGTAAGGATGAGAGGGGGGATGACGGGGACGAGTCGGATCCTACTACTTCGCTCTCATCTGGTTCGGGCTCGTCGCCTGCCTTTTCTGAACTTACTCCTGTGCAGGACCATTGTGGCAGACGCAGGAAACCGACCATTGTGGCTTCGCCTGTGCCCGGTTGGCTTCTGAGGGAAGTTGGTCGGGATAAGTCTTTTGCGGATTTGCGCGACCTGGTCCGTCGGGTGCGCGAGGATATGGATTCTTTGCGCGGACGGGGCGTGCCGGCTCGTCAGATCGTGTTTCCGGATATTGAGCTTTTACCGACGTTTCAGTCTTGGGTTCTGGCTCCGGTGACGAAGCGGCGGAGGGTGAGGAGGAATGCAGGTAGAGGGAAGAAGGGTGGCAATGGGAAGAAGGGTTCTAGGGTTAATGGGAAGGGGGCCGTGAAGAGGGTTCATGGGTGAGATTGATTGAACAACCTTTTCTTTTCATTTTGAAGTTGAAATGGATTGGAACAACTGGTCAAGTTGCATTCCTGTTGTTTAGTCAGTCCTGGAAAGTGTGATGTTGAAGTCAGTGTCGTCCATTGGATAGAAACTCACGTGTCATAAACATTACTCGTAGACATCTAGTCTGTATGTACATTCAAAAAGAGCGAAAACCACCGGGCTAAAAAGAATGCAGAAGCAGGGGAAAGAAGGGAAGCTGCAGAACAACGCAGAACCGCGAATCAGAGATGCACCGCCGTAAACGTATATCGAATCGTGCCACCGTTGACAAATCGTCTCCATAAGAACGGAATTAAGAATGATCAGGAATCAATTCATAGCCACCTTCCGACGGCAGCACGCGGCCGGCAATAATCAGGGCGGCCGCACAGAGCAAGCTAATACACCAGCTGATGATGCAATAGACCCAGGACTCGTCCAGTCTCCAGCCGGGGAAAAACCGCGTGTCATGGTCATATAAATACGCCTGAAGCAGAAATGTTTAGCACGCATCACCGTTTTCAGTCAGCCAGATCGACCAAAACCTACCACAATCGACATGCTCGCCGCCTGCACAATGGCCGATAACACGATCAACAAACTGAGAACCTTCCACCCGGATTCCCGCAATCGCTTCCCACCGGACAATATGATCAGGAATGCAACAATACTCATGCCCTCCAAAACGACGGCAAAGGACATAAGGAAGCCCACGGAGCGCCACATGGAACAGAAATAGCGGCCCCGACCACTACAATCCTCCTGCTGGGGGAAGCTAACGCAGACATCGGTGACTGAGGAACAGCGCCGATGGAGGCCGTATGAATACCAGATCTAGATCGACGAAGGGTTAGCACGCATGCTGATCAAGGCAGGAAGGCAAGGCGAGCAAGTATGAATGGATCCGCACCTCATCGTTCTGATAACTAATCCATTTTGGGACCACAATGGACGATACGGTTAAGCCGAATGCTGCCTTCCCCGTCAGTCTGTCGTCATACCCGTGCGATTGCGACGGGCGCACTCACACGCTAGAAAGACAATCAATGATGCTGTGTAGACAATGGTTTTCGTTAGAAAGCCCGTGTAGTTTCGGTCTTCGCCGCGCGGCACTAGATGGAAATCCATCGTGGGGAAAGGAAGTATATATATCTGATATGAATGACGACAGAGGGAGTAAGAGTTGAGCGATCGCGGCGACCGGCCGATCGGGGAGTTTTAATGACAGGTCTCGAGAGTGGATTACGGGGAATTTAATCCACTCAGGAAAGGTAGAGATGTTTCAACTCGGGAGATAAAGGTTGGTACGGTTAGTGGGATAAGTTTAATGTGTCATGAAAGGAGAGAAGGAGAGAGGAAGGGAGAAGTTCTGGTTTCAATGGGCGAGGGAGAGCGATTAAGTTGGGGTCCTGCCTGAGGTATCTCCCCAGACCAGGTGATAACACGCGGAAGCTCCAGCTTCTTTTCCAATACTTCAATGAGGACAATGTGTACACTGTAGAGCTCGGAATTTGATTCTAAAGACCTCCAGTATTCAAGGACAATTGCCGATTTAAAGCTAGACGGTCACGAGAAGAGAAGAAGAGAAATCAAAATGGAACCGAGATTTTTTGGTTCTTCGGGTCGATAAAAAATCAAGGAAAGGCAAGTATGAAGGGAACAGGTGACCCGGACTCGCGATCGTCGCCTTGTTGCATGTTGTACAGTACATACACCCAGACATACATACATACATACTACTAGTACTAGTACAGAGTACACCCATACCATACCACTGGATGGTATGATGGTATGTGCTGGATGCATGGACTTATTCGACCGTGACAGGAAACTCACCCCCTCAAATCCGCTGTCCGGTCACAACTCACCGACAAAATATTGTGTATACCATATCTGGCCAGTTGAGTTTCTTCCAAGACCGATGAGAACGGGCGGTTGGTCTGATACGCAGGTTTGCATACGAGAAAATCCCTCAGGATCGGTCCAAGCGCCCCCCGCTTTGAACGGTAAGATATCAACTCTAATTCCTTAGTCCCCATCGACTAGTCTTGTCATATCACCCAAGCTCTGGCCAGCAATGGTGCTGAGACTGTCGTGACTGAAGCAGGTCATTCTGTCGCGAAATACGGGTCGAATCCGTGAATGGTACTAAACTGTATCCATCTCCATCTCCCGCATATTTTATATAATGTACAAAACGCGTGCGGGTTGACGTCACGTTACATGGACAGTCACATTATGAGAACTCATGCTGTGAGGTTTAGGAGGGGGTGCGGGAAGCAATGACTAGTAATTCAACCCTCCTGCATATTTCACGATGGGTGGTGTCTATGATCGTAAAGTTCCATGCATGATAGGAGTACTAACCAACGTCAAGGGAGCCATGAACGAGATTCGCGGATTCATTCCGATGGGAGACGGTGTACGTCCTCCCGGGTTATCTAGCAACGACGACTAACTAGGTAGTGACATCAAAAATAATGGGGGATAAAGAAAGCAAAGAGAAGAGCCCGCAGGAACAAAGACGACAAAGACACATCAAAGTAATCTACAGTCAACGGCAACCTGCAAATCCAGCTGCAAAATAGAGGTCGAAACTTGATCATGGTACTTATACAACGAACACGGCAAATGCAAGTGAAAGGGCACCCACCAGGGACATGTGTGACAGAGAGCTCAAATCAATTCTTCATTTCATAAGAAACATAGGGAAATCGAACAGAAAAACAAAGAAAAATTAAGGGCAAGCGACTGGGGAGGAACGCCAAACCTGCCATGCAATCCGTTGCGCCAAACCTCACTCCTCGCGACCCCGCTGGATCATCGCACGGAAGTCATCGTTGCTCTTTTTCGTCTTTCCCCCTTCCACGGAGGGGGCGCTGTCGGTCGTCATCATTGTCGTCGTCGTCATCGTTTTCTCTCCGTTGTGCTCTCCACGAGGGACGGCGCGTTTCACCCCGAGACCTCCCCGCCGGCCACCCCGCGAACCCGGTTGTTGTGGTCGCTTGATCGGCCCCGCGGCCTGGAGGAATGCCCCTTGCTTCTCCTTCGGCTTGCTGGGTGGTGGTATGCGACCGTCCTTATTCTCAGCGGACTGTTTCAGCATCTCCGGTACGGTGCCCACATGCAACTTACGCCCCGGCGCGATCTCCTGGCCCTCGAGCTCCAAAGAAGCCCGACCGGCATGATTAACATCGGCAAACTCCACAATGGCCCCCTGGTGGTCGGGCCGTAAGACAATCTTGATCAATTTGCCGTACGGCTCCACCAGGGCCCGAATGCGCGCGTCGTTCACCGTGTCGGGAATATTCATCAGTCCCAAGCTACGAGCAGCCCGTTCACTGCTAGGGGTGTCCGCATCGGCTGATGCTTTGCTCCCGTTTACCTCAGCTGCAGGGGACTGAGATTTCCCAACGTGAGATACGATGGTGGTCGCGCTTCGCTTAGTGCTCTGGGGAGCGGAGATCTTCACGTGCAGGGTTCGCAAGCGATACTCTTGCCCGTCCATAGCCAGAGCGGCAGTGGCTTCCTCTTTAGTGGAAAAGACAACATAACCGAAGCCCTTACTGCCACCGTCGACCTTCCTCGGCAGACGGACCAACTCCACGGTCCCATACTTCGAGAAGAGCTCCTTGAGATCGGGCTCACTGGCCTTGAAATCTACATTGGACACGTGGATCTCCCGTCCTTCGTAGATAGGACCATGTCGGTCCTGTTTCCGAGAAGGGTCCGAGATCTTGGCCGTTAGCATTAGACCTTTACCAACCGTAGTCCCATCCAACCTCGTGGCCCTATGCGCTGCCTCTGAAGTCTTGAATTGCACGTAACAGAAGCGCCGATGCGTATTATATTTCAGAGATGGGAAGCGAACATCGATGATCTCGCCATACTGCCAAATGTCAGTAATGCCTTAGGGCAACGAGGTAGAAAAAGAGAGATGTAAACAAACTCACCTCACGGAACAGGCCGCGAATGTAGTTTTCGTCTGCCTCCGGGGGAAAGTTGGTGACGAATAATGTCGAGCAAGTCCCAATCTGCACTTCAATGGTACTATCATCCAATGATTTCTGGTCGCGTGTTTGCGCCACAAGGGCTTCGTCCTTGGAATTAAACTCGATGACCGCGACCTCCGAGTTCCCGTCGCCCGAAAACATCTTGACGCTGTTTATCGTACCGCACTGCCATGCTACCAATTAGCTGCAAGTCTATCAGAGGGAAGGTCAAGAAGCACAACGTACATGACGGAAAAATTGTCGAACTTTATGCTCGGTAATCTGATGGGGTAAGTTCTTCACCACCACCGTCGCATTTTCCCGGTCTCGCTGAAGGGCCGCTGGCTCTGCTTCCGCAGCCGATGCTTCCTCTTCCCCGCGAGCCTTTTTAGTAGGCAACCCATTTACATTAGCTTCCTCCTCCTCCCGTTTCCTCTTTTCAGGGTGCGCAGCTTGTTCGGTTGATGCGGGTTGTTGTGCTTGCTGTGCGGCCAGTTCTGTTGCGTCACGTTCTCGCCGAGCCGTGATGGCCCGCATGGCCTTCCTAGTTTCCAAAATGGCCAGCTGCAATTCATCGGAGTCCTCGTAATCCTCACAATGTGCGATATAGGTTTGCATGATTTTCTCGGGCCAATCCAGGTCCGTCCGCTTGATAGCTTGTTTCAATACGGCGGTCGCAAAGCTGGGGTTAGGGGTCCGGCGCGCGGCATCCACAGTGGCTTCGCCTTGCACGAACTTGCTCCATGAGATCAATTCCCATTCGTAGTACGTAAGCCAGACTCGTAGCTGTTGCCTCGCCGACCCATCAGACCCTTGAAGGTTTCCCGCGCGCTATCCCAGCTGCCACTTTCACTAAGATAACGAATGTAGATGCGCTCGAGGCGAAACAAGGGATCACCTTGATAAGACCGACCGTACTTCTTCTCCCCGAGTTCTTGAACACTTTCGATGGCAGAACGGATGCCGACTTCAGCGACGTCGAGATCTTCATCGGTGGAGTCTGACATGAAAGCTCTCCGACGGAGGTAGCTGCACCAGGCCGTATGTACCTTGAGAACCTCCTCCATGCCGGCCACGTCGAGGAGACCAGTGCTGGTGGCCTTGTGTTTAATGTCGGCAATCTTGGAGAAGGACTGTCCCTCCCTTTCCGAGCTGAGTAAATACTGAGACCAAAGGGTACCAGAGCATGGGCAGTGCCGAGTTGCCCGTTCCAGGGTAGAAATCGTCGTGGTGTTCGCATTACCATGCATGGATTCATCGATGAGGAACATAACAAAGTCCTCCCACATGTTGGCGTCGGTTGGGAATCGAAGCACTGCACGCTGATAGACAGCGTTGACCAACTCGAAGTTGGAATGACGGTTGCGATGATTGCTGTTGACTTCCCACTCGATGTACTCAGTGAAGATGGTCCACTCCTGGGTGAGGTCGCCCGACTCGGCGGCATTGCGGAGTCGGATTTCAAACTCCTCGCGAGCGGAGTACTGTTCTTTGCAAGCCGTTGCATATCGGCCTGCAGTGTCTGCCATGATATTTTCGTAATTTGCGTTATAATAGGTGGAAACAAAACCCGAGAACGTCTGGAAAGTCTGATCCCAGGTGGCATGAGGGGTTTGCAGTCTGATGTCGAATAGATTCCGCACATGGCCAATTTTCTCCTGACTAGGGTTGCGGGTGATGTCCTGCATCTGCAGATCGAGCAGCCGATCCCAGACCAGATGGCTATCAGGAGTCCTCCACCGAGTCGCTTCGGCGCCCCTCTGCCAGACATCGAGAACCGACTGCCAGGAGAAAACCTCGCGACCGATCATGCGATCCTCTTCCGTCCACTGATGCTGACCACCCTCACCGTGCGCAGAGTTATAGAGATAAAGAACCCATTCCCCGTAGATACTCCAAAGCTTCGTACTACCGTACTCTTCCTCCACCGACCGCTGGCAGAGCTCCATCACTGCAATGCGCTCATCCACGGTTTGTGCGAGCATGCTTTCATCCTGTATCCACTCTGCCCAGAGGTCTTCCCCCATGGCAAACAGCTTGTCCATCTCTTCGCGAGCGGTTCGCATATCCTTGAGCAGGTCATATTTCCGAGGATCGCCGTGAAGCTCGGGGTTGTTCGGTGGGTATACATGGTTCACGAATCCCGCATGGAGTAGTCGAACGAAGTTACATGCGCGTCGTAAGACTGAGGGTTTTCTTGAATTTGAGCAAAAAGCTCGGTTGCCAGCCGCTGTGCATTCGGAACCAACGATGTATCCATATAGTTTCTGCGGGCGGCCTCCCTGGGGCCATCCGACATGGCTATATCGAATGACGATCGTGGCGTCGGTGTATTGTGGGCGACCGAACTGACGTGGGGATACATCGTCGAGGGAGAGAGTTGAGACTCGTACGATTCGGTGCTTCTGAGAAGCGGGGCATTCGAGCGCTGGGGTTGGTGATGCTGCATGGAAGCCAAGTCGGCGAGCGTGTCCATTCCAGGGGTCGAGGGCTGTCTAGGAGGAGGTAAGTCTGTCACCGGAGGAGTCCCGCTTCCATTACCTACGTTGGGACCGACTGTCGGGCTTATCGCTGGCGGCGACGGTTCTGAGACATGCGGCGGCGCAAAAACGTGCTGCGCGAGCGGAGATGAGGTCATGCCCTGTCTGGTTTGGCCGGCGCGATTCTTGCGCAGAGGTTTTGGAGGTGGTCCCGTGGACGGGACGGATGTGTTACTGACAGATGTTGGGGCCGCCGACGGCGAAGACCGCCCCGATTGAGAATTAGACTCCTGCGGCGAGAGGAGTGAATTGATGTCCATCATCGGATTTGATATGGATTTGAAGACGGGGGAAGAAGAATCAGTTCCTTCTGAGGCACTGGGGAAAGTGGGACCCAGAAGCTGACAAAAAGAGAAGTCACCAAATCAAAGAATAGCCTGAAGTCGCCTCATCAACGAGTCCATTCCTGCCCCGGCCACAGCCTGTCTAGACTCTGGAACCGGACAGTAACAATTTCTTTCTGGCGGAAGGGGGGGGGGGTGGTAAACTCAACCACAATAGGCTGCGCAAAACAAGAAGGAGCTAAGAGTCGATTGAGAATGAAGGGAAATTTTTTTTTTTCTTTTTTCTCTTTTCTTCTTCCGTTATCAGTGGTTTCAGATAAATTTCTTTTCTTCTTTCAAGCCTTTGTCCTCTTTCTTTTGACACCAGAAGCTCGGGTGGTCCGGGCGCTGACGAATTGATAGAGTGAGGCGCTTCGGGTCGAATAGTGAGACGACCGGGAAGAGAGAATGAGACAGAAGGGGGGTTAGAAACAAGCTATTGAAGGATGGAACGATTCAGCCCGACCATCAAAAGGGAGACAGCTAAGGAACAAGCTGGTAAGCGGCGCGATGCAAAGAATGGAAAAGGCGGAAAGAGTGAATGGGGAAATGCCGCAATTAACCTACAGGTGTAAAAAAAAAATAAAAGTAAAATACAATAAATAAGAAGCGTGAGAGCAACACGCTGTACCCTGAAGGACTAAAGGGGAAGAAAAAGAAAACCAAGTCACGGGAAAACGAGGAAATGAAGATGATGAGGGTCGTCGCTAGATCGACACACGGTGGAGATGGGTAAGAGGTAAGAGACTGCTCGAGTCTTCAGTTGAAGGAGGGAAAAGGCAAGAGAGCTCGGCATGTAGAAAAAAAAATAGCTGAGAGAGAACAAACAGCACAGCACAGTAACAGCTCAACCTGCAAACTGCTCCGTATGGTAAACCTCCCTCTTTCTTTCTTTCTCTCTCTCTCTCTCTCTCTTCCCCTCCACCACGGGGAATTTCCTTTCTACCAACTACATGACTACAAACTACTGGAACCACCACAACGAGAAAGAAAACAAAAAAATTAAAAATTAAAGATAAAGCGGCCAATACAGAGTACAACCGGGGCAGATGGGAATAGCAAATCTCACCGGACCTGATATTTATGACGAAAGAAAACCGCCGTGCCTCCAATCGGACGATGGGGTTGATTGTCTGCAGTGATCTGTAACTTGGCCCCTAGTGAGACTCTTGTCGATCGAACTGATGACGGTGTAACGGGACTAGAACACGAGACTAGTAGAAATCGACCAGAGACAAATCTTAGTAGGTTAAATAAATTCAAGCAAAATTACTAAATCAGATCCACAACCGGAAATTCGCTCAAGGGAGACATATATCACGATCTCAGAGTCATAGTACATGCATGGCTGCAGATTGCTGGAAAGACACTACTGTATGTACAGACGGAGAGGTAAAGAAAAAGGTAAAGGATTGTTATTTTTTTTGTTACTATGGGAATAGGGCTGCTCTGAAAGGGGTTTAGCTCGCCGCTCCCAAGAACGACATCCTTGTCTGAGTATGAGGTAATGATACAGGAGAGCGTGCTGCCTGATTGGTGGAAACCCTCATGGCGATGCATGGACCTCCAGAAGCCACATGAGAGCCTGTCCTCGGAAGACGGCTTAACGTCGGAGCCGTCATGTGTGGCTCACCCGAAAAGCTGTGGCTTGACACTTCCCCCCGAAAGGCACCTGAGAGTCTACGGCGGACCGTAAGAACCTCGGCCGCAGCCAAGCAATTTGCGTCTCTCGACCACTTTTTTCCATCGGGTCTCCGAAGTCACGTCCCCCAACCAGCCCATCTGTCTTGCTGGTTGTCCGTCACCATGGCCACTCTTGGTGCTCTCAACCCCTACGGGCATCTCGCTCGGTCAGGTAAGTCATCCAAGGGCTCTTTTCAGATGGTCCCATCCCGTCAATGGCGAGTTCTCATCGATCCGAATTTCCAGCCCGGACCGGCATCACCTACATCCCTCGCCGCACCTTGACCTATACTGTCCCTCGCCGTGCCCAAGAAAATGGTTACAATGGAAACAAAGAACCTCAATCGAAGTCTGGCGCCTTTTCGTCCATCAAGAACTTCTTCTTCGGCGGGAAGTCCGACGCAAAGCCCACGGTCCACCGGAGGACAGCCCCCCAGAAGCGAGAGGGTAGCCTGAGTGCCGACTCGATTTTTGCGGAGGACGAGGCAACCCCCAAGCTGATTGCATCTGGTCGCACACCGGCTGCCCGTAAACAGGAGGCTGAACCTGCCGAGGGAGAAGAGGTTCAGACTAGCGTGGAACACCGGAACCGAGACAATATGCAGATGGTGTTAGACCCTCGTCCCGAGGCACGTATTCGTTGGGAGCGTAAGATGGTCGTCCGGGAGGTTCGCCGTCGAGGACGTCTGTCAAAGCCCGAACAGATCATGCGCACGGAGCGCGAATCGGTCTCCAAGTCGCACTGGTTCAAGACTTCCGTCAAGAAGCTTGGTCCCCTGGCCCGCCAGATCGCCGGAAAGAACATTGACGAAGCCATGCTACAAATGCGTTTCAGCAAGAAGAAGGCTGCCAAGGATGTTCTTGAGCACCTCAAGCATGCGAAGAACGTTGCCGTCGTCCGCTCCGGCATGGGTCTTGGTGCCGCCGAGGCGACCATCCGCAAGCCCATCACGATCACTCTGAAGTCCGGAGAGCGTAAGACTATCACCGACCCGACCTCCATCTACATCGAGCAGGCGTGGGTCAACCGCGGTCCATATGGCGTTGATTACGATCACCGTGCCAGAGGCCAGATCAACCTCCTCCGCCCGCCGTACACATCTCTGTCGGTCGTCCTGAAGGAGGAGAAGACACGGATCAGGGAGTGGAAGGACCGTGAGGCTGTGTCGCAACGCAAGCGCAAGACTCAGCTCTGGACACAGCTGCCTGACCGGAAGATCACTGCTCAGAGCCAGTACTACAGCTGGTAAGCTTTTTTCTCCCGACGTTTATCTCCGGCCTTGTCTCGGCAAATGATGGGTTTTCTTCGGCGTTTGTCTCTTGTATTATTCTAGACCGTTAGCACTCCACCTGGCGGGTAACTCAGCGCATGTTCATTATTCTTTCTATTTGCGGCATTTCTTTGGATCTCAACGCGGTTTCCCCATCTCCTCGTCTCTTTGGGTTGTTCTCTTGGCCCAACCTGCTCAGATTATTCGTGATGGATGACGCGGAGCCAACATCTCAAGGAGCCTGTAGTGGACAGAGCTCAACACATGTACAATATTGAAATATACAACACATATCTACATGCTCTCTCGTCAACCATATCTTATTACTTCAATAGATCTGTCTATCCCTTGGCCCCCCCACCCCCACAACCAAGCCCTACACGCGACCCCCAGGACAAACAGGCGCCCTCGTCGGCGGTTCAACCTTTACAGGGGGACTCGGACCCTCCACCCTGTCCGCCCTAACCAGCACAGGAATAACCGCGCCAGTCATCAACGGAAAGCGCCGATGCCCCACCACCGCCAACACACTCGTAATGGCCCCCGAATGCGCCGTCAACGAAACAACCGTGCTCGCATCATGCGCAAACACATCGAGCAAGAGCTCGCGGAGCCGGACATCGCGCGCAGAGTCCGACTCGCGCAGCTCGGGGTCATACAGCGGGTCTTCCTCCGCGAAGTCTTCCTCGAAGCGATACAGTGGGTATTCCTGCGCGATAGCCGTCTTACTAGACCGGCTGTCGCAGGTGTGGAGGCCGATTGTTTCGCGAAGAAGCTGGTCAGGTCCCTCATTAGTCAATCAGTCAATCAATCAATCAAACAATCAATCTCATCTCGGCATGGAACGTAGTATATATCATATCATATCCAGCACGGCTTTTGTCCCAGAGTAGCTCAAAAGATAAATCACAGCGGAGGGTGAAATGCTGAACACACACACACACACACACTCACCTCTTTGATGACCGGCCGGAAGGGCTCCGTATGCGGTAGACCTAGGCCCTTGAAGGTGATGCTGGCGGTCGCGAGACACCGGTTCAGGGGACTCACGTAGTAGGCCTGTGGGGAGGGGATTTTGGTCTTGATCTGCGTTCGCCACGCCTCGTTGGCTGTTTCGGCTTGTGAGATTCCTAGAGGCGTCAGACGGGCGTCGACCCAGGTGCCGGTTTCATCGCCGTTTTGGAGCGACCAGTAGCACTTTTAATGTTGATTTGCTGTGTTAGTAGTGTTGAAGATATGGCAATGTTATTGTGTTGCAATGAACCAGGCCTGGGTGGAGTCCTGCAGGAACGAGAGAGAGAGAGTGCAAGGAGGGATACATACATCCCAAAGCTCAGTGCCATATCGCCTCTCGGCGACATTATGCACCCCCTCGCCATGTCGACCCAGGAAGAGCAGCTTAAACTGCGTCTCGGGGCTGCTGTCCCGGTTTAGCTTGTTGAGGTGGTACTCGAACCGCTCCCACTGGGTCTTGCGGCCCTCTGGGTCAAACTCAGGGTCGGAGTCGTAGCTCCGAGGTATGAGTCCGAAATTGGATGTGACCTGTTTTCAATGTGAGTGCTTGTTTTTGGTTTATAGGGGGTGAGGCAGGTGCGGTGGCATGGGACTTACGTAGTCGAAGTTGTCGGGGTCGGTGCTTGGGTCATCTTGGAGGAAGTAACCGGTCACTGTCGTGAAGTGGAAGTGGAAGTCTGACGGGGTGGCTTTGGATGTCATTGTCAAGACAAGTGGATATGCCTAGATGGTTATCAGGGGTTAGAGTGACATTCTACAAGAAGGCGTCCCTGGTGTGGACACTCTCCTAACCCTAAACTCCACGGGCCGTGGGGTAGTTTGGCTAAGGTGGGGAACGGCGAAGCATGGGCTCTATTTCGTTGTTTACAGGAACCTGCCCTGGACTACAGAGATGGAATCGGAAGAAGTAGGTATAAAAAAAAATTATTTATTTCTCTAACTCTAGCCAACCGTTAAAAACCCATCGACTATCCATGAAAATATGTCCAAAGAACCCCGCTAAAAAACGTAGCAACAAACCAAAAACGACCACGAGGTATCTTTTCCCACAACCGAACAATCAAAGGACAGAAGCTTCAGCATGAACAAATGCTCAGACAGGCTCGAGGTTAAATTAACCCCAGTCCCTTCCTAGCAAACCAATGTTGCTTGGAAGCAAAGACAGCGAGACTGCCAAATATGCCCCCGGCCGATGAAATAACCGATCCCATAGTTTGCCAAAAGCCGGCAAATGCGAGGCCAGTGTTGAAAATTGCTGTGGTAGCAGACTTGCCGAGCGCGGTACAGTATTTTCCGGCCGAGGCTTGTTGGCTTGCGACAGTAGAAATAGTCTGCGCAATACGCAATTCTTGGCTTCCACCAGTCGACGAGCGATTGGTAGATACAGATTGAAGTGACGGAGAGTTCATCTTCGCCCTTGTAGACTCGATGCAAAGTGAACCTTCCTTGTCTGTCTTTGTAACAGGGCTGAGACGCCAAGTAATAGTCTGAGGCAAAGCGCTTGGCACGCGATTGACGGTAGATCTGGGACAGCTCTCCCGTTCCAGGACAGATTGTTGCTTCGAGGTCGTTACAAGCAGCTTCTGCTTTGGCGACATCAGGCGGCCAGGAACTGAAGGAGTCTGGTCGACACCACGCCAAGGAGTTGTCGACCTGTAAGACTGGGACACCTGTGGTCTGGGTTGTCCCGTGTTTGCGGCCTCCACAGGCTTTGAAAGAGAAACCGGTGAGCGCCTTCCATGGTACACATCCAATGGTGAAGGCGCAGTGACCGAGAAATTGTCCTGTGGGGAGGAACGAACATCTCTCTCCCTGTGCTTCCAAAGCACGGTCTTTGGAGCTTCCACATGCGGGGGAAGGACACCGGGCGGTGTCTGTTTAGGTAGTGAAACATGGCGTGGCCGTGCGTGAGACAGATTAATCTGTCTAGTCGAGTCAAGCACCGCGGAAGTAGGAGAAAGAGCGATGCTGTTGACATTGAGATGAACGCCCTTGATGTCAAGGCAATTGCACTATATCCTTATCAATATACCTTGCTCACCTAGATAAACTGTCGGTTGACTTACCCTCTTATGCTGTTTTCGATGTTTTTCACAGGCACCATGTTTTCGAACTTTGATGTAATTCTCTTTTTGAGCCCGTGATCGAGGTTTCTGCTTCCTCGGTAGATTGGCCGGCGTGTTCATGTTAAGATCCAAGACCAGTTCAATCCCGCCAGGCGTTGTGTCGGCGGAGGGAGGCGTTGGCGACTTGCCGGTTGAATCGGATAATGAAGTAGTCGCAGGGCTGGCGCATGGAGCATCATGGGAAACACTCCACGGAGGCGATGGGAAGCTGGTATTTGAATCCGAAGACATATCCATCTCGGGAAGCGGGGCATCTTGCAAGCGCTGTAGATGTAAGGCTATGGCTGCTTCTCGCCGCTTTTCTTTCTTGGATGAACAGCTCGGGTCCACCGCCGCTTGCGACTCTACCATATGCCGGATGGCCGAATAGCAATGGTCATCATAACCGTGTGCACCTGGCAGCCAGGCACTGTCAAAACCGGATCCAACGAAGACTTCACTTGGTGAAGTTGACGGAAGTTGAAGGATATCATTGGGATCTACCACTGGCTCGGCATTCGCGGCGCCTCCGTAGTATTCCTGGAATGATGGTTCGTGGTTGACAAAGTCGGTGAATGGAAATTGAGTGCACAGGTCGAGTCCTGAATCCCAATTTGACCCGTCTAGGTCGTTGTAGGTCAGGTCCAAGTCCTTGGGGGAGATTGAGTTGACCGAGGTCGGGTTACTGTCGACATAACGAGGGGATATCGAAGAAGTTGTCAAAATCAAAGAATTCATCACCCTGGGATGAATGACCCATTGAGTAAAGCAATTGGTCGGCAGACATGATCAAGGAGCGACTCGTGTTCCAATGGGGAGAAATGATGAATGATGGATAATACAGCCAGGGTCGAACCCGATGAAGCCTTTCCTGATAGGGTAGTGTAATGAGGGCTTTTTCAGGCGGCTAAGTTCAAAGGATTCACCCGGAGACGAGGAGGTCGCTGCGCTTTCAGAAAGCGAGAAAACAGACTGTCCAACGTCGCGCTGAGGAGTTATTTTTTTTAATGACTAAGGAACACCAAGCGTTCACTTGAGGGGGAGGAGAATAGATGTAGAAAGAGATGCCTGAATGCTTGAGGATGGAAGAACCCCGTGAATCCCAACGCCACCTTTCCTCTTTGGGATCCCGACTCAGCGCTAGACTCGATTGGGTGCCCGACGACTCTCCCGCGTTTGCAATGCGACATCACATGTTCTGTGGCTGTGCGTTTCTTCTACTTTTTCTTCTGGCAATACGAACAATGCCCCCTGAGGACACCAATGGCAGTGCATTCCTTCCCCCACAACCTGCATAGATCTATCCTTGGATAGGGAGCGATCGACCCCTCCAGGTCGCAGTAGCCACACTGGTAAAGACCCTGCTGCTTCTGTTTAAACCTTAAAAACCTAGGGTTTGTATGGTTTGCATGGTTTGCATACACGTCTTTTATCACTTGGCTTCGATTCCATGACACTACTAGTAGTATCTACATGTTTTCCATATAGTGTACACGTTCTTAATCCCATCTTCACCATCCCTAATTCCAATACCCAACCGCAATCAGTGAAGCCGCCAAAATACTGAGTGGTAGCAGACCAAGATTCTCTACCAATCTCACGGCACCAGACTGTTTATCTGAATCTGACGACCTGTCATCGGCTCCTTTAACTGACCCCGATGTTGCGGTTGCGCTTGGCGTCCGTGACGGAGTACCATATGTGTGGCTCTTCGCATCATACTTCAAACATGCGGTGGGTAAAGGATAGGAGGTTGATGCCAGCACAGCTTCTACTCCGACCCTTTCACTGAAATCGGCGATGTCGACCTCCATGTTGGCCAGGACGCCCATGTTGATGTCCACCGAAGGGGCTATATGCGTCAGACTGTCGTAGACATCATCCAGGACAGACGTCAAGCTGCCGCCTTCGTTCGCTTTACCATTGACGGGCTCACACTTTTCACTGACATGACTCAGTTGAGTCGCATTCACAGATACTTTTGGCAAGTTGACGAATGCTCCAACGCCGCCGGATACCAAGCCCTTTGCCGTGCTGACGCCGAGCAGGATCTGCGGTGTAAAGGTAACACTAAAAATCAGGGACGCCGGTGCAGACGTAGATTCAAATTCCAGTGCGTGGACCTTTGTTTTATCACTACGCCCTGTTAGCTGGCCATTCAACATGCGTGCACTGTTGTGGACAACGTACAAACCCGAGATAGAGGAGTTTCCAGGCTCACTCATGTTGATTTTAATATTCGAGTTGTCGGGCACCTACATGAATTAGCATAAATGGAGCAAATCTCCCGAGTAAGAAACAGTACCGAAAGATTGAAGCCATAAGAGAACCCTATCTTCTCGACCATATTAACGCTAAGTGAGAGATCTGGTTGGATCAGCGGCCCGAAAGCTACAACTCCTGGTATCTAAGGTTGTCAATATCGTCATACTAAAGCATGATATCACCTTGTGCCCGGATGCCTACCTCAAATGGGGTGAGAGGAATCGTAGGGAGAGATATGTTGAGGGAAGCCAAAGATTGACTCAATGAAAGGTCAAGACCAAGTTCAACCTGCGCATAGAGGCCATTCGATATGATTTCAAGTGCACCGTCATCAAAAAAGGCGATTGTGTCTTTAATCGTGTTACCAGAAATGTTGAACGAGCCTCGGGTTATCTCGATATCACCCTGGAGCGTGCAGTTTTTGCAGGTCACTGTCACTCCTTGCGGTCTAGGGTTGTTAGCATCGTGAATCTAACTCAAGATTGTGTCTGAGGCCTACATGAACATGTCAGCGGCAGGAGAATCTGGCGGAAATATCTTCTGGTCGATATAGTGCTTGTCGAGCGATTTTGTCGCAGTCGAAGGCAGTCCCGTTGTTGCAGTGGGAGCCGCTGGAAAAGAGATGGAAGGTGCAGAACCTTCCCCTACCACCTTCGTGGTTGTCGGCGCACCCGTTGAATCCTGCTGTCGTTTCTGATGCAAGGTATATGTACGTTTCTGGATCCTCGATCGGTGCCTGTGGGAGAAAGACACGCTCGTGGAATGACTTGCATCGTGCCAATCGCTTTTGACTTTCTCCATGGTGAATACTTGACGAGCAAGATCAACAGACGCCTTCGTCACACTATGTACAGCATGAGATGGACTCTGTCTAGGCGCCGCACTCAGACACTTACCGATGGATGGACCTTTCCCCTTCCAAGTCACAACCTTCATGGGAGGTGACAACTACAAAATCCGATACCGCCTCAAGTTCCTGCTTTAGGGCTTCCGTCCGAGCAGGTGAGCTAATGGACAGCTGGATCTTTGAGTCCGAACATGACAGATCATTTATGTCGGCATCTAAAGCCTCGAGGGCAAGAATCGGGTGTTGAGATGCCACGTTGAGGGTAGTAGCGAAGACATATTCCGTGCCATCTTCCGGAGCTTCGTGGATAAAGTCGAAACTTGCTTCTCTCTTCAGAGCGAATGTTTCGATCTCTCGTACTCTGAGACTGGGGGGCAGACTGGCTGCAGTAAGCCTTCGGGCCTGTGGGAATTCCAAGGCTTGGGAATGCTGACCCAGTGTTAAGTTGGCCCCCTGAACAACGTTAAAGGCAGCCAAGAGAGCCAACAGGGCAGGGGTTCCAAGAGAGTTCATCTTATCTGATCGGAAGAATAATCCGTCTCCGGCGGCGATTTCTGGACTGTATACCCGCTTTTACGGAGAAGAAAACTCAACTGAAACAAAAGAAAACACTCCATCTTGTAGGGTACCATGTATCCTACATATACCCCTTTAATGTAGGAGGTGCTCTGATGCATACTATGTGTGAGCGGATTGTCTCCCCTGCTAGTGCCTGAGCTAGAGAAAGGTGTGACAACGAGCGAGGTATAATTATATGTCACTAACTGCACAGCCCTGTGTTTCTTCAACCTAAGCAGAGGTGAGCTGCCGCTATCATGCTCGGTTGGGTATAGCCCAACCTGCTAGCCATGCAGTGTCACTGTGCCGCAAGGCTGAAGCCGACGTTAGTACGGCAGCTAACAAACGGCCCCTCAAGCTAACATCCTAATTAACACACTTTTCGCTTATATCATTGGTTGTCCAGACCACTTACTCATGATTGGCAGACTGTCAATAGAATGATGGGGTTGTACATACACTCCGGACTGCATCGTGACTTGCATGAGGTCTCAATAGCAAGGGGCTACGAATAATCATTGACTGACCAAATAGACCTAAGACTGTACACAGCAGACTATCGTGAAAATGACTCTTCATACAGGAAACCTCCCCCGAGTTAAATCTTTTCCCAGGTACTCATGGGTGGGTGTTTAATGATGATGAATTGATTATGTGTCTTGGCTTAGTGTTCCGCCGCCGGTGGTCAACGCATGACTTGAATTCATTTCTACTTTCCAGGGCGCACCAAGATAATTACATAACTTGTATGGCGAAATTAAATTATTCTTTCGACTCAGTGTGATACCCCGGGGAACTCTGACTGGCATGGGGATTGAGCGACTCCGGTATGGTCACCGAGATATATACCTGAACCCTGGTCGTGTTCAACCCTAACCACCTTTTTCGTCACGACATTACCCAGTCGCTCCGATCGTCGGAGACATCACTGGCTAATGGTAGTATCATAGGGATAATAGTGAAGTAAATCTCATAGAATACGGAAGATTAAAGAAAGAAAGGCATACATGGTGCTCAGCACTGCCGTTGGTGACAATGATGATGAAACAGGGAGAATAGGAAGGTGGCCACTCCACCAGGACCCCGAGTCTCAACTGGCCAGACCATGTGAAACAAGACCCTGTCTAATAAATTTAGTGTAGATCTACCGCAGCATTCGAAGAAGCTATGTGGGCAGGTCAGGTACGCTATTAGTCAAAATCCAACGAGTCTCGGCAATTCGCGGTCACGATGATGGAGCCGAACCCCGCATAAGGAGCATGAAAGATTGACTTAATGCGCGGGGAAGAGCTGACAGTCCGCCACCACCTTTTCTTCGTCTTTCTTTCTCTCTGCAACTTATAAGAGCTCCCTTGGAACCTGTCGACCAGTGCGATCCTTTCTGACCAGCAATCATATTACCGCGACGGTACAGGCAGACACAATTGGCCCTAATCGAAACTATTTGGTGATCATTTACTGCAACCGGTAGGCAAGGGGTAGCTGGGGTACCCGCTACCTGTACACAACCGACGACGCCAACGACTGCCCTCTGGTACCACAAGTGATGTGGCTGCGATGATTGTTCTCAAAAAGTGTGTCCCATTCGCCTGTCGTCCGAGTGCTGTGTCCCGAGGGACGCCTCGGAGCGCCAGGCACTTGTCAAAGACCTTGCAAGCACTGCCCCCGTGGCGGCGAGGGTTGTTGACACAGAGCTATGCTCGTGGACCGCTAGAGGTACCCTTGTGCTACGTGTCGAATGTCTAGATCGCATGAGGCTAATGTTACTTGCTCTTACCATAAGCCCCCATTGCTAGAAACCACCATTGGGGAGCATTTCGCTCAAATCGTGAGCTCATATGGCGACCGAACAGCGTCTGTTTCCCGATTCGTCCCCAGACCATCCTGCTGTGAAATAGAAGCTAACTCGCGATCAGTGTCATTTGCAGGCATCAAAATGACCGAGTAACGTACGCCGGTCTCGATGCGAAAAGCAACGCCCTGGCACGGGGCCTAGAGTCTGTAGGCGTGCGCACAGGCGACCGTGTGGGAGTGATGCTGGGAAATTCCATGGAGTTCTCCATTGTATGCTATAAGTCCCATCTCCGGCGCCAATGACGCTCCGTATCATTATCCAAGATAGCTTACGACCATTGTGCCGCAGGCAACTTATGCGTTGTTTAAACTCGGAGCCATCCTTGTGAGTCTCCGTTGCAAATGCTCTGCGTAACGAAATTCTCACCACGCTTTTCCAGGTCCCAATCAATCCATCGTTCAATGCAACTCAGGTGGTCTCTGCATTAAATCACCTCGAGGCCACCCATATGATCATTAGCACCGAATCTAATCTGCCGCGAAAAGAGCCCCGAAGCAACATCCCCATCTTACAACACCTGGTCCAAGACATCTACAAACCAAAACTGGAGTCCGCACTCGTCCCATCCCTGAAGCATATCATCATGGTCGATAACTCCTCCGGCCGGTGGACATCTCCGAGTACAAATCCCTGACGAAATATTCATCGGTGATATCCAGCGCAAAGGCAGATGAAGTCGCATTGCCGCACCGAGATCTATCGCCCCATGACGTCGTGAACATCCAATTCACATCCGGCACCACTGCCATGCCCAAAGCCGCCTGTCTGACCCACCGTTCGATTCTCAACAACGGCTCCCAGATCGGCGACCGCATGCGCCTTACCCCGGAGGACATCGTCTGCTGTCCTCCACCGCTGTTTCATTGCTTCGGGTCCGTGCTAGGCTACATGGCCACGGCCACGCACGGCTCGGCCGTCGTATTCCCCACCGAATCATTCAATGCCAGGGCAGCGCTGACGGCCGTCCAAGAGGAGAGATGCACCGCGCTGTATGGCGTCCCGACAATGTTCATCGAAGAACTGACCCTGATCGACGACGGCGAGATACCAAACGAAGGATTCGGCCACCTGCGAACAGGCATCGCAGCCGGAAGCAGCGTGCCCGCTGCCCTCATGCAGAGACTCCACAAGGTCCTAAACCTAACGGAGTTGACCATCTGCTACGGCATGACAGAAACCAGCCCCGTCTCCGTCATGACGACCACCGACGACCCGATCGACAAGCGCATCAACACCGTCGGCAGACTCATGCCGCATGTCGAAGCGAAAATCGTGAACCCCGCCGATCGGAGCCAGATCGTCCCCGTCGGTGTGCCCGGTGAACTGGCGGTGAGCGGATACCTCTTGATGAAAGGGTACTGGGGCGACCCGCAGCGCACCGCAGAGTCGATGATCGCGGATGACCAGGGGAAGGTCTGGATGCATGTATGTTTTTCTCTTCTATCACCCACAGAATTCACCACATAGACTCTCGCTAGCTAACACTGAGCATAGTCCGGCGACGAAGCCGTCATATCCCCCGACGGGTATGTGTCGATTACGGGCCGCATCAAAGACCTCATTATCCGGGGCGGAGAGAACATCCACCCGCTCGAGATCGAAAACTGTCTATTGACGTATCCTGGCGTGCTGGATGTGTCGGTTGTCGGTGTGCCCGATGAGAAATACGGAGAGGTCGTGGCCGCTTTCATCATCCCCAAGGAACATCAGGACAAGGCTGCGCCTTTGACTGAAGAGAATGTCCGGGAGTGGGTTAGGGGGCGGTTGAGCAATCACCTAGGTAAGACTCAGAGTACTTCCATTTACCATCACATAGAACTGACGTCCTCTCTTTACAGTCCCGAAGCATGTTTTCACTCTGGAACATTCGACCATTTTCCCCAAGACCGCCAGCGGAAAGATCCAGAAGTTCAAACTGAAGGAGGATGCTATCAAGATCCTCCGGGAAAGGAACTCGTTAAGCTAACCCCGGCATTTGTTGTTGTAAGTAGTAATGGGACCGACAGGCACTTGAACTTGAACTCTAGAATTAGCCAGCTCAAGCGATAATCTATCAACCTAAATTATAAAAAATCTATATGTCTTCTAGACAAGACCTATGTCCAAGACCAGCCCTGAAGAAGCCAATGCCATCAACTCCCGCTTTTACCAGCCCAACTCCATACCCAGATCCTATAGTATATGCAAAATCATGAAACATAAACTTCCGCCTTCCCCATCCTCCTCGCCCTAGAATTCAACCGGAGATAAATAACCTCCTGCACAACCGCCAACACCACGCCCCAGCCACCAACGCAATCATAACGACCAGTCCAGTAAGATACCTACAAACCAGCCGTAAGCACCAGTCCCACATCTACAAAGAAACAAGAAACAAAAAGAAAAGAACTTACAAGGGCGAATCCCTCTCCTGAAAGATCTGCGACCCACCCATCAAGCCCGCATTCGACGCCATAACCCCTAGACAAATACATCTCCATTAGCCCCCATTAAACCACCAATAACAATCCAACAAACCATGAGCACACGTACACATCCTAACAAGCACAATGACACAACCAGTTAGCCCCAACCTACACCACAGTAAGACAGAAGAGAAACTCACGCAATAGCAATACTCCTCTCCCCCGCACACCCACAATTCAGCTGCAGCCACGTATTATGCACCGGATGATAACACACCGCAAAGGCATTAATCGCCGTCCAGATGCCGAATCGAGTCCATTTCCCCTCTGCACGGGGCAGAAGACACCGACACACGATCAGCACGATCAGGTAGCATGTCACGGCGGCGATGACGGTGAGGCCGCGTCTGGCGGTGCGGTCGCTGATGTAGGCGAAGAGGAACACTAGAGGTAGGGCTAGGGTGGCGCCGACTGCGGTGAGCGCGTTGGATTGGAGGCGTGTGAAGCCTAGGGTCCTTTTTCCGTTTGCGCTTTGTTAGGGTTCTGTGGTATTTCTTTCTTGGGGTTCTGTTGTGTTGGGTGTTATGGATAGAAGAGGGGTGGGAAGGACGTACATCATGATTGTGGGTGTGTAGGTTGTTAGAGGACTCCAGGTTGAGAAGACGCAGGGGGCGAGGAGGAAATGTGGCCAGCGGCGGTAGTTGAGGAGGGCTTTTTTGATGTGAGATGCTGGGGAGAGGTCTGGTTTGAAGGAGGCTTCGATTTCTCTTTTGCTTTCACTTTCACTTTCACCTTCTCCTTCTTCTCTTCGGGAGCTTCGAGTGAGTAGGACCTCTCTGTCTTCGGGGGAGAAGGCGATCACACCACGATTTAGGAGATACGGTCTTGGGTTTGACGGGCTTTGGGGGAGGAGTAGCAGGATGAGGATTGCCGTGGTTATGGTGAAGATGCCCTCGACTGTATGTGGATATTAGCTTTAGGGCTAGCCGTTGGTATTGAAAGGACGGATATACTAAGAAAGATCCACTGCCACCCTTTCAAGCCATGCTTCCCGTCGAGTTTCAGTATCGCCGCCCCGATAAGAGGCGAGATGGCGTTTCCGCCGAACATCCCGAAGAAGAAGATGCCGACTCGTTTCGCTAGCTCGGCTTTGGCGTACCATGTTGAGAGTGTGTATAGGGAGGCCGGGATGTATCCTGCTTCGGCGAGCCCGAGCAGACTCCGCACGACTAGGAAGCCGGTTCGATTGCTCAGGAAGACTTGGAAGGTGGCGATGGTCCCGAATGCGAGGACCTGCGCGGGGATCCATTTGTCGGGGCCGAGCTGTGTATTTAACCAGGGTGTTGGTTAATTTTTGTGGTCATGGCAGTGTATAAATGTGGGAGGATGTATGATGATGAAGGTTGCCGATAGAAAGTGACGACCTACCTTCTGAAGTACGAGATTAGACGGGATCTCCAGCACAATAATACCCAGAAACATCAGCTGGTTTCCTAAATTCACGGTGCTCTGATCGATGTGTATATCCTTGCCGAAGCCGCCGGTCAAGGCACTGGCGATGTTCATGCGGTCCAGTTGGAATACCGTCATCCCCAGCAACAAGAGGGGGAGGACTGAAAGGTCAATCCTACAAGGAGTTAATAATTGCCGTATCTCTAAGCAAGAAGTCAATTGGCACTGACTTTCTTCGAGTCTTTCGCTCCGACACGGCACTCCATAACGTCTCCGTGTCACTATTCGATTCCCGCTCCGAATAGTTCAGGTCGGGTTTAGTGTGGGATACAAGCATGGTGATCTACAGTAGTAGGTACATGAAATGAAGAAACCCGCGATTGACTCTTATCTTTGAGTGACCTTTTAATGTTAGCCCACTGTCAGTCGCGGGATGCTCGAGTGAGGACCTTTCGGGCATGACCCAAGATATTACTATGTACCTTGAGGGCCGGGTTTCGACAAGGCGTCGGGATTTGAAGAGAATCTCACAACCTTTTGGTTGGATGGCGTCATGAAGAATCTTATCGATCATGGAGGTACGAATGTCATGGTTATTTGCAGATCCCCCAATCAATTGGGCCCTTGGAGCAAAGTGGGTCGTCATCTTCCAATCTATAGTTTACATTTTGGTAAATAATAAGTCTTCGTATCTACATCATACATTATGTCCTCATTAGTGACATACAAAGGCCCGCTGTAGATAAAATCCATCAATATCATATAGCCACGAGGGTATCTGGGCCATAAAGTGGCATCATGAGACATCATCGTCATTTATAGTACCACATGAGCCTGCAGTGGTACCCCAAAAAAACATCATTCGCATAGGGAAACATTGACCATCATTAAGCACCGCGGAACTAGAAACAAAGAAAACTCGTCAGTTAAGGATCAGAAGCATTGATCAAGGATGCACATACCATTCGTACAACCAAATACCACATTGCTCCGATAAACTTGAAGATAGACAATCCGGCAACACTCCAGAGGACGACAGCCATGTAGATCTGGGATCGTTGGTTCGAGCCTTCATTGGTCTTTTCGTTCTCGTCGAAGCGGTCCAAGCCAGCTGCGCTGAGCACGACGGCCCCCAGAGCAAAGTTGCAAAATACCCATGCCAGCACGACCGCACTTCGGAATCCCTTGTAGTAATCGGCCTGCCGTTCTTCTTCCGAGACAACCTGTACTTCCTTGGGTGGCTTCTCAGCAAACTTGGCCAACTCTGAGTCGTACTGGGCATTCAGATCGCCATCATCTTGCGGAATGTCGACGTCCACCTTGCCGCCCGGCTTCAGGTTCGCGGAGGGCAGCTTTTCCGCCTTGTCGTCACCCTTTGTACCCCATGTGATATCGTGAGTATTGCAAAACGCGTAGATGTTCAACACGTTGATATACGTCGGAGTGAGCAAGATATATTGGATGAACTGCCCCAGGTTAGAACGATCAAAATGAGAGTTAGATTAAGAGGACTTACGCAGGTGAACATATGCCAGGGATCAAAGAAGATGATCGATGCCACAAACCACATGACATACGTGGAGCCCAAGGACACAATGATCGTGAAGAACGTGGAGTTGGTGAAGAGATCCGTGAAGGTAAAGTCATTCTGCTGCACCTCCGTTTGGATCGATCTCACCGTGACGAAAATGCAAGCAAATGCCAGGTAAATCATGATGCCAATCCAGAAATAGACCATGGTCATGTAGAATTTGTTGGACCCACCCGGCCGATTACCCAAGGCCAAGACGAAGCACGTTACCAGTGTTGCAAGATACAGCCATTCGAAAACCACCCCAAGCACTCTACCAGTGGTGCCGAGGAGATCCTTCTGACCGAGATATGTCGTGAGAATGTGGAAAACCAAGAAGAAGTTACCCTGCAGGAAGAGTCAGTGTGGCCGTGGCCGGTGGGAGATAGGGGCGTGCTTACGATGCCAAACCAAGCGAACAGCATGTTGATGGTCTGATAGATAAACTCGATGAGTAACATGAATTTCCGAATAGCCGAATGGTCGCTTCTCCAGATCTGATAGAAATGGGCGATCGCATACACCGCGGCGAAGAAACTGCCGTTCAGCCACCGACGGCGCTGAAGAATGAACTCGGCCATCCGATCCGGAACATCAGTCTCGCCAGAAGAAGACTTCACATAATGCAGGAGCCAGCGACAATTACGCTTGGTGACAATTTCGAAACACAGAATACGATCCTCAGCCAGGTACATATTGGCGGCGAAAATACCGGCATTGGCACCATGCATCTTTTCACCCAGGAAATACCGCTCCAATGGACCTTGGCCGTTCTTATCATTCTGCAATGCGACATATCGGTACGCCGAAAATGCACCAGGAAGCACACTAATGAATCCAAACGCGGATTCCATGGGTTTGTCGAGGATATTGCTCAGTTTGTACTCGAAATTCTGACCGGCAACCAGGGGATTGAGCAGTTTCTTTCCATGCGACAGCATGGCTTTGATTTCACCACAAGCCCCTCCACACATCGGCTCGACATCGAATGCCTTCCAGAGACGATAGATGGAGTCCTTTCCAGGTTTCGTTCCAGCATCAAGAAGGACGCAAATATTGGGGTCTAAAACTCGGCCAAATGCCTGGAAGAACCAGCGGTGGGAGTTGATCTTCTTCTGGTTCTTTTCCTTCAGACAGAAAATCATCTGCACGGGAACTGCTGAGCGTCCTTTGATTTGAACTTGGGTTCCCTTCAGCTCGAGAGCTATTTGAGTGGTGTATTCGTAGATGTGTGCTGTCACATCTTTGCCGTTGACTTGTTGCTTGGCAATTCCGTCTTGGTAGACTCCGAGGGCGGCTAACACTGCACGGGTTCGTGGGTTGATTTTGGCACGACCATCGCTAATCACACAAACCACGATCTTCTTCCATGCGTCCTTGCCCCATGTCTTGCTATGCGTCCTCGAGCACATATGCTCAATGTTCTTGAATACACCAATCAATGTCCGTGCGAAAAGGAAGTCATCTTCGTTGTACATCGTTACCACAATGAACAATTCGGTATGCCGGGGCTTAGCGAACAGTTTCTGGCGCAAGGTGAAGCGCTCCTCAAAGAAGTCGTTGGGGTCGCATGTTGCGGCGGAATAACGCATATGCGTGAACTCGTCACGGCCCGGAGGCTCAGCGTGGGGAACCTGGCTCAGAAGCTTGGGCGCGATCGGACAATCCAACACGAGATTACCATTGAACAGTTGCACTTCTTTGACTGTCTTCCATCGTCGGAGGGGTGCCGGGCTGGGGTGTGGCCGTCAGTAGGCTCTTCCACCTGGTATTCATCACTGTAGGGATCAGGTCCGAATGGATTATCTTGTTGTAGCATGGGAATGCGATCATCACTATAAGAGTGCTGGTGCTGGTGTTCGGGGTATTGTCCTAAGTCATAATCATCATGTGGCGTGGCTGTAGGTTGGTAAGGTTGCGTATAGTAGGCGTCGTGATGGGCCTCGGGATCCACCGAATACTCATATCCGGGGTAGGCCTGTTGCGGGTGGCGCTGTTCGTAGGCTTCGTTATGACCGTAAGAGTTTGGCAATCTCTCCACTGAATACTGTTTACCCAAGTTGGTCAGAAATGACACCATGACACGTCTTCATCCGGGATGCTCACCGTTGGTTGCTCAGCCAGCAAATCACTCGAAGGCATATGAAGACGCTCCTGTGGCCCGTACGAAACATCTGAGAGCTGGTAGGCATTCAATGGCCGACCCGGTGACGGGGACCGATTGTTCATCTGATGGGGGTTCATCATGGGAGAGTGACTATGGTCGTCTTCCCCGTATGACTCTCCTGGACTCGGGCGTCAGTAGGATGCAACAAGGCTGGAGGAGGTCCAGCGAAAGCGAGCGCAAGCGGAAACTAAAAGAAAGCGAAACAACAACAAAGAAGGACGACAAAAGAGGTTGCAAGCTTGCGCGCCGAGGCCATCGACAAATTCCCCCCAACGGTCTAAAGTTTCAGAACGCAAATGAATGCGGGAGAACGGGTATCGGTGCGACAGCCCCCAGCAACGCAATCCAAACAGCTTTAACTAGGGAAACCATGCGCAATGGGAAATATACTGACCCAAGCGATTGTACGACATGTTGGACGATCGTGTTTCGAGTTAACAATCGTTCCAATCGGCGCGAGTTCCTCGAACAGGGGAGTTGCGGAGAGAGATTGCGCCAGGAGCGCGGGTGGAATGCTCTCAATTCACTTTCAATGGTTCCTAGGTCGGTTCCTCGGCGAAAGTTTCAGCGACGAGTGATAGGCGGTTGACGAGATGAAAGGTGGGTACCGCTGATTCGTTGTCAACAGTGTACGATTGATCTCAATGAAACATGAAGCACGACGGAATGGTGAGTTTAAAGAAGAAGACGGACAAGAGGCACCTTTTCTTTGGATGAGTGCCTGGGAAAGCTGCCCGCGCCACCTTTTTCCCCGAGCAAAGCAAAGCGCGAGGCACAGCTGGTCTTGGCGGGGGGTTTACGTTTGTTGACCAAGAAACGAAGGGATCAGCAGAGGTTTGTGGACCAAGATCACAAACTAATTAATGGGGAGGATCTGACTAGAGGGAAGAAGTTGAATGAGGTACGAATGAGATTTCCTTTTTCAGCCGACGATCGTGAAGTCATGTGGGAACATAACAAAAAACACCGACAGTGGGGCCCCATTGGACGGGAGGATTCATATTACGGTACCGACCGTACGGAGTATCTTTGCTTCTCTCTGTTGTCTCTCTACAGACTACTACTAGTACTAATACTCCAGAGGTAGCATATGGATATCTCCCTTGATCGTGACAGAATCTCTCCGTCTCAGCACCACGGGGAATTACTGACAGAATCAAGAAAGATTAATTCCCTAGAAACGAAACCCTGTCAGCCGTGGATACTCTCTCGATTAGTTCGGTAGAGTTGCACTGGCCCATTGGGTCGTGTCTCCACTCGCCATCACTGGGCCAACAACATCTCGTCCACAGCCACACTGCCGTGGCAGTTCCTTGGGTGCGTCATGGGAAAATGGGCGTTTTGTTTGTCAGTTCTTTTTATAGGAACGTTTTCTTGGTAGCCTGATCGAAAGACGTTCTTCAGCCCTGTCAGAGGATGTCACGACTCTCAAGGAATATTCCGTTGCCTTTCACATACTCTATCTAACTATAGCCCTGCGCTAGTGTATGTACTAATCCGACCAACGTCATACTGCCAGCAATGGGCCGGCGGGAAGTATATGCCGGTAGTCTATAACCTCAAGCAACTCCAAGCTTTGAATTGGATTGTCTCTCGATCAAGTAACATATCTTAGGTGCCTGGAGTGTACTTAGTACTATTTTTAAGGCCCAACAACTCATCAGATTATGTGAGATATCACATGACATAAGCTCGCTTTTTGTGGCTTGTTCCTGGTGTCCCATCCCCACCGCCTAGACCAAGAGCAAATAGCATTGAGCCATAGCATACCATGGATACTAGTATCTGAGTAAGAACATATCTCACATTTACTATCTCCGTTAGAGAAAGCTTTGGGTTAGGAATATCAACGACCAACTGCTAATAGTACTGATACATGTCCTTAGCTAGCATAATGTTCTTGTTCGATCAGCGTACTAGAGCACTAGTAGAATTTCGTGTTTGGCGGGAGTCCCTGCCTTTGATCCTCTCGCTAGACAACACAGAAGTTAGCCTTCTCTCATAGCAAATTAAAGGTGAGCAAACCAAGAATATCCTCATATTGACTATACCGCTCTTCGTCGGGCCCCACGCTTGAGAAAGTGGTTGCAACATCGAAATCGACCCACACAACTCTTTCTGGAGTTCCAGGAACAAACAGAAGATTTTTGGGATATATATCCTGGTGGTGAACGTGAGCGTTATGTACTTGCTTCATACCATCTATCGCATGCTGATAGCGGGCATCTGAGTAATTCTTGCAATTCAAACTCTCAGCATTTGGAAGATATTCGAGTAGTATTGCGTTAGGAGGGAATTTGTCATTAACAAAATGTTGGAGAGCTGGCTGGAAGGCAAAAGGATCGACTTGATTAATATGCCCATAGAAGAATGGAACGAAGCCCTGCTTGTACACGTTGTATTTCCTCAGGTTCTCATAAGCGTTCAACTCGCAGCGGAATCTATTTAAATCTCGACCATTCTCGGCAAAACCTGGATCACCATTGTTGTGAAACTGGAGAGTGAGCAAAACCGAAAGATCTAGATGATCATTTATTTACTTACGAGCTTCATGGCACACTTATCACCACTGAACTCCGTCTCAAAAATTGAAGAAGCGTCTGATCGGTGGATCTCCTTGATAATTCGAATCTTAGAAGAGAGAAGTCCCATGGAGTTCGCCGTCTCTATTTGCTCAAGATGTTCGAGAGTATTTTCTGAGTCTTCCGACAGGCTAGGCTGCGTCTGGTTCAAGATATCAAGACTCTGCTCACACAAAGCCAAGCCTTTTTGAGCGCTATCCCTTCCCTCTTCCATGCTTTGGAGCTCGACTGTGTCAGCTTCTATGGCAGTCTGGCTATGAACCACCAAGGACTGATGCCTTGTTTGAATGCCCTGTAAACAGTTTTCCAGCTCGTCCGTTATCTTGAACTCTGGAGATGCACCACTCTGCCACTAAGCGGTTGATCGAGAGCGTCGAGGTCGATACTAGAGTTGTCGGTTGAGCATTTGAGGGTCAGCAGCAGTCCCTCTAAATCGTGCAATTCATTTCGAAATTTGCAACCGGTTTTAGTGTTCGACTTTGAGCTGTCGACTGTTTGATAGAGCTTCGTGGATGCTTCAAGAGCCAGGGTCACAATTGCCGTGAGGGTGGAAACGACACCGATCGGTTCAGCCAGTCATACTAGGGCTAAGCTTGTTGAGATATGTCAGTACTTCTACCCCATGTATTATAAGGTGGGTTTACCTGGAACGCAAGTCAAACCAGGCGTGTTGTCAAATATCTCTTCCATTTCTATTGAAGGATTTGGTCACTTCCGTGTCCAACCATGGATCCCGCTGTTGCCTCGTGTTAGGCAGTCACTTCGGGCTGCCTTTGAACAACTTGCACCCGAACTTGCGTTGCGACGACTTTCACCAATCACCTTTGATGAAGGAAATGCAACAAACATAATTGATTTGTATCGACCAGACACTGCATGTATAGTCCCTAGAGGGAACCTCGCCCCAAGTCCCAATCGGGCGCCGGGGGACCTGAAGGTATCTTGGAAATGGGAGTCTGATATGCGCCAGCAAAATGCACGGTACAGTTATATTCTCACGAATCTCGAATTTGTGGCCGTCAAATATTTCTCTACAGCTTGAAAATGATGCAATATTCAATTCAGGGTTACAAGCGAGCAGGCTTTCAAATCACTTAAGAAAAAGCCCAATTGGCGTTTTCCGCTGCAAGAATGCCCATGTACTATAATGCTAACAGTACTGACGTTCACCCTTCACCTCCATTGCCAGGGTATTGCTATCGAGATTGCGAGTATGGGCGTAAAAATGAGCTATTGAAGCAAATGTGATCTCAAATAGTTCAGAAGCGCTGTTTTATGAACAGGCGCAGGTTGGAGCGTATTCCTCCCACCCTCAGCCATCATGGAGACGGTGAGATCATGACTTAGTATCATTCATAAATAAGTTGACGCGGCGAGAGTAGTTGCCATGAGACTTGCCTTACGAGGTTGACCCATAGATCTTCCGGGAGGATCTTTTCATGTTGCAGTAGCAACAGTGCACCCGTTGTTATTAGGATCCAAGAAAGAACGGTTGGAATATCCAGGAGCCAAAATCCAGTATTATCTCCGCAGCTCATTATCGCAACCGCAAGATGAAGACGCAAGGAACAACTGACGAAGATTCGTCTCGTTATGATATGATTATTGAGACATATTCTCAAGACTACTAAATATATCCAGCCCCGCTGTTCAAACATTCCCACCCAAATCTCTTTGTAATGAGAGAAGCTAAGTAATGTGGAATACTGATTGAAAGGATTCGGTTTGCTGGGTTCCAGTGTTATAACTTATCAGGGCGCGTTTTCTAACTAAACCGGTCCCACCATCCAAGCAAATCGACCCCCACGCTGTTTATTGTGGAACGTGGCAGTGACATCGGCCGTGGATGACACTGTTTGAAATAGCATCGTCGCTAGACTCTCCACACATGGCAAAAACAAAGAGAGACACGCTATTACCTCCCCTTTAAAGAGTAACCATCGGGAAAGACAAATTGGGAAATTACTTCCAAGGCTCAGTTCTAAGATTTGTCCCCACTCGATTGGCGAAATGGAAGTCCTTGTTGAGAACCGCGCTGGGTCCTTTCCTCGGCGCTCATACAACGAAAGACCTTGGTATAGGTTTATGCGTACAGGCCTGGATGGGCTGATATATGCTACAAACGAAAGCCAGTTATTGCGTACAAGGGCAATTATCGCCGCTGTTTACTCGTGGTAGAAGGTCCCGAAGGACTCTCGGAGTTAGTACATCACTGCCTGAACAGGAGCGCTTGCGCAACATAGCATGAGTAGTTTACTTTTCATAAGTACTCTTGGCTTCCGTCGAGCTGGTCTTTCCTGGGTATCACCACATCACTATTGGATCTTTTGACCAGACACCTCCCTTGGCAGCCTCAGCGGGCGCCGGTGTCTGTTTCACGTCCCTGTTTTTGAACGGTTCAATGCCAACATGGCTCCGTGTACGGTGCCTGTCGATCACGAAGTAGACCGTCTTTGTCCTCATTTGAGTTTGAGTGCCCGATGAGGACAGCAGCTCCAACCTGTCTTTATTAGGGCATCGCGAGTCACTAGGTTGACTAGTCAGGAACGGCCGCTGATTAAGGTTTGGTGCCCGGCAGTCTGGCCTCAGGATCCATGTTAGGGCACGGGTTGACCATGTGTGACCGTCTAAGATTATTTCCACTCCATCCTACGCCAGACCGAATTAAACCTACCAGAGCCTTGAGTACCTTTCTTCCCCGCACGATCGGGATCTTTGTATGTTGAGGTTGATCAATGCGTCCGTGTCTTCGGTTCTACTTCTAAGCGCACGAATCAGCTGATCTATACCCTGAGCGGCATCTGGTCTTTGTCTTCTATGTCTGTTCGTTCACACACCGATGATGATGCGACAGCCAGGAACCTTAATATGTGGATCTCTCTCTTGATTCTGTATTTCTAGACTTAACGACCAATGTTAGGTAGCGGACTGTAATCTCAGAGGTAGTGGATTATGACTTGGTCTAAGTGGTGGACTTGAATACCGAGCGAGAGGCAGAATGGCCCCGGCGTGATCTACGGATACGTTGATGGATTAGACTGATCACGTAGCCAAACAAAAGGAAAATATTACCAAAATAGAACAACTGGTAGTTCAAAGAAACATCAGTCATAATCTTAAGATCCACAAAGAGACAAAAGCTGAACGGCCTGCGTACATGGAACAGATATGTGAAATCCAATAAAAGCACTCTCCCTAGGGGTATAAACGGCAACAAGACAATCATAATATTCGCCCAGCAAGCTCCACATGAGCCCTGCCCGCTGTCCCTTATCCTACTGTTGGGTACGGGCATCAAGGATAGCCTGGAGACGTTGTAGCCCATCATCGGATATATTACTGAATCCTAAAGATGCGGAGCCTGCAGATCTAACGTTAGTACCAGAGGCTAGGTGACGTAGGATCAAGTTGTCCTTACCAAGGGGAATGGGACTGGGCGAGCCAGGACCCTCGAGGAACAGGGTTGCAAGAGTCATGCACGCAGGTGGGACGTTGTCAATTCGAAAGCCCCCTGGTCCAGTAGGGATGAACTCGACTGTAACACCTTTCAGTTGGTCGTTGCACAGGTCGCCTGCTGGTTGGGGGAAGCTTGCGAGTATATCGTTTCCGTGCTTCTCTGGCTTAGGGCCATTCTCTGTGCCATTACTGTCATCTCGTTAGTTCTGTTCGTGGGCTTCCTTTCGCTACTGCTAAGCCTACCAGTTTACAATTCCTGTCGGTTGAGCAAAACTGACTTGTAATGTTCCAAGGAACAGCAGTGTCAGGGCTGAGACAGAGGACTTCATTCTGACTTGAAGTCTCAGGAGGTAAAGAAAGAAAAGGTGCTTGTCGATGATCAAGTTTCCGAGAGTGATGGACGTGGTGATAGGCTGGGATGTTGATAAGATAAAGTCGAGGTACAGAGGGGTCTATATAGACAAAGTAGGGAAGGTTCATTGAAACGACCGAGGTTGGCGTTCTGAAGTCTATGCATTCTGCCATGACCTTTGTGGCTTTACCCTGGCCTTCTTTGTAATCTAAAAGTAGAATAATGGGTTACCTTCTACTATGTATCATGGCAATGTAGTATTTACTGGCTGGACCACCCATCAACTATCCCACAGTGGGGCCCAGCGACAAATGCTTAAACCCATGCTGAAGAGGGCTCAGAATACAGTTTGGCCATTTGAGATGGCATCATAGATAGACAGAGTGAGCACCATAGAAGAACCACGGGCGATGCAACCATCAAAGTTCTGACGGTCTGTCCCTGCATACGCCCCGTCCGGTTAGCTAGAGCGCGACATACTCCGTTCTGTCGTTCAGCCTGGCAGACAAAGAACATGAGGTGGAGAAAATTATTCCCCTTCGGTCGATGTCGAGGCATTCTGATAGGGTTACACTCTCACCGGGCAAGACACGGGGCGCAACTTGTGCGTGATTGAATGTTATGCTTATCAAACGTGGTGTCATTTTAACCGCAAACTTAGAATGGCTAACATCACTTTCAGTCTTTAGTCCATGTTGAGAGACAGTGACGGGGACTATGGGTATAAAGGGATGTAGCATTTCCTTCCCTTTCCGCGTTGTTCCTTACGTTTTCGGTCAACCAACTGTTTGTCATTCTTTTCTCACAGTTAAACTCATTCATTTATCCATTCTATAAAATTACATTCGTTCAAGCCATTCAAGCAATGGTTTCGCGTCAAATTCTGGGGGTGCTTGCTCTGGCCCTCCTTTGTCTGTTCCAATCATGCGGCGCACTGCCATTTGAATCCGCACTTTCGCTGCATGCTTCTGGCCCCGAAGCTAAACTGGAACCTCGTCGGTTGGGTTTGGGAAAGCTTGGCCAGCTTGTGAGCAATATCGTTGATAGATCGAAAAGCTCGGGCGGGAGTGTGGGGGGAGGTCACAAAAAGTCTGACAACCATAGTGATGACAAGAAGGAAGAAAAAAAGGAGGATAAGAAGGAGGAAGCACCAAAGACAGCAACAACAGAAGCACGAAAGGCAGCAACAACGGAAGCGGCAAAGGAAGCGCCAAAGGCAACGCCAAAGGCAACGCCAACGGAAGCGGCAAAGGAAGCACCAAAGGCAACGCCAACGGAAGCAGCAAAGGAAGCGGCAAAGGATGGCAAGAATGAAGACAAGCCTGGCTCTGGAGGATCACCCCAGCAGAAAGAGCAGCCAAAGCAGTCAGGCCAACCAACGCAAGGCCAACAGCCTAGACAGCAACCACCAGAGCCAGCGCAAGGACAAGCGGCAGCGCAAGGACAAGCGGCAGCACAGGGACAACAGCCAGCACAGGGACAACA